CAACTCTGCCATAGCTATGTGACCTCAAACAAGTCTTCTGTCCTTCCTTAGCTTACACCAGACCAGATGTCTAAAGTTCCTTCCAGCTCTGGAAATGAATGAGTCTACAAGCATTTTCAAATGCACATCACAATTGCTTTTTCCTTGACCACTTTGCCCAATTATCATTTCATATTCACATTTGTAAAATAAGACTCCGCAGGTCCCTTGGCTTTTAGTAATCCTTAAAAAATGGTTCTTTTAAATAGGACCTGCCCAATCATGGGGGTCTCCTCCTCTTCCTCTTTATTCCAGTATCCCCCTGCTGTTTGCATGTCACGAGAGCTGTCACCCAGTGCATTGTGCTAAACTGTCTCAAAGAGGGAATTGGAGCTGAAAAGATCTCTTGGGAAGAACAAAGATGGCAGAGCTTTCTGGTCAGTATTGACCTTTGAAGAGCCGTGCCAAAACCAAGGGTGGGAAAGAGAGTTTCCGTTTCATGCTGGATCTTTTTTTTAATTTTTAAATTTAAATTAAAAAATTTTTTTTGGCCCATGACAGAGCCTCAGGAGGTCTTGATGACATGTGTTCTCATGCTGTCTTTTAACAGAAGAATGAGCATTCTTAGAAGTCAGTTAAATATATGTTATTAAAAAGAGTTTATCCTGCTTCTCAGACTCAGGCTAGTACATGAGTGTTTATTTAGTCACAGAGCTGGCAAGATCATTTATTATTGGCCACTGATTTTAAATTCTTTCCTTGCTGGGCGTGGTCACTCATGCCTGTAATTCCAGCACTTTGGGAGGCCGAGGCAGGTGGATCACATAAGGTCAGGAGTTCGTGACCAGCCCGACCAATATGGTGAAACCCTGTCTCTACTAAAAATATGAAAATTAGCTGGGTGTGGCAGTGTGTGCCTGTAATCCCAGCTACTCAGGAGGCTGAGTCAGGAGAATTGATTGAACCCAGGGGGTGGAGGTTGCAGCGAGCTGAGATTGTGCCATTGCACTCCAGCCTTGGCAACAGAGCAAAACTCCGTCTCTAAAATCAAATCAAATCAATTCCTTGCTTGCAGGAACTGTGTGTTATTCTTTGCCTGCCCAGTGCTTAGAATAATGGCAGGGACCTGTTAAGTGCTCAAGTTTTTGCATCTGTATATGACAGCCATGAAAATGTGCATCTCAGATCACCTGCTGTAGGGAGCATAAGTAACAGCCTCAGCTACTACCCACTCTTTGCCATCCATAACCACATTTGCACCACAGAGTTGCACATTCGCATCCATAATCACATTTTCAGGAACTATGCTTCCTGTAGATGCTCCCAGCCAATGACTGAGCACATCCTGGGTATTAACACAGGCAGATGCTGGTGAGGTGTGGTATTCTTTTGGCATGAGGACTTCTCACTGGCTTAGCCAAATCCTTTTTGAAACTGTGCTATAGTCTGAGACTGTCATATCCAGATCTCATTTCTTTCCCTCTCTCTTCCACAGTTGTCAGAGCTTCGCTGTGCTTGGAAGGCTCTCCCTGTTGTCTCCTACTTCCTCCCCAAAAAATCTCTTGCAATTGCCTATCCCATCTTGGTGTCTTCTTGGCAGATCTGAATTAAGGAAATATGAAGGAATGAATGAGGCTTTGTTGCGATTAAGAGTAGGAGAGGAGAGGTCGGGCATGATGGCTCACACTACTGGGAGGCCGCTTGAACTCAAAAGTTTGAGACCAGACTGGGCAACATAGTGAAACCCTGTCTCTACAAAAAATACAAAAATTAGCTGGGCGTGATGGCATGTGCCTGTGGTCCCAGCTAGTCAGAGGCTAAGGTTGGAGGATGCTTGGGCCTGGGATGTAGAGGTTGCAGTGAGCTGAGATCACTCCGCTGCACTCCAGCCTGGGCAATAGAGTGAGATCCTGTTTCAAAAAAAAAAAAAAAAGACAGGCCGGATGCAGAGGCTCCTAAAGTAACCCCAGCACTTTGGGAGGCTGAGATGAGCAGATCAAGAGGTCAGGAAATCAAGACCATCCTGGCTAACACTGTGAAACTACGTCTCTACTAAAAATACAAAAATAAGATTAGCCGAACATGGTGGCACATGCCCGTAGTCCCAGCTACTTGGGAGGCTCAGGCAGGAGAATCCCTTGAACCCAGGAGGCAGAGGTTGCAGTGAGCTGAGATCATGCCACTACACTCCAGCCTGAGTGACAGCGAGACTCTGTCTCAAAAAAAAAAAAAACCAAAAAGGGACAGTGGTCAGTATGTTGCAAGATATTGGAGAGCACGTGTGATAATGATAATTTATTATCATGAGGCTTTAGCTAAAACTATTTGAAATGTTTGGAATCCTAGAGTCAATGTGATCTAAAAGCAAACTGATCTCATCCCTCCTTTTTTTTTTTTTTTTGAGACAGTGTTGCTCTGTTGCCCAGGCTGGAGTAGTGCAATCTTGACTCACTGTAACCCCTGCCTCCTGGGATCAAGTGATTCTCCTGTCTTGGCCTCCCGAGTAGCTGGGATTACAGGCACGTGCCATCACGCCCAGCTAATTTTTGTATTTTTAGTAGAAATGGGGTTTCTCCACGTTGGCCAGGCTGGTCTTGAACTCCTGATCTCAGGTGATCTGCCCGCCTCGGCCTCCCAAAGTGCTGGGATTACGGATGTAAGCCACCATGCCCTGCCTCTTTTTTAAAAGTTACTTTTTGGCCGGGCGCAGTGGCTCACGCCTGTAATCCAAGCACTTTGGAGGCCAGGGCGGGCAGATCACCTGAGGTCGGGAGTTCAAGACCAGCCTGACCAACATGGTGAAACCCCGTCTTTAAACATAAAATAAAATAAAAAAGTTATTTTTCCTCAGAGCTGAGTTCAGAGGAATCCCTCCTTCTTTTTAAAGTCCTCCAATTGCTTCCTGTTGCTCTAGAATAAAGCCAATACTCGATCCTAACATGGCCTAAAAGGCCGTACTTGGTCTGGTCCCTGCCTCTTCTTGCAGCCTCATCTTGTGTGACCCTTCCCCTCACTCACTCTTTCATAGCCACAGTGATCAAGTCCCTTTGTTCGTCATGTTCGCTGCTGTCACGCTGCTCCTTATGCTCGGGACGCTGTCCTCTCACCTCTTGCCTAGTGAATCCCTAGTCGTACCTGAGCTTAGATACTGCTCCTCAGGGTAGCTTTCTTTGACCTCCTTAACTAGGTCAGATACTCCGACATCCATCACTCCTTTATAGAACTCGATCACGGCGGCAATTTTACATTTGTTTGAGATTTCATTAATATCTCTTTCCCTCTTTACACTGTTGGCTACATAAGGAAAACGTAGAGGATGAGAGGAAGTGTTCTAGAATACCGTGTCAGGTCTGGAGTTTGATTTTAGGCTACTTACAACTAACAAATTAGCCACTTACTGTTTCATGGATGCTGGCCGAAGTCAAGAGACTTCAAGATCAGAGACAAAGGACTTCATTATTCATAGCACAGCAAGTAGCATGAGCATCATGTCTTTGTTAGTCCTCCTTGCCTCCTCCCAAGTCCAACGCAGAGGGCTAAGGCAGACACTTGCATAGGCCATGGGTTGCTTTGCTTCACAACAGAGGAACACTTAGAGAACCTGCAGCTTGTGGCACTTGCCGTTTTATAACAAGCTGAAGCAAACTTGTTCTTTATCTGAGTGAAGACAGTACCTCATCCCTCAAGGTTTCTTGCTACAAGTAGAGTCCTGAAAAATAGCCCAAGTAAAGAGCAGTCAGGGTTCTGCAATCTTGGTGTACCTAGAAAGATGTGAAGGAGCATGAGAAACCCATGGAGGCCTGCTTCTTTTTCACGTCCTCCAACTGCTTCCCATTGCATTGCTTCCCATCCCAGCAGACGGTTCCTCCAAAAATCATTTATACCCAGGTAGAGCCTCAAAAGAGAAATTTTCTCTCTAATCCCCATGCCCTGGCTTCTCTTACTCATGGTATATACATAGTATTGTAGGTTGAAAAAGGAATCTGGCAATGGATGTGCTCACTAGAAGCACAGGCTCGAGAATGGTTATAAGGGCTATATTTCCTTAAGCCAGCAGTGTTGCATAAAAGAATGCTCACTGGAACCAAGACTGCTCGAGTTGGAATACTCAGACTGCTACTTTCTAGCTGGTATAACCTTGGGCAGGCTATTTAACCTCTCTATACCTCATTTCCCTCATCTGTAAAATAGGGATAGTAGGCCGGGTGCAGTGTTCACCCCTATAATCCCACACTTTGGGAGGCCAAAGTGGGTAGAGCACAAGGTCAGGAGTTCCAGACCAGCCTGGCCAACATGGTGAAACCCCGTCTCTACTAAAAATACAAAAAATTAGCCGGCCATGGTGGTGCACGCCTGTAGTCCCAGCTACTCAGGAGGCTGAGGCAGGAGAATTGCTTGAACCCGGGAGGCAGAGGTTGCAATGAGCCGAGATTGCACTACTGCACTCCAGCTTGGGTGATAGAGCAAGACTCCATCTCAAAAAATGAGAAAAAAGATAGGGATAGTAAAAATATCTGCTTCATGAAGTTGCTGTGATGAAACATGTGAAGCAGTTACAGAAATGCCTGACATACAGTAAGTGTTCGATACATGTTAGCACTTACCGTGGTGGTGGTGGTGATTACCCTGGGCCAGCTAACCGACTGTGGAATAATCTCCTTGTATTTCACCAGGCAGTGATGATGGTCTGCTGACACTGGGAACTCTGCCTCCAAAATTTAGGTTATTCTAGGACTAAGTTAAAATGTGAACTATTCAGATTGGAGTTGGGAGTGAAAACATATTTAAATAAAATAAAACGTGAACTAGAAAAGTGGTGAAGGAGGGCAGGCATACTCTGGTCTTCCTAGGCAAATTAACTTAATCACAGTCTAGATTTATTAATTTAAATGCTTTTAAATGGTGATAGGTAGGGAGCTAAGAGGCAGACTCTTAATGTAGGTACAGATTACAGGTATATTGAAGTGTGGCACCACTTGGAGGTGTTCTCATTGCTGAACTTAACTACTTCTCTCTTGTAGTGAATGTGGTGGAGGCCCTTCAGGAATTCTGGCAGATGAAGCAATCCCGTGGGGCTGACTTGAAGAATGGGGCTCTAGTGGTTTATGAGATGGTTCCCTCCAACAGCCCTCCGTATGTCTGCTATGTCACCCTGCCTGGGGGAAGTTGCTTTGGGAGTTTCCAGGTAAGAGTTGTGAGATGACAGCAGCAGAGGTAAATGCTTAGATGTTAGTAAGGGCTTTCTCCACCACTTTGGCCGTTAAACTGCCTGAAATCAGATATTTGAGGACCTAAATCAATCCTGGGAAAATTATTCTGACAAGCGTCTGAGGCCCTCTTGACCGTAATGGAAGCTCAGTACCATGCTTTCCTTTCAAAAACTCAAACCCATTTTGAATTGGAGCAGTTATGAATATGCCCTTGTTCAGTATATCAGACTGCCGGCATCCAACCCATGCTCTGATCTGGCTTCAGTTACTGCATTCCAACTTTCTTCCATGTCTTACTGAGGATAGAACAGTAGTATTCCTTGCATCCAGTGCTTTTTCATAGGCAGTTACTAAAGAAAGCAGTGTTGGAGTTCTCTAGGAGGTCAGATCGGAGGCACGATGTGTGGGGGAAACAGTACCCATCTGGGAGTTAGGAGATCCAAGTTCCCATTCTTCTGGATGTCAACGGGGCAAATCTGTGGGCCTCACTTTTCCCATCTAGCATGAAGGAGATAGGTTAGATTATTTCTGAAGTCTTTTCTATACTAACATTCTACAATTTTATGAAATACCTGTGATGATGAAAAGAATGGTTGCCATTATGAGGTACTGAGAAATTATGGAGTGGTATGAATAGTCTCATCAAAGATCGATTTTTTACATTGCAGACAGGGAAGCAGCCTTCAGAAATGTCAATTTAGAAGTCTGAAATGGGGTCGGGTGCGGTGGCTCATGCCTGTAATCCCAACACTTTGGGAGGCCGAGGCCGGTGGATCAGAAGGTCAGGAGTTCGAGACCAGTCTGATTAAGATGGTGAAACCCTGTCTCTACTTAAAAAAAAAAAAAAAAGGGTGATGAAAAATGAGAACACATGGACACAGAGAGGGGAGTACTAAACACTGGGGTCTATTGGGGGGAAAAGGGGAGGGCCAGTGGGAGGGGGAGGTGGGGAGGGATAGCCTGGGGAGAAACGCCAAATGTGGGTGAAGGGGTGAAAGCAAACAAAACACACTACCACGTGTGTACCTATGCAACTGTATTGCATGCTCTGCACATGTACCCCAAAACCTAAAATGCAATAAAAAAATAAGAATAAAAAAAATATATATATATAATTTTAACAGTAATAAGGACAAGAAAATTGAGTGAGAAAGAAAAAAAAAAAAAATTTAGCTGGACTCGGTGGCAGGCACCTGCAATCCCAGCTACTCAGGAGGCTGAGGCAGGAGAATTGCTTGAACCCAGGAGGTGGAAGTTGCAGTGAGCCACTGCACTCTAATCCGGGCAACAGAACAAGACTCTGTCTCAAAAAAAAAAGTCTGAAATGGAATTTAGAGAAAATAATAAACACCTTTGCTGTTTTCCATATGGTTTGCGTAACCCTTAGACAAGGTTAAAAGCCCTTCTATGTGTCTCCATGGCACCTGGAACTTCCCCTATCATATCACTTATTACAACATATCATAATTGTTTGTCTCTCCTCGCGCACTGTGTTCCATGTAGGCAAAGACTGTGTCTGTCTTCTTTCACTACTATCTTTGAGTAAGTAATTAATTCTGTCGACAGTTCAAACGGGCATTTTTCCCGTCCAGTGATTATATGCTGACTTAAGCAGCCTTCCTTGTTCTGCATTCAGTTTGGCATGAGCTGCAGCCCTCTCCAGTTCCTTAATGACTTCAGGATGTTGAACCAAAGTGATGTTTCCAAACATCCCAACCGCTTTACAATAAAAACCTGGGAGAGTGTGTTGAACACAACTGATTTATCCAAAAAGCATCCAAGTGTTTTCTGTCTCAAGTGTTTCCCTCCCACTGTTCCTTCCTCTCTCTCAGATGCACAAATACACGTATTCTCACTCTTTCTCCCCTGCCTAGTTTTGCCCCACCAAAGCTGAGGCCCGGAGAAGTGCTGCAAAGATTGCGCTAATGAATTCTGTGTTTAATGAACATCCTTCCCGAAGAATCACTGATGAGTTCATTGAGAAGAGTGTCTCTGAGGCCCTGGCATCTTTCAATGTAAGTTACACGGAGCTGGAAGGAAGGAGAGTGGGGGATGGGAGAACCTGCCTGTTGGGAAGTTGTGAATTACTGTGAAACAGAGAATGAATTCTTGTTTTCTTTCTGGTCCACTTCTCTGTTCTTTTGGTCTGTTCTCTGTCAGTCTATTGTGTCATGTGCTCCACATGTCTCAGTCTCTAATTCTTTATCTGTTTATGTGTTTTTTGTTGTTTTGTCTCTTTCATTGTCTCTTTAGTATCTAAAAATCTTTAATTCCAGATTTATGGAATTGTAGAGCTTCCAAAATGAAAATTGAGGTTGAATTTTGCTTTTGCTAATTTTGGCTTAAGACTTAATTCCTGCTGTCCTTTTTTTATCAGACTGCTTCTATTGTTACTTGTCTCCTGCCTCCATTACTTCATCTTACTGATAAAGAACTCGTTTATAATAAAATGTCTTGTTTCTTTAATCTATTTTAGGGACAAGGAGGATAATTTATTTACTCTCTTTATTTACAACTGTTCTTTCAAATGATGATGATAAGAACCATAGTTAATCCTAATTGAGTATTTACCTTGTAGCAGGGAGTCTTCTAGGGGATTTACATGTATTTTATCTCATTTGATATCACAACAATCCTGTGAGGTGTAAGTACTATCACTGCCCCTATTTTACAGATGAGGAGACTAAAAACACAGAAGTAAACTATTGCTTAACATAATATAGCTAGTAAGTGGTCACACCAAGATTAGAACCCAAGTTGACTTAATATAGAGTTACATCTTAGAAATTAACACTGCCGGCCGGGCACGGTGGCTCATTCCTGTAATCCCAGAATTTTGGGAGGCCAAGGTGGGTGGATCACAAGGTCAGGAGTTCAAGACTAACCTGGCCCAGATGGTGAAACCCCCGTCTCTACTAAAAATACCTAAAAATAACTCGGGAGGTAGAGGTTGCAGTGAGCCAAGATCATGCCACTGCACTCCAGCCTGGGCAACAGAGCGAGACTCCATCTCAAAAAAAAAAAAAAAAAGAATTAACACTGACATCTTCCTTCCTTTACACAAATTCATTGATAATCAAACCAAGTATCTGTTCTATTTGCATTTAATTACATGTAGATGTAATTACAGGCCAAGCAGAGTAGCTCATGCCTGTAGTCCCAGCACTTTGAGAGGCCAAGGTGGGTGGATCACTTGATGTCAGGAGTTTGAGACCAGCCTGACCAAATGGTAAAACCCCATCTCTTCTAAAAGTATAAACATTAACCAGGCATGGTGGTGCATGCCTGTAGTCCCAGCTACTCAGGAGGCTGAGGCAGGAGAATCACTTGAACCGGGAGGCAGAGGTTGCAGTGAGCTAAGACTGTGCCATTGCACTCCCACCTGCATGATAAGAGTGAAACTCCATCTCAATAAATAAATAAATAAATTCCTTGTTATTAAAATTATGGTTCTAGGTCGGGTGTGGTGGCTCACACCTGTAATCCCAGCACTTTGGGGGCTGAGGCGGGCAGATTACTTGAGCTCAGGAGTTGGAGACTGGTCTGGGCAACATGGTGAAACTCCATCTCTAAAAACACAATTAGTTGGGCATGGCGGCATGCACCTGTTGTCCCAGCTACTTGGGCGGGGGGGGGGTCTGAGGCAGGAGTATTGCTTGAGACCAGGAGTTCAAGCCTGCAGTGAGCCAAGATTGCGCTACTACATTCCAGCCTGGGTGACAAAGTAAGACCCTGTCTCAAAAAAAAGAAAGAAAGAAAGAAAGAAAAAAGAAATTATGGTTCCTGGCTGAGCGCAGTGGCTCACACCTGTAATCCCAGCACTTTGGGAGGCTGAGGCGGGTGGATCACGAAGTCAGGAGTTGGAGACCAGCCTGGCCAATATGGTAAAACCTCAGCTCTACTAAAAAATACAAAAATTGTAGTCTCAGCTACTTGGGAAGCTGAGGCAGAAAAATCACTTGAACCCAGGAGGCAGAGGTTGCAGTGAACTGAGATTGTACCCTGCACTCCAACCTGGGCAGCATAGTGAGACTTCATTTCAAAAAAAAGGTTCTGTAGTCATCATTTGGGATCTGTGTGGGATTGGTTCCAGTACCTTCCAGAGATACCTAAACCCAAGGATGCTCAAGTCCTTCATATAAAATAGCACAGCACAGCCTGGGCAACATAAGGGGACTCCATCTTTACAATAATAAAATAAAATAATTAGCTAGGTATGGAGGCACTTGACTGTGATCCCAGCTACTTGGGAGGCTGAGGCAGGAGGATCACTTGATCCCAGGGAGGTCGAGCCTGCAGTGAGCCATGACTGCACCACTGTACTCCAGCCAGGGTGACAGACAGAACAAGACAGTCTCAAAAAACAATAAAGTACAGTATTTGCATATAACCTATGCACATCCTCCCAAATGAATGCTTTAAACCATCTCTAGATTACTTATAATACCTAATGCAATGTAAATGCTGGGTCGGGCATAGTGGCTCATGCCTGTAATCCCAGCACTTTGGGAGGCCAAGGTGGGCAGATCACCTGAGGTCAGCTGTTCAGGACCAGCCTGGCCAACATGGTGAAACCCATCTCTACTAAAAATACAAAAATTAGCTGAGCAGGGTGGTGTATACCTATAATCCTAGCTACTCAGGAGGCTGAGGCAGGAGAGTTGCTTGAACCCAGGAGGAAGAGGTTGGAGTGAGCTGAGATCATGCCACTGCGCTCCAGCCTGGGCAACAGAGTAACAGAGTGAGACTCCATCTCAAAAAAACCAAATAAATAAATAATAATAATAATTATTATTATTTTTGAGATGGAGTTTCACTCTTGTTACCCAGGCTGGAGTGCAATGGCGCAATCTTGGCTCACCACAACCTCCGCCTCCTGGGTTCAGGCAATTCTCCTGCCTCAGCCTCCTGAGTAGCTGGGATTACAGGCACGCGCCACCATGCCACGCTAATTTTTTGTATTTTTAGTAGAGACAGGGTTTCACCATGTTGACCAGGATGGTCTCGATCTCTTGACCTCATGATCCACACGCCTCGGCCTCCCAAAGTGCTGGGATTATAGGTGTGAGCCACTGCGCCCAGCCCATAAATTTTTATTTTAACTTAAATTTTATTTAATTCTCAAAGCAATCCTTTAAGGTAGCTCTATGATTATCCCCATCTTACAGATGAGGAAACTGCAGAACAGAGAGGTTAAATGACTTTGCGAAGCCCACACTATTTGTAGGAGTTCCATTCCATGCTCTTAACTTCTATGCTGTATTGGTTTTTATACACATTAGGCTTGAATGCAGGGCAATGTGTCTTGATTCTAACCCTGCAGGGTTACATAACTAATAAAAGACACAATAGGCCAATGTCCAGAAGACCACACTGCTACCCAGAATTTGTCACAGTTATACCAGATTTAAGAAACTCAGTACAAGAATATAAAATATTTCATTAATAATATTTATACTGACTACAGTTGAAAAATAATATTTTGAACACAATGGGTTAAATAAGATACATTATTAAAATTAATTTTAATTAATAAAATTAATTTTACCTGGTTTTTTTTTTGAGACAGCGTATCTCTCTGTCATCCAGGCTGGAGTACAGTGGCCTGATCTCTGTAATCTCTGCCTCCCAGGTTCAAGTGATTCTCCTGCCTAAGGCTCCTGAGTAGCTGGGATTTACAGCACCCACCCCCACGCCTGGCTAATTTTTATATTTTTAGTAGAGATGGGGGTTTCACCATGTTGACCAGGCTGGTCTCGAACTCCTGACCTCCAGTGATCCACCCATCTTGGTCTCCCATGGTGCTGCGATTACAGGTGTGAGCCACTGCACCCAGACTTACCTCTTTATTTATTTTTTTTTTGTTTTGCTTTTAATCTTTACCTCTTTATTTTTACTTTATGTGGCAGAGATAAAATTTTAAATTAAATATGTGGCTTGCATTTTTTTTTTTTTTTTTAGACAGTCTCGCTCTTGTTGTTCAGGCTGGAGTGCAATGGCACGATCTCAGCTCACTGCAACCTCAGCCTTCCAAGTTCAAGCAATTCTCCTACCTCAGTCTCCCAAGTAGCTGGAACTACAGGCATGAGCCACCATGCCCGGCTAATTTTTGTATTTTTTAGTAGAGATGGGGTTTCTTGATGTTGCTCAGGCTGGTCTCAAACTCCCAACCTCAGGTCATCCATTTGCCTGAGCCTCCCAAAGTGCTGGGATTACAGGCGTGAGCCACTGTGCCCGGACGCTTACATTATATTTCTCTTGGACAATGCTACTGAAGATGGTAATCCTGGTTGAAAATCTATTTGTCTTTTCTGTTCTTCTACTACCAGGGCAACAGGGAGGAAGCTGACAACCCAAATACAGGGATTGGTGCCTTCCGATTCATGCTGGAATCCAACAAGGGCAAATCAATGTTGGAGTTCCAGGTACTTCCCCATGTACTTCCTGGCTCTAATAACATGGTCAGCCTGCTACTATAATATATAATGCCTCCTACTAATTCCTAACTCTTCAATACTGGAAAGGAAAGAAAGTTGTTACACTGTTTTGCAAATCCTGGCAGGGCGTGGTGGCTCACACCTGCAATCTCAGCATGTTGGGAGGCCGAGGTGGGTGGATCACTTGAAGCCAGGAGTTTGAGACCAGACTGGCCAACATGGCAAAGCTCCAGCTCTACTAAAAATACAAAAATTAGCTGGGCATGATGGCACATGTCTGTAGTCCCAGCTACTTGGGAGGCTGAGGCAGAATTGCCCGAACCCAGGAAGCAGAGGTTGCAGTGAGCTGAGATTGCACTACTACACTCCAGCCTGGGTGACAGAGCAAGTCTCTGTCTCAAATAGATAAGTAAGTAAGTAAATAAATACTTTCCTTTCCCCAAAGGCCTGTCAGAGTTAGTGATGAGAGATGCTTCTACAAATCCATATTCTAAAAGATTTCCCATGTAATTCTGATGCAACCTCCCAATATAAAATCACTGTCCTAGGCCGAGCATGGTGGCTCACGCTTGCAATCCAAGCACTTTGGAGGCCACAGCAGGTGGATCACCTGAGGTCAGGAGTTCAAGACCAGCCTGACCAACATGGTGAAACCCCATCTTAAAAAAAAAAAAAAAAAAATCACTGGTACTTCCTATCCTCTTCCCCTAGGAGCTAATGACAGTTTTTCAACTGCTGCACTGGAATGGCAGCCTGAAGGCCATGAGGGAACGACAGTGCTCTCGGCAGGTAAGAGAGTTTAGGAGTGGGGCCGAATGCGGGAGCAGAATCTGTCAACAGACTCTTTTGAGGTGGTTACTGTTACAAATAAGGTCTACTGTGACCTATGTTGAGAATATTGAAAGCCTTACCTAAGTACCCTCTTCGTTCCTATCATCTCTCCTGTTTAAATCTTAGCTGTGATTGTCTATCTTGCTTCTCCCACTAGGAAGTTTCCTTTAAGAATCTCCTTGAAGGACTCAGGTGCTGACCTCAGTCAGGTCTCTAAAGCTAAGAGTTCCTAGTCCCAGTTGGGTCAGTGTGGTATGTATGATATGAACCTTTACCTTCTCAATGATGTTCACATTCCCCTCCCCTACTAGGAGGTGTTGGCTCATTATTCACACCGGGCCCTGGATGATGATATTCGCCACCAAATGGCCTTGGACTGGGTGAGCCGGGAGCAGAGTGTGCCGGGGGCACTGTCTAGAGAGCTGGCCTCCACTGAGCGGGAGCTGGATGAAGCTCGACTGGCAGGCAAGGAGCTGCGCTTCCACAAGGAGAAGAAAGATATTCTCATGCTGGCTGCTGGGCAGCTGGGCAATATGCATTCTTCCAACTGCTAGGCATCCACCCACATACTTGCCATCCTCTCCAAGGCCTTTTTTGTATGTCTCCTTTCTAAGATTTAGGATGACGTTTTGTACATACTTTCTCAATTTTATACTTAAATATATATATATATATATATATATATGTACATGTATAAATTCTACACCTAGATTCCTATTTGCTAAGAGACCCCTTTTCTTACTTCCAGCTTTTGGATGCACTTTTATTTGCAACACCTTTACTCCACTTTACAAGAAAGAGCAGGTGGTCTTTGAAGCTTTGTTAGCTCCTAAACTGCCAGTGACTTCTGTAGTCATTTCAGTAGCACCAAGATTGGCTCGGTGTTCATGTATCTCAGTCTTTTCAAGTATCAGGATGAGGATTATATGCCCCATCCTTACTCTCACTCCTGCTTCCTCTTGGGCTCCAACATGGTACGAGTATGAAGATCCTGCCTTTAGTTCTTGAACCGAACCTGCTTGGTATCCCTTTCCTCCCACCGCTACCTTACTCCTCGCTGCCTCCAAATGCCGCTTTGTTTTCAGGCTTCCCTACCTTACTATTCTGAAGGAAGAAGAGATCTTGCTTCTGAAACCACTCCTAAGAAACTGCCCAGGGACAAGGTAAATTACAAACAGTTCATGGGAGTTTACTACCCAAGTTGCTTCTAGGGCATATGCATACCATACTAATGGTCTAGATTTCTGGCTATACGCTACAGTAAGATGGGGGTTTTGTTTGAAACTGATTATCTTTCAGTATTTCTTCTGCACATCTCCCCTCCTCACCCAGCTTAGTTAAACCCTGTGTTTAGACCTTCCTGCCTGCAGATATTAGTAGAAGGTAAAACATATTTCCATATTTCCCTTCAGCCAACATTTTATTTTTTGGAAGCGTCATCAGTCCTATTTGGTTAGTGAGGACCATGTTCCCCATATTCCCGCTACGTTGCTGCTGTTTACTGCCTTAGAGTCTCACTTGTTTTCTCTCTTTTCTTTCCTCTTGTTCTACATGAATATGAGTTCATCAGAAAAATTAAATGAGACTTTAGTATTTTGGCACTTCCTAATTGATACCTTCAGAGGCTGCAGGAAGGGAAAGAGAATCAATGATCAACTATTTGTGTGTGTGTGTGTTTTTTTTTCCTGGATACAGAGTCTTGCACTGTTACTCAGGCAGGAGTGCAATGGCATGATCTCAGCTCACTGTGACCTCCACCTCCCAGGTTCAAGTGATTCTCCTGCCTCAGCCTCCCGAGCAGCTGGGATTACAGGCACATGCCACCTTGCCTGGCTACATTTTGTATTTTTAGTAGAGACAAGGTTTCACCATGTTGGCCAGGCTGGTCTTGAACTCCTGACATCAGGTGATCCACCTGCCTTGGCCTCCCACAGTGCTGGGATTACAGGCATGAGCCACCGTGCCCAGCCTATCTGTGTCTTTAATACCATTCTTCCCCACCTCTCTCCTGGGTGACATAAGAGAAAAACAAACTGGAGTAGAGTAGCTAAAGTGGTCTCCTTTGGGAGAATTTTTTGGAGGTCTCTAATAGACATATCCCCCTTGTTTCTGTCATCTCTTTTATACCACATTATTGTTCCATGTACTTTCTAAACTGAGCATGGGAAGTTTAGTTTTCCTGCAATTGGACTTTCCACTTAACAATTATACACTTTACCCTTAGAAAAGATTAGGTTCCAAACAGAAAGTTCAAGTGTAACAACAAAAAGAAATAGATTAGGAACTGGGCCATCATTTGCTCTTTTGGATTTGATAGAGGCAAGATGAAAGGCAGCTTCTTGCTTTTGAAATCATGGTGACGAGTACTATGGGATTAGAGGTAGGGAATCCAGCTACACTTTTACTGGGGCTTGAAACAGGCTTCCTTGAATTCTCCAGGCCTCATCATTATTTTTTTCTTACCAATCAGAAGAGAGGTAGAGTTCTGAAGTCCCATCTTTGTATTCCATGAAACACACGGTGGGTTGGACTAAAGCACAAACTGCTAGACGTACCAGGTGTGTGTGTTTGTGTGGATATTTATAACCTGCACTCGTCAACGCTCCAGCTTCTCCTGTGCTCCCTTCTCTGAGAAGAAGTGTGGGTTAAGTGCTGTGAGTTGTGGGAAGAATTGCCCTTGTACCTCCTGGATTTATTACTTTCCTCAAATACCAACCAGTAAGATTCCCAAACAGCTTGAGAAAAATTGTTTCCTGATCTGTCCACTTTCGGTGTCAAAGATTTTACTCATCTTCTTAGTACATTCTATGTATTTTATATGTATAATTTTATACAATTAAAAATAGATTTTTGTCTAGTGAGCCAGACTGACTCTTTCTTGAGACGTATCTATCAAGAGAAGTTCTAAAACATCCCTGCCCTTTTACATATATAATAAATAAGAATTTGTATTAGCATGTTTGGGGTGGTAGAAATGATTGTTCAGCTGGGGAAAGGCAGCCTGCCTCCCTTTCTCCAGACATTTCACCTGGACTTTGTCCTTGGCCCTTTCTCCTCAAGCTCTACCCCGCGACTGGCAATCTCATCCACTGTGGTGGCTTCAATTCCACTATACACATGACTCTCAAATCTATTTCTTCCCCAACCTGTTTTGAGCTTTTACATCTATTTTCTGCATACTAGACATGGCCACCTGAATATGACAAAAGCACTTTGAAACAGATCTAAAATAAAATCTATTTCTCCATACTCATTCCTCTTTGACTCTCTAGATCTATTATTCGAATTATTGTCTACCCTGTTACGTAAGCCACACGCCTCAGACCCACCCTCAACTCTTCTCTACCACACTCTAACCAGTCACTGTTGAGTCTACCTCCTCATCTCCTTTTTTTCACCCCGCCCTCTAATCTCCTAATACATATATATAAATTTGTTTTTATTTTTGAGATGGAGTTTTGCTTTTCTCACCCAGGCTGTACCGCAATGGTGTAATCTCAGTTCACTACAACCTCTACCTCCCCGGTTCAAGCGATTTTCTTGCCTCAGCCTCCCTAATAGCTTGGATTACAGGCACCCAACACCACACCTGGCAAATTTTTGTATTTTTAGCAGAGACGGGGTTTCACCATGTTGGTGAGACTGCTCTCAAACTCCTGACCTCGGGTGATCCGCCCGCCTTGACCTCCCACAGTGCTGGGATTACAGGTGTGAGCCACCGTGCCCGGCCTACCTCCTGATATGTTTTGTCTGTATCTGCTGCCTTAGTTTAGGTTCGGTCCTTTCTCATCTCCAGACTGGATCACTGCTATAGCTTCCCAGCTGGTTTTCACCTCTGATCTTAGCATGCTCCGTACTACTGTCGTTATCTTTTTTTTTCTTTTTTTGTAATTTTTACTACTGTCGTATTTCTTTATAAAATACTTATGACTGTGACACTCCCTTGCTTAAGCCTTCACTTAGCTATCTACCTTTAGCAGCATTTCCCAGTGTTTTTGTTTGTTTGTTTTTGAGACAGGGTCTCACTCTAATGCCCAGGCCAGAATGCAGTGGCGTGATTTTGGCTCACTGCAACTCTGCCTCCCAGGCTCAAGGGATCCTCCCACCTTAACCTTCAGAGTAGCTGGTACTACTCTGCACACACCACCATACCCAACTAATTTTTTTTTTTTTAGAGATGGGGTCTTGCTATGTTGCCCAGCCTGGTCTTGAACTCTTGAACTCAAGCTATTCACCCACCTTGGCCTCCCAAAGTGCTGGCATTACAGTCATGAGCTACAATGCCCAGCCTACCATTTCCCAGTTTTATATGTGTTCCTGAGATTATTTTAGATGATAGATGGGCAAACAGTTTTTGTTTTTGTTTTTTTTGAGATGGAGTCTCGCTCTGTAGCCCAGGTAGAGTGCAGTGGTGCGATCTTGGCTCACTGCAACCTCTGTCTCCCGGGTCCCAGTTCAAGCAATTCTCCTACCTCAGCCTCCCAAGTAGCTGGGATTACAGTCATGAGCCACCATGCCCAGCTAATTTTTGTATTTTTTAGTAGAGACAGGGCTTCACCATATTGGCCAATCTGGTCTTGAACTCCTGACCTCGTGATCTGCCTGCTTCGGGATCCCAAAGTGCTGGGATTACAGGCATGAGCCCACGCCTGCCCGGCAAACAGTTTTTAATAGTTATGCTTTTATCTAAATTTGGTTGGTTGTGATTCCAGCAATGCAGTTTATTAAACAAAATTATAAAGTGACTATTCCCTTGAAAGATAGCATCAAAAACTAGTTTTGAGAAAGAAGATGAAAGGCTCAGTCTATAATTCCTGGATGCCAAGAAGCAGAGTTTTTCAGAATTAAAAACAAATTAAGAGCTCACTTTTATCTAAATTTGTAATAGAAAAATATTGATTTTCTATTCAGTGTAAATTTATGTTTAAAGTCAGTCTAAGGGAAAATAAGCAAAAACTAGTATGGGGACTATTTGCAAATATTAAAAACCATGAATACTTAAATATTTGAAGTAGGTAATTTCTTGCTTATAGGATAAATTCCAAAATCCTTAGCATAGCAGACCTTAAACTGTATTTCCAGCTTTATTTTCCAGTTACATAACAGCAGGAAGACAGAATTTCTTGCTATTCTAATATCCATTCATTCAGTAAGTACCAAATGTCTACTACGAGCCAGACACTGGGCTAAACTTTGGGGGTTTTAGCTGTAAATAACTATCTCTGCCATAAGGATTAATTTTAATGGGAAAAACAAGTTAGTGGTAGGCATAGTGGCTCATGCCTGTAATCCCAGCACTTTGGAAGGCTGAGACTGTCAGATCACCTGAGGTCAGGAGTTCAAGACCAGCCTGACTAACAGGGAGAAACCCCATCTCTACTAGAAATACAAAAATTAGCTAGGTGTAGTGGCACACGCCTGTAGTCCCAGCTACTCAGGAGGCTAAGGCAGGAGAAAGCTTGAACCCAGGAGGCGGAGGTTGCAGTAAGGTAATATCACATCACTGCAGTCAAGTCTGGGCGAGAGAACAAGACTCCATCTCAAATTTTTAAAAAAGCTGCAAAAGCCCTGGGATGAGAAAGAGTACACCACAGTTGACTGAAAGTGTAGGGCGAGCTCAATGGGTAACAGGGAAGAATGGTGGTTGAACAGGTTGAAGACACAGGCCAAGCTGGCTGTGTGAGTTTGAATTTTTATTCTAAGTGCAGCAAAAAGCCAAGGGAAGAGCCAGGTGCAGGGTTACATGCCTGTAGTCCCAGCTGCTTGGGACACCAGAGGATCCTTCATGCCCAAGAGTTTCAGGCCAGCCTGGGCAATATAGCCAGACCCCTCTAACAAAAAAGGGTTTTTGGCTCAGAGCAGTGGCTCATGCCTGTAATTCCAGCACTTTGGGAGGCTGAGGTGGGCAGATCACGAGGTCAGGAGATCGAGACTATCCTGGCCAACATCGTGAAACCCCGTCTCTACTAAAAATACGAAAATTAGGCCAGTGTGGTGGCAGGCGCCTGTATTCCCAGCTACTCAGGAGGCTGAGGCGGGAGAATCCCTGGAACCCAGGAGGCGGAGACTGCAACAAGTTGAGGTTGCAGCGAGCCAAGATTGCACCACTACACTCCAGTCTGGGCGACATAGCAAGACTCTGTCTCAAAAAAAAAGTTACGGGGCGGGGGGGAGTTAGTAGGTATGTAACCACACTGATTTTTAAGACGGTCACACTACCTACTGTGAAAATGCATTAGTGTCTCCTAATTGCTTTTTAAATTTTATTTTTCACTTTATTCTTTTTCTTTATTTTATTTATTTATTTTTTTGGAGATGGAGTCTCAGTCTGTCACCCAAGCTGGAGGGCAGTGGTGAGATCTCAACTCGCTTGCAACCTCCTCTCCCGGGTTCAAGTGATTCTCCTGCCTCAGCCTCTCGAGTAGCTGGGATTACGGGTGCACTCCACCATGCCCAGTTAAATTTTGTATTTTTAGTAGAGATGGGGTTTCGCCATGTTGGCCAGGCTACTCTCAAACTCCTGACCTCAGGTGATCCAACAGCCTCCGCCTCCCAAAGTGCTGGGATTACAGGCATGAGCCAGTGCACCCGGCCCTCTTTCTCACTTTTAATTTTCAGTTTTCCCACAGAAGGGTCTCCTAATCTCAATACAACTTCTTTGCCTGGAAAAGTACTTAGCCTCAAAGGTCCAATTGAAACCCGAAGTTCTTGCAGTTCCTAGAAACTTTCCTTGTACTGCCACAGCACTTTATGACAGCAATTATCACTCTCATACAATGTTTATAATGTAATTATTTGCCCTTTTATTGCCAGCAACTCCTTTAATATTAGACATCCATGCAGGCATTCAGAAATAAGTGAATCTGGCCCACTACTTTTTAAGGTTTACATCAGGATTCCAGAATTTGGGGGGCCACTGTTTCAAATCTGAGGTTTGCAAACGTGAAATACCTGTACCATCCTGAAAAAAAGATAAAGCCCCTATTTTGCTGAAGGCCATAATTGATATAATTTAAAAGCTAATACGAGTAATTCCCAGAAGTATTAAGGGAGTTTTATCTTTTTTTTTTTTTTTTGAGACGGAGTCTCGCTCTGTCACCCAAGCTGTAGTGCAGCGGCCTGATCTCGGCTCACTGCAAACCTCCACCACCCGGGTTCAAGCGATTCTCCTGGCTCAGCCTCCTGGGTAGCTGGGATTACAGGTAGGGAGTTTAAAAACAAAAAACCCCTGATATCTGTCTCACCAATCGTATTGCAACCAGGTCTGTTAGTTTCTTGAAGACAAATTCGGTGCTGCAGAATGTTTCAGAAGCAGTTATTCGTGCCCGCACTGCTATCAAACTATTTTTTTTTCTTTTTTTTCTTACCTCAGAAGATGCCGCTTTATATCAAACTATTTTTTAGAAACGCTCCTATCATACAGCACTCTGCCTCGGAACAGGGTAAAGGCCTGGAATTTTTGAAAAAGTTTCTTCAGTTACCATTTCCCGGATTGGGATGAAGCCCTCTAACAAGGAAATTACGCCGATCCTTACTGTGAATAGTACAGTATTTCTCAACAGCTGCGGCGGCTAAGAGGAGGCAACTAACCCCTGTAATCGGTACCTCCCAACATGGCAGCATTTAGCTCGCGACCTGCTCAAGATGGCCACAGAAACACTTCCGGCATCTTCCTGAACTAGGCCCGCCCCCATTGCGTATTTTTACCGTGCCGAGGGCGGGATTTAGAGTTAGCCTTTGATTGGTCAGCTTCACTGGTGACCTTTCCCCTCTGCGACAGTTTCCCGAGGTGCCTAGTGTTTGAGCGGCACAGACGAGAGCTCCATCGAAGGCAAGATGGCGGACGTGCTAGATCTTCACGAGGCCGGGGGCGAAGATTTCGCCATGGATGAGGATGGGGACGGTGAGGACAGTGGAGGCGGCTGCGGGAAGCGGGGAAGGTGCGAGAGAAGGCTGTGATAGGAAAATTTACTCTTTTTTGTCCCCGGTCGTGAGGATGGGAATCGGGTAACCGGGTCTTGGGTGGACTAGAGACTCCTCCCCTTTAGGAGAAGGGAGGGCGGGACCGGGAAGCGACTGAGACTAGAGGCAGTTTGGGTCGGATTGCAGATAGTGTCTTGGGAAAGACAATTGTTACAAATGACTGTCATGGTTACTTACTCTCTTCTTTTCTTGGGCTCCAGAGAGCATTCACAAACTAAAAGAAAAAGCGAAGAAACGGAAGGGCCGCGGCTTTGGCTCCGGTGAGTGTGGGCAAAGTCGGGTAGAGCTGCGGGTTTTGGAGTCCCCACCTAACTCATAGGAACAATGGGAGAAAGGAGGAGGTTTCGGTGATCTCGTGTCTGTCCCTTATAGAAGAGGGGTCCCGAGCGCGGATGCGTGAGGATTATGACAGCGTGGAGCAGGATGGCGATGAACCCGGGCCACAACGCTGTGAGTAATAATGGAACCTGTGAGTTATCCGTGTTTATGGTAGTTAGAAACCAATAAAATAGTTAAACGCAGTAGAAATGGATTCAGAGATAGTTTAAACAATCCCTGGCCTGGTGCAGTGGGCTCACACCTGTAATTCCAGCACTTAGGGAAGCCTAGGCGGCTGGATTATGAGATCAAGAGATCGAGTCCATCCTGGCCAACCTGGTGAAACCCCGTCTCTACTGAAATACAAAAAATTAGCCAGGCGTGGTAGTGAACGCCTTTAGTCCCAGCTACTCGGGAGGCTGAGGCAGGGGAAGCGCTTGAACCCAGGAGGTGGAGATTCAGTGAGCAGACATTGCGCCACTGCACTCCAGCCTGGTGACAGAGCAAGACTCCATCTCAAAAACAAAAACAATCTGAATCCGCACTCAGTCCACTCCTGTGAGCCTGCTTGAAGTGTTTCTCTCATGTACTTAGACAACTTCCCTCCGTCCCTCAACAGCTGTTGAAGGCTGGATTCTCTTTGTTACTGGAGTCCACGAGGAAGCCACTGAAGAAGATATACACGACAAATTCGCAGAATATGGGGAAATTAAAAACATTCACCTCAACCTCGACAGGCGAACAGGATATCTGAAGGTATCCAATGAAGTGATACTTCATTGCCTCTCTTCTTTCATAACTCTTAGTATTGGTAGTTCTGTGTTTGATGTGGTTGGAGCAAAGTTGAAATAAAATGACATTGGAAATCCATGTTTTATCAGACACGGAAGAGACAGAAACAGACATGATGAATATATACAGTAGAGATATATGATGTACATTCATTGCTTAAAGTTTATAGGTTTTTCTGAGATTGAATTTGAGGAAAAGGATACTCAGTGATGCTTGGGGAAATAGGAGGGTTTTCATATCTGTCTTTTCACTTTCCCCAGGGGTATACTCTAGTTGAGTATGAAACATACAAGGAGGCCCAGGCTGCTATGGAGGGACTCAATGGCCAGGATTTGATGGGACAGCCAATCAGTGTTGACTGGTGTTTTGTTCGGGGTCCACCAAAAGGCAAGAGGAGGTAAAATGAAGAGGGCAAACACTGTTTGGGTGAAGGGAATACGAACGAAACAGAATGAGGGCGTAGTATTATGTCCCTCTAATGGACTTTTCCCTGCTTCTTTGTTCCCTAGAGGTGGCCGAAGACGCAGCAGAAGTCCAGACCGGAGACGTCGCTGACAGGTCGTCTGTTGTCCAGGTGTTCTCTTCAAGATTCCATTTGGCCATGCAGGCTTGGACAAACAGGACTGGGGTGGAACTTGCTGTGTTTATATTTAATCTCTTACCCTATGTGTGTAGTATTTCTTTTGAGTTGCAAATAAATGTTCAATTTTTTGTTTTCTACATTTAATGTTACTTTCCTGTCCTAAAATTAAAAGTTCTAAAGCATAGTAAGGCAGTATGGAGCATTGTGAAGATACTCCTAGGGACTGAACTGTATGTATTTCTTTTTTTCTTTTTTTGAGATAGAGTCTTGCTGTGTTGTCCAGGCTGGAGGGCAGCTGCACGATCATAGCTCACTGAAGCTTCAAACTCCTGGGCTCAAGCCATCCTTCTGCCTCACCCTCCCAAGTAGCTGGGGTTACAGGCACATGCCACCATGCCTGGCTAAACTTTTAATATTTCTATAGAGATGAGGTCTCACTGTGTTGCCCAGGCTAGTTGTGTGAGTTTCTGTATTAGACATAGTCTCAAGTTCAGGCAGGGTTTAAAATGGAGACACTGCTCAGTATTTCTTTTTGGGGGGGATTAGGAGAGCAGGAAATTGAGACGTTAAGATCTTATGGTATTAAAGAATTATTGTGTTTCTCTATACTGTGTTAGGATCAGATTGATGTTATAGAAATGTCTTTTGTTTCTCCTGCCTTTCTTGATGTCACAGTTTTTTGTACTTCCGTTTGTCTAAGGGCTTGAATGTCCTGTTGGAACATTCTCCTAGACCCTTCTTCCCTAGAAGAGTCCATACTAAGTTCTTGGTGCCCTCTTCGGCAGCCAAGGGTGAAGGCCCCATAGAGGAGAGGATCCAAAGGAGCATTGAGGAGGCCAAAGAGGAAAAGGATGTGGCTGAGGCTGGGAGGGACTTCACTTAGCATGCTTGGGGAGAACCAGTACCACAGACCTAGTAGGTAATAAGGTGTCCAGCAGAGGATGAAGGTCAGCAAGACGAGCAGGGCCAGTCTCAGGGCCCGGAGACGGACATGGGGACGATTGTCGAAGGAGCGGCGGAGGGCAAATTCCCCGGCAGGGGCTAGGAATTCAGAAAATACTCTGTGATTCAGACACTCCGTTTCTGAACTGAGTACAGGGTGAATTGATGGAGGGGCATAGCTGGTGAAGACAGCTTGCACCCTACAAGGAGAATGCTGCAAATCCTCTTCCCTTCCCAACCGGGGACTCTATGCTCTCTTACCCCCAGCGATTATGATAGAAATGTGGAGCCACCAAGTCTGCTTTAAGACTTGATTGTGTTGAAGAATAAATAGGCCAGGTGCGGTGGCTCATTCCTATAATCCCAGCACTTTGGGAGGCCGAGGCGGGTGGATCACGAGGTCAAGAGATCGAGACTACCCTGGTCAACATGGTGAAACCCCGTCTCTACCAAAAATAGAAAAATTAGCTGGGCACGGTGGTGCGCGCCTGTAGTCCCAGCTACTCGGGAGGTTGAGACAGAATTGCCTGAACCCAGGAGGCAGAGGTTGCGGTGAGCCGAGATCGTGCCATTGCACTCCAGCCTGGGTAACAAGCGAAACTCCATCTCAAAAAAAAAAAGGAATAAAGAATAAATAATACTGAGTGCCTCCCTAGTTCTTGTCCAGCTAACTCTGCTCAGCTCTTTATATTTGAAGGGATTCAACAAAGTTATCTCCAGCATCAGGCACTAGACATGGTGAAGATCTCACTTTGGTTTAGTGACTGGTAGGTAGCCATTAGGTAGGTAATAAGAGGCAACAGGTCTAGCGGTAAGGATTAAGGCCTGGGAATTGGGATTCTCACCATGGCTCCCCTTCCTTGTCCGGGGGCTGGACACACCGAGCACAATGCGGCTATAGCAGATGGCCATGGCAGTCAGTGGCAGCAGAAAGAGGCAGCAGAAAGTGAAGAGGTTATAGGTGGTCTCTTGCCATCGAGCCTTGAAGCTCCCTTTGGTGGCACACTGAGTGAAGGGAACTGGACCAGCTCGGTGGACGGTATGGAACAGGAACAGCTGGAGGGGAGTTGAGGACTATGACAACTGGTTCCCCTCACCACCCAACCTACCCACCTATGTCATACTGTCTCCTCCCAATTCATCCTTAATTCCAAGTGAAGCAGCACAGTGCTGAGAAACAGTTCACCCATAGTGCCACCTTAAAGAGGTTGGGAATGTATCGAAAGTACCTAGCTTCCTCTTAGGCTCGAATAGGATGCTGAGCAGTAAGTTTGTTAAATCTCAGAACTTAATACCGCCTTCTCAAGTATTATTCTAACATTGCACTTTATAAGGGATGGTATTACTACCACCTTACTCATTTTTAGATGAAATGATTTTTCTGATATGTGTGTTATTTTATGGGAAAAGAAATATTGTGTAATATGGGTGCTGCCAAAACTCGAGGCCATTTTGCAGCTACTCTGAAGTGACCTTTAGTAGTAATAGTCTTTTTTTTTTTTTAAGATGGGGTTTCACCATGATGGCCAGGCTGGTCTTGAACGCCTGACCTCAGGTGATCCACCCACCTCGACCTCCCAAAGCGCTAGGATTACAGGCGTGAGCCACCGTGCGGCAGTAGTAATAGTCTTATCTGCAGTAACTATAATGGTGAAATAACGTTAAATAATAAAATTTAGCATTTTCCAAGTGATACTGGCTGCTCCTCCCTCCCCCTGCCCTGCCCTGGTTTTGTTAAATTACTGGGTTTTCCAATTGAATTGGTAAAAACTATCTCAGTTTAGAGCTCCGAGATTCAAGTGTCTGGGTTCCAGTAACAAAGACTGAGTCACTGTTAATTTGATTACAGGTAAGATCAGTAGGTGTCAGATTCCTAGATACAAGACATTTGGGAAAGTGATTTTAGCAGGCATGAGGGACATTTAGGAAAGGTGAATAAAGCCGGGCACGGTGGCTCATGCCTTATAATCCCAGCACTTTGGGAGGCCGAAGCAGGTGGGTCACGAGGTCAAGAGATTGAGACCATCCTGGTCAACGAGGTGAAACCCCGTCTCTACTAAAAATACAAAAATTAGCTGGGCATGGTGGCGCGTGCCTCTAATCTCAGCTACTCAGGAGGCTGAGGCAGGAGAATTGCTTGAACCCAGAAGGCGGAGGTTGCGGTGAGCCAAGATCGTGCCTTTGCACTCCAGCCTGGATAACAACAGCAAAACTACATCTCAAAAAAAAAAAAAGGAAAGGTGAATAGTTTGATCCTAAGACAGAATTTCGTGAACTGTTTGGAGTTATGATCAGGCTACTCTGAGCTAGTTGGGAAATGGTCTTTCCTCTTCCCATCTCTTGCATTCATATATTTCTAAATTGTTTTGTTTTCTGTTTTTGTGCTTGCCTAAGAAGTACTTGGAAATGGTGAGGAGATAAAAATAATGCAAGCTCTTGGATTTACAGTTTGGTCCACGACCTTGCTTTGGTCTTTCCTTTCTCCTGTTTTATTGCCATTTATCATGTACTGCAGAAACATTCCTTTCAACTGCTGATAATGTGGAAATTTACGCCTACAAAAATAGGTAATTTCTAACTACCCCTAATACTCCCTCACCACACTAACATAACATTATTACATTTTTTATTTTATCGACACTAATATTTTAACTACAATTACAGCATATGGGCAATGCAGAATTTTACCCAAAACAATACTAATTTGGAACCAAAAAATATCACCTTTTGCACATGTATCATACATGTCACGACCAGTTTGCCATTGAAACAAACAGATGACAATTATTGTCGATTGTAAGGCTGTAAGAAAGGTTGAAATTCATTTCCCATTGCATCAGCCTGTGGCCCATGGATTTCAAGTGGCTTAGCCAAAATCATATAGCTAGTTAGCAGTAGAGCCCAGACTCAAAAAAAAAAAAAAAAGAACAAAGCAAAACAGGCAAACTGAAACAAAAAGTCTTCTAATTCTCAATCCACATCTACAATGTGCTTCATATAAACAAACCTAATTGTAAATGGCACCACAGCAACAGGCTTCTTTTGGTGGAGGTCCTGTTTATAACATATGAGTAGTATTTGTCTCTGTTCTTTCCCCTGCTCCCCAACAGAGTCTGGCTCTGTCACGCCAGAGTGCAATGGTACAGTCTTGGCTTACCCCAGCCTCTGCCTCCCAGGTTCAAACAATTCTTATGCCTCAGCCTCCAGAGTAGTTTGGATTATAGGCACTCGGGCTAATTTTTATATCTTTAATAGAGACGGGGTTTCATCACATTGGTCAGGTTGGTCTCGAACTCCTGACCTCAAGTGATCTGCCCGCCTAGGCCTTCCAAAATGCTGGGGTTTACAGGCTTGAGCCACCTGGGCCTTTCTTTGTTCTTAGAAGTATAGTCAGACTAACTTCTAGTAATTATATCTCTAATAATTGGAGGAGGTAAATAAGGGTCAAATCTTGAATCAGTAGAATGGACTCTCATTCCAGAGACAAAGCCTAGACCCTTCTTGGCCTCCTAGACATAATTCTGATCCTACAGTCTCAGACTTGGTGCTGTATCCTGTACACCCACCCCATGATAGTGATAGTGGTTTTTGTTTTGGAGGAATTGCTTTGTGTTTAGCTTCCCCCTTCCCCGCTCTGCCCCAGATTTCTAGTTCCCTTTCAGTATTTGATTTACTTGATTAACCTAGTACTCAGGTTCAGAAGCTCGCTTGTTTCCAGTTTTAACACTCATTCCACAATAAAGTCAGGGTAAAAAACACAAATTTGGTTATGTCACTCTCTTTTTACTGTAGTGTCTCTCCACTGCACTCAGGATAAAGTACAATTTTAATATTTGTGATCTGGCTCGTCTTCCCCTCTCAGCTCATTACTCACCATTTTCTAATCCTCAGCTTTAGCGGCACTGAGATCCTCTATCCTCCATCCTCCTTAGCATTTTTCCTATATTAACTGGTCTAACACCTGTCTCTGAAGAATCAAATTTTAACATCTCTGGGAAACTTTCCCTGACTGCATGGCTGCATCAGATACCCTCTCCCCCGCCACTGTCTTCTTTAGCTCCTTTACCATAACGCTTTCGAATACACACTGTATTGTAATTGCCTAATTTATTTGTTTCTTGCACTAGTCTATACAGTTCTTGAAGGCAGGATTTTGCTGCTCTATCCTTAGCATTTGAGTGGCCCTGGAGATGCACATATTTTGAATGGGTAAATGATGTACCACAGAGTTTTACCCAAACTACTGGCCTCACTCTCTTTTTTTTTTTTTTTTTTTTTTTAGACGGAGTTTCGCTCTTGTTACGCAGGCTGGAGTGCAATGGCGCGATCTCGGCTCACTGCAACCTCCGCCTCCTGGGTTCAGCCAATTCTCCTGCCTCAGCCTCCTGAGTAGCTGGGATTACAGGCACGCACCACCATGCCCAGCTAATTTTTTGTATTTTTAGTAGAGATGGGGTTTCACCATGTTAACCAGGATGGTCTCGATCTCTTGACCTCGTGATCTACCCGTCTCAGCCTCCCAAAGTGCTGGGATTACAGGCTTGAGCCACCGCGCCCGGCCTACTTTACTCTCTTAAAAGACCCACCCCCATGTATGTTTCTCTAACTTGCCCCAGTCTGAAGGAGGTGAGATTGGGAGGATGCAAAGAGGTAGAGCCAAGTGTAGTAAAAGAGATCTAATGGAAGAGGCACAGATACAGGATACTGCTTTTAAAGGCAGCCTCTAACAGATGTAAATTAACATGCAAATAATCTTCCGGAAGAGAGCAGAGGCTTTCTCCCTGAGGATTAACGGCTGATGGCCCCCAAGCACACCCTTTGACTCATCTATGGACCCAAACTCCTGTCCTCCCTGGTCCTGAGTTGCACGTCACTCACCTGGGGCAAGGCAAGCAGGAAACTAAGTCCCCAGGCTGCCCCCAGAAGTTTCCTTACACCTGAGCGGGATCCAAGCGGATTGAGTACTGCTGCCTGGCGATCCAGTCCAATGACCACAGGCAGGAAAGCTGCAGCATACATGGCCATTAGTTTCAGGAACATGAGTGTCCGACATGCGATGTCCCCAGCCAGCCACTGAACAGTGATATTCCAGGTGGCATCTAGGGGCATAACCACAAAAGTGACTAGTAAGTCGGCGGCTGCTAAATGGGCGAAGAGTCTCCTGACCGGAGAGGGGCGGAGCTGGCTGGGTTGCGGCCGTGTCACTGACCACAGGACAGCCAGGTTCCCTCCAGCCGAAGAAACAAACAGCACAATGGTCACTCCCACTCGGACCTTTGCTGCTGTCGAGAAGGTGGGCAGCTCTGAGCCCTCCACCTCCACTCCCGATCCTGCCCAGACCTCCTCCCGCGCTGAGGACCCCCAAGGGGTGCCGTTTACTGCAGACATGGTGGCCTGGAGATAGGAGGATGAAGTGTGAGTATGAAGCGGTTAGATTTGGCCACTGATTCTTCGCCCTCCTTTTCAGGATCTGGAGCTGATTATTGCGAATTTCCTTCCTTAAAGCCTCTGCGTCTGGAGACTCTCCGTATGTTCTGGAGGAGGTCACTCGTCCAACTGTCAGGGTCCTGCAGGGAACGAAGATCTGGTACCAAACTTCGTTTTTTCTTCTTTTCCCTTGGACAGATCAGCCTGGGTTTCGGGCCTCTACTGCCCTAGACCTCTTTAGTCCCTATAGCCCTGGATTCTGTTAGAGCCTGCGTGCAAGTGTGTTTAGGGTGTTCTGCCGGGGGCACACCTATCCCAGCCTCCAAGGCGAGGAGATCACTGCGGCGCTTTCTCGCCCCGCCCCGCCCCTGCAGGCCCCGCCCCGCCCCTGCAGGCCACGCCCTTTGTGCGGAATATTTAAATAAGAACGTACCGCTGGAGGCGTGCTTAGAGAGTAGAGGTCGTCTCATAAGGGGACATCCTGACGGAGACAGGCACAGTAGCACGCAGACAGGCTCAAAGACAGGCGTTTCGCGTCCTGAAATTCCGCTTTAAGGGCCAGCTCCACTCGCTTTCTTTTCTGATGTTGTTTGTCCCTCGCAAGGCACCGTTGGGTCGCGCAGGAGGCGTGACTAGGGGCGAGAAGTGGGGCGGGAGCGGGGCCGCCGAGCCGGGGCTGCCGCTGTCATGGACGCCTGGGTCCGCTTCAGTGCTCAGAGCCAAGCCCGGGAGCGGCTGTGTAGGTGCGGCCCGAATAGGAATGGGGGTGGGGGGAGGGACGGGCAGAGGAAGACTGGTGAGGCGAGGTCAGTTCAGGCTACGGAGGGTCAAGAAGGGTTAATACTGGCTACGGGGGCCGGAACGGACCGCGTGAGGCGCAGATTTGAGCCGCTCTTGAGGAGATGATTCTTTTCCGCTCGCGGAAGAGATGGGGAAACTGAGGCATGAGTGGGCCAGCGGGGAGGCCGCTCAGGGTTGCGGTGTCCACATACGACCGACAGCGTCCTCACTGGGCGGTGATGGAATGAGGAGCATTCGCCCCATGGCGGGTAGCCCTGGACTGTACCCCCAGAGCTGACAAGGCACTCCCAGTTTCCATGTCCCCTCACCGTGCTGTCATTCGGGAACTCCTCTGCCGCCGCTCTGGCGTTTGGTCTCCATTCAGCTAGAGGGCCTTGAAATCTCTTATTCAGCTATTCTGATGAATAAAATGCCCTGCAACTGTCTGCCTCCCCCTCATCGATCACGTACATGCTCACGCCGATGTGCTGGTGATGGACCCCTGCGGCCTTCACTGGCCCCTCAGGCCTCATCATTGTCAAACTTCTTATTTCCTCAACTTTCAGTAGTGCTCTCACCCCTTCCTAGGCTCTTTTTTCTCCTTATCCCGTTCCCTTCCCCTGGCCTGGAGAAATGGTGAGATATGGGCATGGAGGAAGAAAGAGAGTGGTCTCAAACTGGAAAAGGGGGAAGCCTGCCTTTGCCTTTTGGAGGATAGTTTTGAGCGGAAGGTCAGGGAGGTCTCCACCTTACCTTGCCTGCCCTCTCCTCTAGGGCCGCCCAGTATGCTTGCTCTCTTCTTGGCCATGCGCTGCAGAGGCATGGAGCCAGTCCTGAGTTACAGAAACAGATCCGACAGCTGGAGGGCCACCTGAGCCTTGGAAGAAAGCGTAAGTAACTCTGTCTTTTCTTTTATCTCCCCAACCCTTCCTCCGCCGCACCTCTCCTTCCTAGGTCCCTCCTTCCTGTACCTTCTGCCCCTGTTCTTCCTCATTTGGCTCTGCACTTACCCTCTGCTTGCGTCCAGTTGAGCCAAGAGAGCAGGGGTATGGAAGTAATTAGGAGGATTGGAGAGAATGGGGCAAGTTTGAGAAAAGTAAACTGGCACAAAAATTAAATTGGAAATTGGAAAATGAACTGTTGCCAGGCGTTGTGGCTCACGCCTATAATCCCAGCACTTTGGGAGGCTGAGGCAGGCGGATCACCTGAGGTTAGGAGTTTGAGAGCAGCCTGACCAATATGGTGAAACCCTGTCTTGAAAAAAGAAAAAAAGAAAAATGAACTGTTTCTGCTCTTTATTTTTATTTATTTATTTATTTATTTATTTTTGTGAGACCGAGTTTTGCTCTTGTTACCAGGCTGGAGTGCAATGGCGTGATCTCGGCTCACTGCAACCTGCGCCTCCTGTGTTCAGGCAATTCTCCTGCCTCAGCCTCCTGAGTAGCTGGGATTACAGGCACGCGCCACCATATCCAGCTACTTTTTTGTATTTTTAGTAGAGACGGGGTTTCACCATGTTGACCAGGATAATCTCGATCTCTTGACCTCGTGATCCACCTGCCTTGACCTCCCAAAGTGCTGGGATTACAGGCGTGAGCCACCATGCCCGGCCTTAATTTTTATTTTTATTTGAGACGGAGTCTCACACTCACCCAGGCTGGAGTGCAGTGGTGCAATCTCGGCTCACTGCAACCTCTGCCTCTCGGGTTCTAACTATTCTGTCTCAGCCTCCTGAGCAGCTGGAACTGCAGGCGCCCACCACCACATCTGGCTAATTTTTGTATTTTTGGTAGAGACAGGGTTTCACCATGCTGGCCAGGCTGGTCTGAAACTCCTCTGATCTGCCCACCTCAGCTTCTTAATAAAGTGCTGGAATTACTGGCATGAGCCACCATGCCTGACCTGTTTCTGCTCTTTAAAAAAATTGTTGGCTGGGCCCAGTGGCTCACACTTGTAATCCTAGCACTTTGGGAGGCTGAGGCAGGTGGATCACAAGGTCAGGAGTTCGAGACCAGCCTGGCCAACACAGTGAAACCCCATCTCTACTAAAACTACAAAACTTAGCTGAACGTGGTGGTGGGCACCTGTAATCCCATCTGCTCGGGAGGCTGAGACAAGAATTGCTTGAACTGGGAAGCAGAGGCTGTGGTAAGCTGAGATTACGCCACTGCACTCTAGCCTGGGCAACAAAGCAAGACTCTGTCTAAAAAAAAATGGTTATGATTATTGCTCAATTTTTGTCCTCTTTCTCTGTTTCTTGCTATCTGCCTCTCTACTTACAAATCCTTGCTTTCCCTCTCTAATCTCCACAAGTTCTACGCCTGGGTAACTCAGCAGATGCCCTCGAGTCAGCCAAAAGAGCTGTTCACCTATCAGATGTTGTCCTGAGATTCTGCATCACTGTTAGTCACCTCAATCGAGCCTTGTACTTCGCCTGCGACAATGTCCTGTGGGCTGGAAAGTCTGGACTGGCTCCTCATGTGGATCAGGAGAAGTGGGCTCAGCGTTCATTCAGGTTTGATATCCTTTTCTCTCCTACAAGATTTTTTTGCAGCCTCTGTATTGCATAGCTTGTCTTATGTGAGGGAAAGATCTCTTAGGATCTTCCCAAAAAGTATCTAAGTCTTGATCAGTCACTTGACTTCCAATCTTCACTTAGATCTTAAAACTATCAGAGAATAACAAATGGGGGCAGATGGAAGACAGATGCTCTTCCATAATGAATGACTAATTTGTGCAAGGTAAGATATCGTATCACTTTAATTGTGCTTCTATCTATCTGTACCACAGGTTATTCCCCTTCACTACCTGCTTATTCATTCATTACAAAAATATTTATTAGATGCTTACTATGGGGCAGGGGGCATAAAGCAAAGAGCTAAAAAGATAATGTGCCTGCTGCCCTGAAGCTTCCAGTTTAGTGGGGGAGTTAGATACTAACTACAACAAATAACTTCTCATATCTATTTGTGGAAAAGTATACAGTATTATGAAAGAATATAACAAGGGGAGCTAATTTAGGTTGAAAAATCAGGAAAAACACTTTGAGAAAGTAATATTTTAGTTCAGACCTGATTTCTGAGTAGGAGGAGTTAACAAAGCCAACAGTAACAGAAAAGATATTTTGAAACAGAGAAAATAGCACATGCTAAGTAAGGCTTTGAACCAAGGAAGACTTCAGGGAATTGGAGAAATAGAAAGGCAGTGTGATGGACAGCATTGAGTCCGTAAGTTCAAATTTGAGAGACAGACAGGTGCCAGATCATTCATACAGGGCCTTTTAGGCAATGTTAATATTTATTTTATTTAAATTTTATTCTACAATGGGACATTATTAAAGGATTCTGAGCAGGGAAATAACATGATTCAAATTGTGTTTAAAGGACATCTCTTTCTGAGATGTTGAAAATGGATTGTAGCTGGATGCGGTGGCTCACGCTTGTAATCCCAAAACTTTGGGAGGCCAAGGCGGGCAGATAACCTGAGGTCAGGAGTTCAAGACCAGCCTGACCAACATAGAGAAACCCTGTCTCTACTAAAAATACAAAATTAGCTGGGTGTCATGGCACATGCTTCTAATTCCAGCGACTCGAGAGGCTAAGGCAGGAGTATTGCTTGAACTCCAGAGGTAGAGGTTGTGATAAGCTGAGATCCTGCCATTGCACTCCAGCCTGGGCAACAAGAGTGAAACTCTGTCTCAAAAAAGAAAGAAAGAAAGACAATGGATTGCAGTGGGGCAAGGGAGGAGGAGAAGCCCTAATATGAGCAAGAGATGATGTTGGCTTGGGCAAAGGACGTAGCTGACAATGAAGGTAGAAAGAAATAGGATTCGGGAGTAAAATTCTTCACATCTGTATTTGTTTTTGTTTTCCTGTGATTGTCTTTGTACTTTTTCATCATATTAGCTTCTTTCCATCTCCGTTTCTGTCTTGCTTTTCTCTTCATCTTTCTCAGTGATAAACAACTATAACATGGCTCGGGCCGGGCACGGTGGCTCAAGCCTGTAATCCCAGCACTTTGGGAGGCCGAGGCGGGTGGATCACGAGGTCAAGAGATCGAGACCATCCTGGTCAACATGGTGAAACCCCGTCTCTACTCAAAATACAAAAAATTAGCTGGGCATGGTGGCGTGTGCCTGTAATCCCAGCTACTCAGGAGGCTGAGGCAGGAGAATTGCCTGAACCCAGGAGGCGGAGGTTGCGGTGAGCCGAGATCGCGCCATTGCACTCCAGCCTGGGTAACAAGAGTGAAACTCTGTCTCAAAAAAAAAAAGAATGGTACAGGATAAAGTTAGAGCGGTAGGGACTAGATGTTGAGTCTGTAAGACTCTAAGGTATTTAGATTGTATTATGAATGTGATAGGAAGAAAACCATGGAGAGTTCTTTTTATTGTTGTTTGTTTTTTGAGATGGAGTTTTGCTGTGTCTCAATCTTGGCTCACTGCAACCTCTGCTTCCTGGGATCAAGCGATTCTCCAGCCTCCAAATGATTCTCCTGCCTTAGCCTCCTGAGTAGCTGGGATTATAGGCACATGCCACTGGCTAATTTTTGTATTTTTAGTAGAGACGAGGTTTCACTATGTTGGTCACGGCTGGTCTTGAACTCCTGACCTCATGGTCTGCCCACCTCGGCCTCACATAGTGCTGGGATTATAGGAGTGAGTCACCATGCCAGGCCAACCATGGAGGGTTTTAAGAAGGGACGTAATGGGCTAGGCGCAGTGGCTCATGCCTATAATCCCAGCGCTTTGGGAGACTGAGGCTGGCGGATCACAAGGTCAGGAGATCGAGACCATCCTGGTTAACAAGGTGAAACCTTATCTCTACTAAAAATACAAAAATTAGCCAGGCGTGGTGGCACACGCCTGTAGACCCAGCTACTTGGGAGGCTGAGGCAGGAGGATCACTTGAACCCGGGAGGCAAATGTTGCAGTGAGTCAAGATCACGACACTGCACTCCAGCCTGGGCAACAGTGAGACTCTGTCTCAAAAAAAAAATCCCATAATGATGCAGTTTACGTTGATGCTATTGTATGAAAATAGATTGTTGGGGTTGGGGGCAAGCATGGCCCCAATGAGACCAGTTAAAACACTAAAGCAGTGGTCCAGACAGGAGATGGTACTGGCTTAGAGTATGGTGGGGGGCTGTGATAGACAGGTGTGCTGGATTCAGGATGTACTCTGAGGGTAGAACACGCTATTGAGTACAGACCACCACTGTCAGATTGGATTACAAATTTAAAACATGGATTTCGTACTGAAGAAATTTATAACCTCTAACATATTTGGCAATTACGTAAACCCATGGGCCTCTTTTTTTTTTTTTTTTTTTAAAGGAATAGGGATTGGATTTAGATAACTTATAATATGTTTGAGTCTGAAACAACTTCAATTTGTTTTTTCAAAACAAGTTTGCCTTGTTATAGGTCAAGTTGAATGTGTGTGTGTGTGTGTGTGTGTGTGTGTGTGTGTTGCCAAGTAGAAAATGAAATTTGAGATTGACCTTGGAAGATTTTATGATGCTCATGAAGTTTAAACCAGGATCTTATGCAGATCACATAAACGTATATTAGTTACAGAATGATGAGAGGACTTTGTTTCTTTGTTTTTATTGGGGCATAATTCACAAATAGAAATTGTATATATTGGCCAAGCAAGCTAGCTCACGCCTTTAATCCCAGCACTTTGGGAGGCCAAGGCAGGCGGATCACAAAGTCAGGAGATGGAGACCATTCTGGCCAACATAATGAAACCCAATCCCTACTAAAAATACAAAAATTAGCTGGACATGGTGGCACATGCATGTAGTCCCAGCTACTCAGGAAGCTGAGGCAGGAGAATCGCCTGAACTCGGGAGGTGGAGGTTGCAGTGAGCTGAGATCATGCCTTTGCACTCCAGCCTGAGTGACAGAGCAAAACTTTGTCTCAAATAAAAAAAAAGAAAAAGAAATAGTATATATTTAAGGAGTTACAGCTCGATGTTTGTACGTGTACATTATGAAATGATCACCACAATCAAGCATGTCTGTCACCTCACACGGTTACCTTTTTTCTTTTATGGTAAGAACACTTAAGGTCTACCCTCCTGGCAGATTTCAAGTATACAATACAGCATTGTTTTGTTTTTTGTTTTTTGAGTTATTTTGGTTTTTTTTTTTTTGAGACGGAGTTTCGCTGGAGTGTGATCGCCCGATCTCGGCTCACCGCAACCTCCGCCTCCTGGGTTCAGGAAATTCTCCTGCCTCAGCCTCCTGAATAGCTGAGATTACAGGCACGCGCCACCATGCCCAGCTAATTTTTTGTATTTTTAGTAGAGACAGGGTTTCACCATGTTGACCAGGATGGTCTCGATCTCTTGACCTCGTTCATGATCCACCCACCTCAGCCTCCCAAAGTGCTGGGATTACAGGTTTGAGCCACCGTGGCTGGCCAGGTTTTTTTTTTTTTTTTTTTTTTTTTTTTTTTTTTTGAGATAGAGTCTGACTCTGTTGCCTAGGCTGGAATATAGTGGTGTCATCATCTCCACTCACCAGAACCTCCACCTCCTGGGTTCAAGCGATTCTCCTGTCTCAGCCTCCCGAGTAGCTGGGACTACAGGCACATGCCACCACACCTGGCTAATTTTTTTGGATTTTTAGTAGAGACAGGGTTTCACCATGTTAGCCAGGATGGCCTTGATCTCCTGACCTCATGATCCACCTGCCTTCAGCTCCCAAAATGCTGGGATTACAGGCATGAGCCACCGTACCCAGCCAATACAGCATTGTTAACTATGGTCACAGTGCTGCACATGAGATCTCCAGAATTTATTCATCTTGCATAATTGAAACTTGTATGCTTTGACTAGTATTTTCCCATTTCCCTCACTCACTCCCCATCCCTGGCAACCCCCATTCTATTCTGTGCCTCTTTGAATTAGGCTTTTTTTTTTTAAAGACAGAGTCTTGCTCTGTCGCCCAGGCTGGAGTGCAATGGTGAGATCTTGGCCCACTGCAACCTCTGCTTCCCAGGTTCAAGCGAGTCTCCTGAGTCAGCCTCCCAAGTAACTGGGATTACAGGCACCAGCCACCACACCTGTCCAATTTTTGTATTTTTAGTAGAGACAGGTTTTTGCCATGTTGGCCAGGCTGGTCTCGTTCTCCTGCCCTCTGGTGATCCGCCAGTCTCAGCCTCCCAAAGTGCTGGGATTACAGGCATGGGCCACCACACCTGGCCTTATTTTAGCTTCACATATAAGTGAGATTATGCAGTATTTGTCTTTCTGTGTCTGGCTTATTTTGCTTAGCATAATTTCCTCAGGGGAGGACGTTTCTAATAGGGGTAATAGCATTCACTTCACTTCTGGTGATCTGATATGTAATCTCTTTGTGCTTCAGGACAAGAAAGTGCTAAAATATGATGTTGGATATGTTAAGTAGGTATACATGTCCTTACTGACTCTTTTGCTCTGTGTATCAGGTACTATTTGTTTTCCCTCATCATGAATTTGAGCCGTGATGCTTATGAGATTCGCCTACTGATGGAACAAGAGTCTTCAGCTTGTAGCCGGCGACTGAAAGGTTCCGGAGGAGGAGTCCCAGCAGGAATTGAAACTGGGGGACTTGGGGGACCAGGGACCCCAGGAGGAGGTCTGCCCCAGCTGGCTCTGAAACTTCGGCTCCAAGTCCTGCTCCTGGCTCGAGTCCTTAGAGGTCATCCCCCACTTCTGCTGGATGTGGTCAGAAATGCCTGTGATCTCTTCATTCCACTGGACAAACTAGGCCTCTGGCGTTGTGGCCCTGGGATTGTGGGGCTTTGTGGCCTCGTGTCCTCCATCCTGTCTATTCTCACCCTAATCTATCCCTGGCTACGACTCAAGCCCTGACTTTCTGGTACAGGATAAGGAGGGGACCTAAATTGGTGAGATGGAATCTTAGATCGTCCCTCATGTACCAGCCTCCTTCTAATTCTATTTAAAAAGTTAAAATTAGAAATTCAGAGATTTGGGGTGGAGGAAGAGCTTTGGGGAAGAAGAGGTGAGGAAAGGTGCTATGAAGTTCATAGGATGACTAATTTCTAGATGAGCCTGGGCTTCTGTTCTTTTCCCCTTTCATTGTCTGTGTCTCTCTTGAATGTATTTACTTGGTGCCTCTTAGGTCTATTTAAGATACGGTGTCTATGCATCTGTCTTTTTTTTTAACCTTCTCATTCTGTCCAGAGATTTAATCAGCAGAATTACTTTTTTAGGGGAAGTATAAGATTTTGTCTGTAAGGTTCTAACTGCCTTCTTTTTTCTCACAGAGGTGGCTTATGGCAGATTTTTCCTTCTTCACACTCCAAATCATAATTTTTAAGACTTTATGTGCCAGTGGACTCTTCCCTCATATCTCTGCACCATAAGTTGTTGGACGTTTCCTCTTCCTCCCTCGTGTCTACCTCACCAACCTTGCTCATGATTTGGCCCTTATCGTTCCTTGTACCTTCAGATTTCTGCTGACACTGATTTCAGAGCTTTATTCCCTAGCCTGTTCTCACCCCTCCGTTGCTTATCCAGAATGATGCTGTGTCTAGCATCTTGCTGTAAATACTGTACGATGATTCTGTGTAAATAGATGTGGCCTGTGCCAATAATGAAGAGCAAGCCTTTCAGGTAGGCAAATTAAAGTTCAGTTTGCTCATCAACGTTTAGTCTGGTCCCTCATTTTTTGGTCATTTGAGACCCCTATTTCTGTCACTGTGGTTTGGGTTTTTCATGGGATTAGCCACTAACATAATCCACATTACTTTTATTGAGCGCCTACAGTATGCAAAGCAAAATACGAAGGGCATCCAAAAATCTAAGAAGCTCCATGACTTTAAGAAGTCTATAGCTGAGGAGTTGGGGTAGCCGAGGGTTGGTCTAATACTGAAGTTATTATCCTGGCTCCGCAAAACACATCTCATACCAATTCAGACATAGTTCCTCTAAGAAGTAGAGTGCCACATGTCAGCATAGGCTAAGAGCCAAGAACAGAATCAAGTGGAGTGGGGCTGGCAAGGATTTGGAGCTGTATCTTCACATGTTGGGGCTCCCCTAGGTGGGAAATGATTCCACTGCTGCCAACTCTTTGATTTTCTGTATTACAGGTTAAGATAATAAGGTTGGGAAGTGAAAGGAATCTGTCGGCCAGGAGTGGTGGCTCATGCTGGTAGTCCTAGTACTTTGGGACGCTGAGGCAGTCGGATCGCTTAAGGTCAGGAGTTTGAGACCAGCCTGGCCAACATGGTAAAACCCCACCTCTACTAAAAATACAAAAATTAGCCAGGTATGGTGGGATGTGCCTGTAGTCCCAGCTACCTGGGAGGCTGAGGCATGAGAAATGCTTGAACCAGGGAGACAGAAGTTGTAGTGAGCCAAGATTGTACCACCACACTCCAGCCTGGGTGACAGAGTGAGACTCTGCCTTAAAAAAGAAAAGAATCTATTCCCTGTCTCCCAGCCGCGTACAGTGGCTCACTTTGGGAGGCTGAGGCAGAAGGATTCCTTTAGTTCAGGAGTTCAAGACCAGCCTGGGCAACATGGTGAAACCCTGTCTCTATTCTCAATGTAAATAATTTCCCTAGCCAGGTGCGGTGCTCACACCTGTAATCCCAGCACTTTGGGAGGCCAAGGCGGGCAGATCACGAGGTCAAGGGTTCAAGACCATCCTGACTAACATTGTAAAACCCCGTCTCTACTAAAAATACAAAAATTAGCCAAGCGTGGTGGTAAATGCCTGTAATCCCAGCTACTCAAGAGGCTGAGACAGGAGAATCACTTGAACCCGGGAGGTGGAGGTTGCAGTGATCTGAGATCAGGCCACTGCACTCCAGCTGGGCTACAGGGCGAGATTCCATCTAAAAAAAATCGTCTAAAACTTTTAGACAAAAGTTTAAGGTTTTTTCTTATTAAAAAAAAAATTAATTCCCACTCCTGTTCCAAATTTGAGGAAAGCACTATTAACCTGGCAACAATAAAGGGTAGAAAAGATGGCTGAAATGGGCAAAAAAATATGTCTCTTTGGATATAAAGACGAGGCCTGCAGGGGGCAGCACCAAGGCAGAAATAGACTAAGATCGCTCAGTCCTTTCCTTGGTCTGGGGCTCCCCACCGTTCCCCACCATCACTCCTCCCATTCCTTTCAACTTTATTTTTAGCTGCCAGTGGGAGGGGGCAGGATGGGAGGGAAAGTAAAGAAAACAGAAAAAGAGAGGGACAGACAGAGGCCAGAGAACTTCTCATACTGGACAAAACGATCAGGCATGGAGCTCCCCCTCGTCACTCACCTGTTCTTGCCCCTGATGCTCCTGACAGGTGAGGGAGGTTAACTTCTTGGTTTCTGGTGGGAATGGAAGATATATAGATTGTTTGGAATTGGGACGATTGAAATTCTTTGGAATTTAGGTTAGGAAGCAAACACTGGTCCTGTGTTTCTTATGTGTGTATCTGTGTGCTTGTGCATTTTTATTTCCTCACATATGACTGTTTCAATATTGGGACTGGCAGGGGCTAAAGCTGCCTAGGACCTTATGTAAGATTTGTATCAATATTGGTACAAATTTTTATTGAGCGCCTACAGTATGGAAAGTTTCAACATTAGGACTGGCAGGGGCTAAAGCTGCCTAGGACTTTATGTAAGATTTGTATCTAATAATAATTATTATTATTATTCTTTTTTTTTAAAGAGAGGGTCTGACTTTGTTGCCTAGGCTGGAACGCAGTGGCTTGGTAGTGGGGACTACGAGGTGCATGCCACCATGCCCAGTTTTTGTTGTTGTTATTTTGAGACAGGGTCTTACTCTGTCACCCAAGCTGGAGTACAGTGGCATGATTATAACTCACTCTAGCCTCAACCTCCCAGGCTGAGGTGATCCTCCCACCTTAGCCTCCCGAATAGCTGGGACTATAGGCATGTACCACTATGCCTGGCTAATTTTTTGTTTTTTGTAGAGACAGAGTTTTGCCATGTTGGCCAGGCTGGTCTTTAACTCCTGGACTCAAGCAGTCCACCCGTCTCAGCCGCCTGAAGTGCTGGGATTACAGGCATGAGCCACCATGCCTGGCCAAGATTTGTATCTAAATATATAAAATTTTCATCCTAAGCCCTGTAGGAGCAAGAAGATGAAAAATAAATGAGTTGTGACCTTCCACGTGGCTAGTCTGATTCCTATTATCCCCTCCCTAACTTCTCCTTACCCTTGGTGGTCCCTGGGGCCAGAAGCATAACTGTGTGGTCAGAACTCTGGGTTCATCTAACCAATAAGCTGTAGTTTCTGGTCATATAGCCCGGCCAGTTTTTTTTGGATGCAAAACTGCTCACATATAAAACACCCTTCTGCAAATGAGCATGGTTTGGGATACAGCTATAGCCATTGGTAATGGTGTGGGAGGTGGGGGTGAGGGGTAGCCTGAGAGGGGGTTGCTTAGAAGTACAGAGCAAGACATAGTTGGGGAAAGAACCATGGGAAGGACAAGAGGCCTGGAATTTTCCCTTGGCAGTGCCCTGTAATCATTGTTTCCTAAAATACCAGCTCTGATTTTAAAGGCATTGAGGTCAAAAGGGAAGGGGCACCTTTAGAGTGGGCTGAAGGCTGACGAAACTGTGGAGGTAACTGGGAGAGCAGATGAGTTAAAAAGGAAGCAGGTTGTGGGAAACATCAGGGTGACAGGACCCTTGGCAAGGATGGATGGCAAACTATGTGTGTGGGCAGGCGGGTGGCCCCACCCAGTTAATTACTACTGAGATTTCCAAGGCCAACCAGGGACCTAGACGTTGGAGAAAGACAGTGAGAGTGTGACAGTGACACTGGAAGTCAGAAGAGAGAAGGAGGAGCCGGACATGCAGTGCTCCTTAGCTTCCTTTCATTTGGGGAGAATTGGAAGCAATGGTTGTTCTGGGGCTGCAGAGAGGCCCTCTCCCTCTTCTGACCTCACAGTTTGTTGAGGAGAGTGTGTAGGAGGAACGATGTGGAAAAGAGTAACTTGACCTTTTCAGACATGTCTGTGAATGAAATTTCAAGGGTGGGAATGGAAATACAGCTGTACATCAGCGTGGCAGAGGGCCACAGATTAGGCATCTGGACACAAACACAGGAAGGGGATCATCTTTGCCTGGGGCTCTGAGAACATGACTCTCAGAGAGGCCAGAAAAGCTTATGAGTGAAAAAGCAGGCAGACAGATTGAGATTAAGATGTTCCCTCACAGCTTCTCTCTGGCTGTGCCTCTAGTCATTCACTACCTCATGCTAACCTTGTGATCCTGGTCCCTCAGGTCTCTGCTCCCCCTTTAACCTGGATGAACATCACCCACGCCTATTCCCGGGGCCGCCGGAAGCGGAATTTGGATACAGCGTCTTACAACACGTTGGGGGTGGACAGCGATGGTGAGGAAGAAACCAGAGTGCCATGGGCTTGGGACTGCAGTAGTGCTCACAAAGGGGAGGCAAGATAGATGGGACTCTGGGCTCATCTGGCCTTTTGAAAGTGGCTGGGCCTCTAAACTTGCCCCCTCCATGCTCTTTCCCTTTGGCCTGTGTCGAAGGTCATGTTTGCCCTATGCTTATATTCACACCCTCCTCCCAGGATGCTGGTGGGCGCCCCCTGGGATGGGCCTTCAGGCGACCGGAGGGGGGACGTTTATCGTTGCCCTGTAAGGGGGGCCCACAATGCCCCATGTGCCAAGGGCCACTTAGGTAAGATGCCTGACCCTTCTCCTCCTAACCCCTGACCTTGATATCCTAGAAGCTTCAACCCCTTATACCTCAGCTTCTTTACCCCTAAAATTCACATACTCCCTGTCCCCAATCTAATACCAATCCCTGCTTATTCTCCTCCAAAACCACATGAATTCAAGTGCCCTATCTATGACCCCATGATCTCATTTTCTTCCATCTCCTTCCAACCAGGTGACTATCAACTGGGAAATTCATCTCATCCTGCTGTGAATATGCACCTGGGGATGTCTCTGTTAGAGACAGATGGTGATGGGGGATTCATGGTGAGCTAAGGAAAGGGTGGTTGCAGTGTCTCTCTGAAGGTCCATAGCAGAAAAAAGAGCAGTGTGGTAAGGGAACGTGGTCTGTAGCGGTGGGGGGACGGGAGGTCAAGGAGTTAAAAACCCTAGAAAGCAAGGTAGGTAATGTCAGGGAGTGGTCTTCATGTCTCCTTCGACTGGGAGCATGTTCTGAGGGTGCCCTCCCAAGCCTGGGAGTAACTATTTCCCCCATCCCCAGGCCTGTGCCCCTCTCTGGTCTCGTGCTTGTGGCAGCTCTGTCTTCAGTTCTGGGATATGTGCCCATGTGGATGCTTCATTCCGGCCCCAGGGAAGCCTGGCACCCACTGCCCAACGTGAGCCAGAGGAAGGGCCTGAGGACTTAGTTCCTGGAAGGGGATACTGGGAGGGAAAAAGATGGGGCAAAGGGGTATGGTGCCTGGCAGAGGGCCCGCATGGCTAGCCTCATTGCTACCTAATGTGCTTGCAGAAGCTCCATGTTTCCTAACAGATTAGAATTCAGAGTCCTGGCCAGGTGTGGTGGCTCACACCTGTAATCCCAGTACTTTGGGAGGCCAAGGTGGGCAGATCACTTGAGGTCAGGAGTTCGAGACCAGCCTGGCCAACATGGTGAAACCCCATCCCTACAAAAAACAAAACCAAAAAAAAATTAGCTGGGCATGGCGGTACATGCCAGCTACTCAGGAAGCTGAGGCAGGAGAATCTCACTTCAACCCAGGAGGTGGAGGTTGCAGTAAGCGGAGATCATACCACTGCACTCTAGCCTGGGTGACAGAGTAAGTGAGACTCTGTCTCAGTAATAATAATAATAATAATAATAATTCAGACTCCTTATCAGGAGTCCATGATCTATCCTGGTGCAGCAGCTCATGCCCGTAATCCCAACATTTTGAGAGGCCAAGGCAGGAGTACTGCTTGAGGTCTGGAGTTTGAGACCAGCCTGGGCAACATAGAGAGACCCCCATCTCTACAAAAATAAAAAATTAAAAAACTAGCAGGGCATGGTGGTAAATGCCTGCAGTCCCAGCTACTCAGGAGGGAGGATCACTTGAGCCCAGGGGTCAAGGCTGCAGTGAGCCACGATTATGGCACTGCACTCCGGCCTGGGCGACAGAGTGAGACTCTGTCTCAAAAACAGACAAAATGTTCTCTACCCAAATGCTTTTCCCTATATTCTGTTCTCCTTAAACATTTTCAGTCTTCATTATCTTCTTAGTTGCTACCGTGTTCCATTCCCCATCAGAACCAATCCGCTTTCATTCATTCCCTCACAGTACAAAGTCATGCTGTGTTCCTCCCTAGCATTAATTCCTTCTTGTTTTTTGAACATTTTATGTATAATTTATATTTATGTATATAAATGTGTATATGTGTGTGTTTATATACCTATATATACATATATGCACACACGTATATATATTTATATATATATATACTTACATACAATTACTAAAAATTACTAAAGTAATCTTTTGTTCATTTCTATGCTTACACAGAGCTTGGCACACTACCTTCTCTGCATGTAAGAAGTGCCTTATAATTGTCTAAGTTGAATGTGTCCCCCTGTGGCCTCTTTCCCTTGTCGCCCCAGCTCAGTGTCTTCTACCTCTGTGTTTCCATCACCATGTCCTTCCTTCTAGGCTGCCCAACGTACATGGATGTGGTCATCGTCTTGGATGGCTCCAACAGCATCTACCCCTGGTCTGAAGTTCAGACCTTCCTACGAAGACTGGTAGGGAAACTGTTTATTGACCCGGAACAGATACAGGTAAGAGAAGGCAATATGAGCTGGGCGCAGTTGCTTGGGCCAGCTACTCAAGAGGTAGAGGTGGGAGGGTCCCTTGAGGCCAGGCATTCAAGACTAGCCTGGGCAGTATAGTGAGACCTCATCTCTAAAAATATGAAAAAAAATTAGCCAGGCATGGTGGCATGTACCTGCAGCCCAACTACTTGGGAGGCTGAGGCAAGAGATCACTTGAGCCCATAAGTTTGAGGCTACAGTGAGCTGCGATCACACAGCTGCACTCCCGCCTGGGTGAAAGTGTGAGACCTCATCTCTTAGAGAAAGAGCAAAAGGCAATAATATGGAGGGCTTGGGAGGGGAGAGACAGAGAGGAGATGAATGCTGGTGGTATCTTCAGTAGTACCCAGGTGTTCATCTCTACTCTCTTACATACTTTCTTCTTCCTCCTCTCCCCCCATCCCATATACACCGTTGCATTTGAACGCACTTTATTCCCAGGTGGGACTGGTACAGTATGGGGAGAGCCCTGTACATGAGTGGTCCCTGGGAGATTTCCGAACCAAGGAAGAAGTGGTGAGCGCAGCGAAGAACCTCAGTCGGCGGGAGGGACGAGAAACTAAGACTGCCCAAGCCATAATGGTGGCCTGGTGAGGCACTGGGAAGAGGGCTGTGGGAGGCTAGAGCAATGAAGGCTTAGAAGAGTTAGGGCGCGTGTGGAGTGCAGTGTGTATGTCCCAAGGTGTCTTGCATGCTTATCTTTTTGTATGTACGCGAATGGGGCCCAGAGGAAGGCTAAGTAAGTTGTCATCGCACTCCCTCTCACTGCATTTCTGCAAAGTGTCTATGTCTGTGTCTCTCCATCTTTCACAGACAGAATTCTCTTTCTATCCCTCCACTCCAACAATGATCCTGGCCCTCAGGTTCTCCACTACTGATGTCCCAGCCCGTGTTCCAAACAGGATCCAAAACTCATCTCTAGGGGTGCAGTGGTAAAACTGAAACGAAACAAAACAACTCATCTCTGGGAGGCGTCCCTGCCCGGAGCATTCTCTTCTGTTCTGTATTTCCTTAATATCTGTCCTCTCAAGTGCAATATTTGTTGAATGAATCTGAGTGTATGAATGTTGTACTTATTTGCATTGATAAGCTACTCTGTACGTTCTATGACATTCAAACATTCGAGCTGTCACTACACTCCCGTTTCCATCTTAGATGCTCAGGAAATGGCCTAGAAGGCAAGATGCCTGACCTTAGTGAACTGCTGTTAAATCGTGTGTGTGTGTGTGTGTGTGTGTGTGCATACATATGATCACACCTAGAAGGCAAGATGCCTGACCTTAGTGAACTGCTGATGTTAAATCGTGTGTGTGTGTGTGTGTGTGTGTGTGCATACATCTGATCACACCTAGAGGGCAAGATGCCTGACCTTAGTGAACTGCTGATGTTAAATCGTGTGTGTGTGTGTGTGTGCATACATCTGATCACACCTAGAAGGCAAGATGCCTGACCTTAGTGAACTGCTGATGTTAAATCGTGTGTGTGTGGGTGTGTGTGTGCATACATCTGATCACACCTAGAGGGCAAGATGCCTGACCTTAGTGAACTGCTGATGTTAAATCGTGTGTGTGTGTGTGTGTGTGCATACATCTGATCACACCTAGAAGGCAAGATGCCTGACCTTAGTGAACTGCTGATGTTAAATCGTGTGTGTGTGTGTGTTTGCATACATCTGATCACACCTAGAAGGCAAGATGCCTGACCTTAGTGAACTGCTGATGTTAAATCGTGTGTGTGTGTGTGTGTGTGTGCATACATCTGATCACACCTAGAAGGCAAGATGCCTGACCTTAGTGAACTGCTGATGTTAAATCGTGTGTGTGTGTGTGTTTGCATACATCTGATCACACCTAGAAGGCAAGATGCCTGACCTTAGTGAACTGCTGATGTTAAATCGTGTGTGTGTGTGTGTGTGTGCATACATCTGATCACACCTAGAAGGCAAGATGCCTGACCTTAGTGAACTGCTGATGTTAAATCGTGTGTGTGTGTGTGTGTGTGCATACATCTGATCACACCTAGAAGGCAAGATGCCTGACCTTAGTGAACTGCTGATGTTAAATCGTGTGTGTGTGTGTGTGTGCATACATCTGATCACACCTAGAAGGCAAGATGCCTGACCTTAGTGAACTGCTGATGTTAAATCGTGTGTGTGTGTGTGTGTGTGTGTGCATACATCTGATCACACCTAGAGGGCAAGATGCCTGACCTTAGTGAACTGCTGATGTTAAATCGTGTGTGTGTGTGTGTGTGTGTGCATACATCTGATCACACCTCACTCCTTTCTCTCTCTTCTCAGCACAGAAGGGTTCAGTCAGTCCCATGGGGGCCGACCCGAGGCTGCCAGGCTGCTGGTGGTTGTCACCGATGGAGAGTCCCACGATGGAGAGGAGCTTCCTGCAGCACTAAAGGCCTGTGAGGCTGGAAGAGTGACACGCTATGGGATTGCAGTGAGAATTGACCCTGGATCTGGAAGGGCTGGAGGTGGGGGAGGGCAGTGTCTTGTGAACAGTCCAAGGACTGGGAACTTGAGGAAAACAAGGGCCTGAACCTCTTCCCAGACTTCAGCCTCTTCGTGTCAGTTGACTGTGCCCTGCACCAACTCTTAATGCCTCATTCCCTGATCTCATGACCTTTCAGGTCCTTGGTCACTACCTCCGGCGGCAGCGAGATCCCAGCTCTTTCCTGAGAGAAATTAGAACTATTGCCAGTGACCCAGATGAGCGATTCTTCTTCAATGTCACAGATGAGGCTGCTCTGACTGACATTGTGGATGCGCTAGGAGATCGGATTTTTGGCCTCGAAGGTAGGGATTACACTGGAGAAATGGATAGGATGGGAGGAGCTTTGGAGTGCAGGTGGGGCTCTGGAGTGAGTTCAGTAGGTCAAAGCGGGAGCTGTCTTCCCCTGATACTGTCTCGATATTTTCTCGTGACCAAGGGTCCCATGCAGAAAATGAAAGCTCCTTTGGGCTGGAGATGTCTCAGATTGGTTTCTCCACTCACCGGCTAAAGGTTGGACAGATTCACCCATTCATGACTTCTCCCATTCTCTGATTCAGATAACTTCAACAGCAGGCCCTCCAGATTCCTCCCCTAACCAGCCTCCATGATGACCTTCCCACGCCTTTCCTGCTGAGCCCAGCAGACCCTCAGTGATCTTTTCACTCCCGGAACATTTTTTCCTCTTTATTCCCCACTGTCTTCTCTGTGACCCCATCTGCTCCTGTCCCGCAGGATGGGATTCTCTTTGGGATGGTGGGGGCTTATGACTGGGGGGGCTCTGTGCTATGGCTTGAAGGAGGTCACCGCCTTTTCCCCCCACGAATGGCTCTGGAAGACGAGTTCCCCCCTGCACTGCAGAACCACGCAGCCTACCTGGGTGAGTAGCAGGAGTTGCAGAGGACTTGCAGGGTAGGGGAGGAAATGCATCCCTAGTGGGGGGGTGAGTTTCTCATTGATCTCCTGCTATGCCTTTAAGGAAACCCCCTACTCTGGACCCCATCTTCTTTCCCTTTACCTCTGTTACTTTGCCCACTTCCAGGTTACTCTGTTTCTTCCATGCTTTTGCCGGGTGGACGCCGCCTCTTTCTCTCTGGGGCTCCTCGATTTAGACATCGAGGAAAAGTCATCGCCTTCCAGCTTAAGAAAGATGGGGCTGTGAGGGTTGCCCAGAGCCTCCAGGGCGAGCAGGTAGGGCATCCAAGGAAGGGTGGGACCTTTGGATTCCCAGGGACCTCCGGGCTGTCGGGGAGGAGTGTGAAGTGGGTAAGAGAGAGGCCTGCAAATTCTGTGTGGAATTCTGGTTGGCAGAGTCTGTCAGGGATGTAAGGAGCAGACAGGCAGGCTGGTGAGTGCTTCCCACTGCGTCCGCTTGTCTACAGTCACCTTCCGTTTTCTCTGGGGTCGTCATCACCCACCCTTCCCCAGATTGGTTCATACTTTGGCAGTGAGCTCTGCCCATTGGATACAGATAGGGATGGAACAACTGACGTCTTACTTGTGGCTGCCCCCATGTTCCTGGGACCCCAGAACAAGGAAACAGGACGTGTTTATGTGTATCTGGTGGGCCAGGTAAGACTTGCCGGGACCCCCCCAACCCTGGACTTCCACTGTAGGGGTGGAGGGAGAAAAAGAGGAAAGCCGCACACATTTGAGGGTATGCTGAGAGGTTGGGGCTGCCAGATTAGCATCTTCCATCTTCTCTTCCCCACCAGCAGACCTTGCTGACCCTCCAAGGAACACTTCAGTCAGAACCCCCCCAGGATGCTCGGTTTGGCTTTGCCATGGGCGCTCTTCCCGATCTCAACCAAGATGGTTTTGCTGATGTAGCTGTGGGGGCACCTCTGGAAGATGGGCACCAGGGAGCACTGTACCTGTACCATGGAACCCAGAGTGGAGTCAGGCCTCATCCTGCCCAGGTCAGGAGTACCCAAATAGAGCGGGGCACGGTTGTAGGAAGGGAAGGGGAGGGATGCTTTCTGTTTGTCCGTAGTCCCCTTGGCTTGAGACCCAAAGAGAACAAGTGCTTTTATTAGTCAAAAACATAAGGCAGTGGGGTAGGATACAGATTGCTGAATCAAGAACTCCTGAACACAGGCAAGTTTCTCTTACTCCCATGCCTGATAGGAGGATTATAAAGAGCAAGGCATGGCCAAGTGCGGTGGCTCATGCCTGTAATCCCAGCACTTTGGGAGGCCGAGGTGGGCAGATCACCTGAGGTCAGGAGTTCAAGATCAGCCTGGTCAACATGAAGAAACCCCGTCTTTACTGAAAATACAAAAAACTAGCCAGGTGTGGTGGTGCATGCCTGTAATCCCAGCTACTCTGGAGGCTGAGGCAGGAGAATCACTTGAACCTGGGAGGTGGAGGTTGCAGTGAGCCGAGATCATCCCGTTGCACTCCAACCTGGGCAACAAGGATGAAACTCAGTCTCAAAAAAAGCAAAGGAATTGAAAGGAGAAAAGAGAAAGGAAAGGAAAGGGGAGGGGAGGGGATGGGGAAGGGGAGGGGATGGGGAGGGGAAGGGGAGGGGAAGGGGAAGGGGAGGGGAAGGGGAAGGGGAGGGGAAGGGGAGGGGAGTGGAGGGGAGGGAAGGGAGAAATGAAAGGAAGAGAGGGAGAGAGAGAGTGAAAGCTCGAGGCAGGAGGCTTTCGAGACCAGGTGTATGAGTCCCTGCCTCAGTCTCCTCTCTCTTCCTCAGAGGATTGCTGCTGCCTCCATGCCACACGCCCTCAGCTACTTCGGCCGAAGTGTGGATGGCCGGCTAGATCTGGATGGAGATGATCTGGTTGATGTGGCTGTGGGTGCCCAGGGGGCAGCCATCCTGCTCAGGTGAGGGGTCCCCGCTCAGGTAACAGTGGACAGCGTAGCATGTATGTTAAAGTCAAGGGCCTTAAAGTCACAGATTGAGATTGGGGTTTGTTCGTCAACTGACTCCTTGCCTCCATTCCTACTTTATAAAATGACAATAATAGTACCTACCTTATTGGTTCATTGTGAGGATTAAATGAGATAATCCATATACTGGCTTTAACACAGTGCCTAGCATATAAATACTTATTGAAGTGAATCTAGAGCCATGTGCAGTGGCTCACACTGTAATCCCAGCACTTTGGGAGGCCGAGGTAGGAGGATCATTTGAGGCCAGGAGTTCAAGACCAGCCTGGTCAACATGGTGAAACCCCATCTCTACTAAAAATACAAAAAATTAGCTGGGCCTGGTGGTGGGTGCCTGTAATCCCAGCTACTCGAGGGGCTGAGGCAGGAGAATCACTTGAACCCAGGAGGCGGAGGTTGTAGTGAGCTGAGATCGCCCCACTGCACTCCAGCTTGAGTCACAGAGTGAGACTCCATCTCCCCCCCGCCAAAAAAAAACAACCAACTAGTGACATGAATCTATTATCTCACTTCTGTCCGAGGATTTGGGGGTGGGTGACGTGTGCTTCCAGCTCCTCCTCCTTTCTTTTGATGATGGGGAAGCAAACACAGGGCTTGCACTTCTCAGAGGGCTTATCTCCTACTGCTAGAATTTCTTTTCCACACTGTTCCCAGCTCCCGACCCATTGTCCACCTGGCCCCATCGCTGGAGGTGACCCCAGAGGCCATCAGTGTGGTTCAGCGGGACTGCAGGCGGCGAGGCCAGGAGGCAGTCTGCGTGACTGCAGCCCTTTGCTTCCAAGTGACCTCCCGCACTCCCGGTCGCTGGGATCGCCGCTTCTGTGAGTGGCAAAAGGGCATCACAGGCAGCTCTCAACCCCTTGCCTGCTTCCTCACTGGACCTCTTTCCACCCTCACTCTCACTCCTTCATTCAGATGTGCGGTTCACAGCGTCACTGGATGAATGGACGGCTGGGGCACGTGCAGCATTCGATGGCTCTGGCCAGAGGCTGTCGGCTCAGAGGCTCCGGCTCAGTGTGGGGAATGTCACCTGTGAGCAGCTGCTCTTCCATGTGCTGGTAAGGGGAGGGCAGGAACTGCTTTGCATCAGGGCCTGAGCATGAGGGGAAGGCTGGGTCAGAAGAGGAGTTTCAGCTGGATCAGCAAGGAAGCCAAAGCCAGGAAAAGGACATGATTCAGACTTGAGTCGGGGCTGTTCTGGGCTTGAATCTAGCTCTGCCGCTTACCACCTGTGAATTCTGGCAAGTCCAAACCTCAGTCTTCCTGTCTGCAAAGGGGTGATGATGTGATAATAACAGTAACTGTATCATAGGTGTCGTATTAAAATTCAACCTGGTGATACAGATACGCTCTTAGGACGGTGCTCAGCACACAGAAATGCTTCATAAGTGATCACGACAATTAGCACATTTCTTCGGCTTTGTGGCTCTTTTCCTTCAGGATACATCAGATTACCTCAGGCCAGTGGCCTTGACTGTGACCTTTGCCTTGGACAACACCACAAAGCCAGGGCCTGTGCTGGATGAGGGCTCACCCACCTCCATACAAAAGCTGGTCAGCAGTGCCATGCCCTGCCTCCTGGTCCCAACACCCCCTCCTTCAAGAGGAAAGGGAGGGAGAGGACATGAGATCATGGTGAAATCTGACCTGGGCTCCTCTAACCAAAATATACCCACGTTTGTCTTTTCACTTTCCCCCCATTCTATTCCTTTCCCCCTTGCTTTCCTCTCAGCCCTTAGCCCCTTCCCTTTCTTCCAGGTCCCCTTCTCAAAGGACTGTGGCCCTGACAATGAATGTGTCACAGACCTGGTGCTTCAAATGCATATGGACATCAGAGGCTCCAGGTTGGATGGACATGTGCTGGGCAAACCAGGGTGACCTGAGACAGACTGGAAGGGACTCGAAGGGAGCTGGGGGTAGGGGGTTGTTTCTTGCCCATGATCTGAGACTTCTAGCACTCTGCTCCTTCAACTCCTCGTCTCTCCCTCATTCACCACTCCCAGGAAGGCCCCATTTGTGGTTCGAGGTGGCCGGAGGAAAGTGCTGGTATCCTCAATTCTGGAGAACAGGAAGGAAAATGCTTACAATACTAGCCTGAGTCTCATCTTCTCTGGAAACCTCCACCTGGCCAGTCTCACTCCTCAGGTGCCCTTGGAGGAGGGGGTGTGGGAGAAGGAAAGAAAGGAGGAGAAAGAAGATTGGGGTATTGGCCTCAGCTGTGAGGCATTTTAGAGCAACTCAGTGTTTAGAGGCTGTGGGTAGGACAGCAGTTGCAGCCCCAGCTCCAGCTTCATCTTCATTCCCCTGCCCTCAGAGGGACAGCACAATAAAGGTGGAATGTGCGGCCCCTTCTGCTCACGCCCGGCTCTGCAGTGTGGGGCATCCTGTCTTCCAGACTGGAGCCAAGGTGAGTTGGGGTCTAGCCTCCTAGATTCTAGGAGAGCTAGAGTCTAGGGGGGCTCTAGGAGAGCAGGGGCTGGGATTTGAGGGTCCTGGGACTTCAGGGAAGGAGGCACACAAAGGTTCCCGATCCTCTGTAGTTGTTCCATGAGGAAGACTCTACCATTACCCCATGTCCCCTGCCCCTAGGTGACCTTTCTGCTAGAGTTTGAGTTTAGCTGCTCCTCTCTCCTGAGCCAGATCTTCATGAAGCTGACTGCCAGCAGGTGAGAATGAAGAGAACTTTCTTCTAGCCCTCTCCTGCTGAGTCTTGAGGGGTAGGGAGGAACAGCATTGATTCCTCCATTAGCAGAGAAGGGTGTCTTCTGAGGAGGGGTTGAGATGTGAGCCTCTCCTCCCTGACCCTACAGTGACAGCCTGGAGAGAAATATGACCCTTCAAGACAACACAGCTCAGACCTCAGCCTATGTCCAATATGAGCCTCAGCTCCTGTTCTCTAGGTACGCCCAGCTTCTAGGTGGGACCAGTTCTGACCTCAGACTCATACCCTTATGCTTCTTCCCTCCCCTCCATGTGCCTCAGCGTTTCCAGAAACCCAAGCCCTTGTGGCTGCTCAGTCTTTTTGCCCTCAGTCCTGTTCATGCTGAACCTTCCCTTTTAAGCATCTTACTTTCCTAGGGGTAGGGTTTTGCCAGGCCTTGGGCACTAGAGCTGGGATGGGGGATATAGGATGTAGCCACAAGCTTGCATTGTCTGTGTCATGTTCTGCTTCTGTCTTTCTCTTTATCCATGTGCTGGCCCTGCCTCCTCTGAATCCATGTCTGTGTGCTGATCACGTGCCCCTGTATCTGTGTCATGGCTGTGACCATGCACTTCCTGACTTGGTGTTCACACAGTGAGTCTACCCTGCACCGCTACGAGGTTTACCCGTATGGGACCCTCCCAGTGGGTCCTGGCCCAGAATTCAAAACCACTCTCAAGGTGAGAAGCTGGAGGGGTCTTGGCATGAGGGGTAGGTGGGGGAACAACGGCTGTGGGAAAAGGATGGGAAGAGTCTCTCTTGGGTTTTTTATTATTATTATTTTTATTTTTCTCTCTTGGGTTTTAATGGTATCTGGGGTGAACGGGAACAGATGAGGAAGGGCCTTCTGCCTCCCACTTCTTCCTGTTCCCAACCTTCCTCTTAGGTTCGGAATCTAGGCTGCTATGTGGTCAGCGGCCTCATCATCTCAGCCCTCCTTCCAGCTGTGGCCCACGGGGGCAATTACTTCCTGTCACTGTCTCAAGTCATCACTAACAATGTGAGTCTGCTTGAGGAGTGCGTGGAATCCTGCCACCTTGAGTTGGTGGACTCCCTGAAGCTGGACACCACACCGGCTCCCTATCTGTTGGGCCACTGCTCTTGGGGCTCCGCTCTCTGGGTGGGCTTTCTTTTTACATATGTGGCTTATTTGGGAGGGAAAAAAGGGAATTATAAGGGGAAGAACTACAAGAGTGTGGACATGTTCCCGCTCAGCATTGAGTGGCTAGCCTCAGCCCATCAGGAGGGTCTTCCTCCAGGCAAGCTGCACAGTGCAAAACCTGACTGAGCCTCCAGGCCCCCCTGTGCATCCAGAGGAGCTTCAACACACAAACAGACTGGTAGGAGTCACAAGGGGTGTCCAAAGTGGGAATGCAAGTGGAGTCGGGTGCCTTGGGGCAAGGGGGTGGGAACTGGAGTGGGGACGAAGGGCTCTTTCCACCCCAGGGTCCTGGTCTGCAGTAGGAATGAAAATGGAGTCAGGTGCCTTGGGACAAGGTTGTGTGAACTGGAGGTGGGGGAAGGGGATCTTTCCACCCCAGAGTCCTGATCTGTCTCTTTCTTCTGTTAGAACGGGAGCAATACTCAGTGTCAGGTGGTGAGGTGCCACCTTGGGCCGCTGGCAAAGGGGACTGAGGTCTCTGTTGGACTGTTGAGGCTGGTTCACAATGAATTTTTCCGAAGAGTAAGCCTTTCCTTTTCAACTGCTCCCCGCTTCCGCTCTTATCTGGAACTTTAGCATAGGTTTTGGAGGTGGACAGATCCATGTTCAAGTTTCGCATTTGCTTCTTACTAGCTATTTGACCAAGAGCAAGTTACTTCATCTCTCTTACCCTCTTTTTCCTAATCGCTAAAATGGGAAGTAATACTGACTTCATGTGGTTGTTATAAAGAACAAATGAATAATGAGCTGGACATACAGTGAATGCTCAATGGAAGCTAGTTATTATCCTTGTATTTTCCTCCACTTACCATTCCTTAGTGCTGTATGGACATTTACAGGAAACCTACATTTAATCAGTTAGTAATCAGTCAAGTGCCTGCCATGTCAAAGGTCCTGTATTAGGTTGACACTGAGGAGAACATCCCCGACATTTAGCCCCATGCCTAACTCACTGGAGGTGCTTAATATATTTTTGCCAAATGAGTGAATAATTGATAGAACATGCAGGGTTTGTATTGGGAAGTGGTGGGAAGTGAGGTTGCATAGGTGAGAGGGATCTGGATTATGAAAGGCCTCTGAAGCCCGCGAGAGACTGAGCTCAATATGACAGGCAGTGAGGAAGGAGTCAGTGCGAGTTCCTGAGCAGGGAAATGGCATCTTACTTACGATGGCTGCTTGGCATGAGGGTTGATGTGTTGCTTTCCCATATCTACCTTGAATAACACGAGACCCCTGGGATGTCGTCGTGTGTTTTAGGGAAATCAAGTCCAATAAACCACCCGTCTCCAAGTCTGTTTGTCCTTCTTTGGTATCATTTTTTCATTAATCTAGTCATGCTTTCAACAAAGATTTATTAGGAAACCACTGCACACTTGGCCCTGTGCTATCTACTAGGGACGGAAGACACAAAGGTTAGTAAGGCACAGCCTGCCTTTAACCTGGAGGATCTTATAGTTCAGGGGTGAAAGACAAGTAAACACCAGGATTTCCCTAAATCCCAGAGGGGATGACATCTAAACTTCCATCTGAAGGAAGGGTAGAGACCAGCCAAAGGAAAGAGGAGTAGAATGCATTTCAGGTAAAGTAAGCAGCACAGGTATTGACTGTCCTCAGAAAACAAACAGCAGCAGCTGATGTAACCAGGGGTTTTCCATCTATTACCCTTCTCTATTCTCATTGGTCTCCAACCTTTTCTCCTGTCTTGAGAGCCCTGGGAATTGTGCCTTTTCGCCTCAACTTTGCTCTTGAGATTCTAGAGAACGACATCACCTGACGATGGCTCACTTTAAATGTCTTCCCATCGCTTGTTCCACAGGCCAAGTTCAAGTCCTTAATGGTGGTCAGCACCTTCCAGCTGGGAACTGAGCAGGGCAGTGTCCTACAGCTAACTGAAGCTTCCCGCTGGAGTGAGGTGGGGCTGGAGACCCAGTTTGAGAGCTGTGAAAATAATGATGATGGGTATGGGGTAGGGGCACCGTGGGCTTTTCTAGAAGGCAGGTGTCTCCATCAGGCAGCAGTTGTTGAGTAAGAAGTGATAAATTAGGGTCCTAGTGTTCCACTGCTCCATGCCTGCCTCAGTTTCTTTCCTTTAAGTAGAAGGAGGTCATTTATTCTATTTGCGGGCTGGCTTTGCTATAATGTGGGGTGAGACTAGCTGGGTTACGGGGTGCATGTAGAAAACCATTCTTGTCCCCATTCAGAGCCTCCTGGAGGTGGTTCAGACCCAGCCTCTCCTCATCTCCCTGTGGATCCTCATAGGCAGCGTCCTGGGAGGGTTGCTCCTGCTTGCTCTCCTCGTCTTCTGTCTATGGAAGGTAAGCACTGCTTTAGTGGGGAGTGGGGAGCATGGTACCCATGTGTCGAGAGATCCTTGATTATAGCAGAGAACAGAATTTGTGCTGGGCCACTAAGCAGACTGTGGATGTCATGCCCAGATCTCCTTCAATGGACCCCACAAATGGTGGTTAAATTAAACTAAGCCAAATAAACTAAATTTAAATTCCATTTTTGGAAGAGAACAAAAGTGAAGACCTCAGATAAGTCTGAGCGCTGTTGGCAAGGTTCCCAGCCTAGGCATTTGATGACGACTCTTATCTTTTCCTCTACAGCTTGGCTTCTTTGCCCGTAAGAAAATCCCCGAGGAAGAAAAAAGAGAAGAGAAGTCAGAGCAATGAATGCAGAATAAGGCTCTGGAAAGTCCTCCCTGGCAGCTTCTTCAAGAGACTTGCATAAAAGCAGAGGTTTGGGGGCTCCGATGGGACAAGAAGCCGCCTCTGAACTATTTCCCCAGACCAGCAGCCTGAGTTGACTTTTGAGTCCTAGGGATGCTGCTGGTTAGCGGTGAAGCTTTACCTCAGACAAGCAGAGCTGGCACCAAAACCAGCCATGCTCCCACCCTCTGCTTCCCTCCTCCTAACGACCCTGGTTCCAGAGCCAGCACTGGGGCCTTCGTTTGGAGTCCTTTTATCCCCATCCCCAGGAATCAGTCATTTTTCTGTCTAGGTCCCTGACTCCTTTCAGAGTCCCTCTTTATGTTCCCTCACGGTTTGGAAAGGATGAGGGTTATCTTTCTGGATGCTTCCACCATCTCACCTTCCTGCCGGTTCCCCGCTCCACAGGAGGGAGCTGACGTTGGCTTGAAAGAAGTAAAGTCAACATCTGCCGGTTTCCTGTGGACTCTGGTGATTCATAGAGCCGCATGGGGAGAGTCAACAGGAAAAAGGAGGGAGGAGGAAAAGCCGCAAGAGACATTTTGTACAACTCCAAGGAACAGAGAAGCCTTTAGACGGGCAACTGCCATCCCCCCTGAAACCTGAGAGCTGCAGCGCACTTGCCCGCCCTCAGGTGTTGGGGAAACAGAGCTGCCCCAGGCTCGCTGGGCATAGGCTTTCTGACTCCAAGCGTTTTCTGGGAGCAAAGCCAGAGCCTGGTGCCTGATTTTCTGAAGCCAAGAGCCCTCAGGTGGCTGGAGCTGGAATAGCAGAGAGGACCAGGTACCTAGGCAGTATTTTCTCTGTTTCTCTCAAGTCTTACTCACTCGTGAGTCCTCCTTGGGGCCTGCTTAGAAAGCAGAAAGACTCATAGGCAGGTGTTGAACAATTAGAACACGTGGACACAGGGAGGGGGGCTAGGGGAGGGACAGCAGGTGGGGGGGGAGGGGTAACGTGGGGAGAAATACCAGATACACGTGATGGGGGGATGCAGGCAGCAAACCACCTTGCCATGTATGTACCTATGCAACAATCGTGCATGATCTGCACATGTACCCCAGAACCTAAAGTACAATTGAAAAAAAAAAGCAGAAAAGAGAGTACTGCTGCTTTACGGTGGGAAATGCTTTCACTTTACCAGCTTTGAGAAGCAGCAGCCCCATGGGATGTAAACATGTGGGGTCTGCATTAAGAAGCCTGTGTGCGTGGGATGGGGCTCTGGGGAGGAAGACCTTACTTGCTCAGCACTGGTCATATAATACATGTAACTCCTAGGAAAATGTTTCTGGGGCAACCCCAGAACGCCGATCATATTTTACAGGGTTTCTCTGGTGGAATCAGTTTTCCAGCCCTTGCTTCATATTTACCAGAAATCCCCCAGTTAATTTCTATCTCTGACCCCTCCCCAACCCACTCCATATTTGGGTCATGGCCAGGAAAGGCAGTTGGATTATCATAGACAACTGGGTAATGTATTCCTTTGTAATCAAGACTTGAGATATCGAAGTGTGTCATTAGTTTCCAGAGTGCAGCTCTGAGAGCCTGTTGAAGAATCAGCCCTCATGTAGAGCTGAGAAGACTTGATTGGGTGGTTGACTAGCAGCCACAGAACCTGTCCTCCCAGGCTGTTCTGAGGCCTGACCGCAGTGTTTATTTTGCCTTGTCCTGTCCTTCTGCAGAGGCCCACCCTCATGGGCATTGTCTCTGTTTCCCAGCAGGGTGGACAGTATATCAGATGGTCAGAACAAATAAAATTCAGTGTCAAATGACTTTTGGCTCTATTTATGTTCCCTGGGATATAGACTGCTCAGGAATGGTGAGAGGTCGATACTTGTTTTGCCTGGAACTTTACAGAGTCCCTGGAAGACAAAGTTATGAGGTATTTTAAATGTTTTTCGTGACTCTCCCACGGGAGATGTGTTCTAGCATCTTGTAATTATCAGCTACTTAAGTGACCAGAGAGTGTAAAGGTCTGGGAAGTGCAGAGGCCTAGATTGAAATCCCACCTGCCATTTATTAGCTATATGGCCTTCAGCAAGTCCTAACTTCCTTGGGGCTCAGATAATAAGAAAAGGCTGTGTATTACAGTGGTTGACAGTGAAGGCAGATTTGGGTTTCAATCTAGGCTATGCAACTGAAAAAGTCCATTTGACCTCAGACAGACTTCACTTCTCTAAGTCTTGGCTTTCGCATCTTTAAACCTATTAGCGGGGCCAGGCACGGTGGGTCACGCCTGTAATCCCAACACTTTGTGAGGCCGAGTCAAGTGGATCACGAGGTCAAGAGATCGAGACCATCCTGGTCACCATGGTGAAACCCCGTCTCTACTAAAAATACAAAAAATTAGCTGGGCATGGTGGTACGTGCCTGTAATCCCAGCTACTCGGGAGGCTGAGGCAGGAGAATTGCCTGAACCCAGGAGGCGGAGGTTTCGTTGAGCCGAGATTGCGCCATTGCACTCCAGCCTGGGCAACAAGAGTGAAACTCTGTCTCAAAAAAAATAAAAAATAAAAAAATAAACCTATTAGGGTCATGAAGACAAAGCGAGAAAATCCAAGAAAAGTGAGCATGTAGTCAATGCTCAGTAAATGGTAACTATTATTATAAAACTAGTTTGTCATCAAATAATCTACCTTGTCATGCCTTGTGAGGATTAAGGGAGCAAGTACATTGGAGCACCCGGTGGTGTTCCTACTCTCTGACCCATCTCCCAGACCCTGAAGATGTGTTTCTTCCATGTGCTACTGTCTCGTCCAGCAAATATTGTCCTGTGCCTCATCCCCCCACCCCTGCCCACTTTTTGTTTTGAGATGGAGTCTCACTCTTGCCCAGCCTGGAATATGGTGGCACAATCTCAGTTTACTGCACCCTCCACCTCCCGGGTTCAAGTGATTCTCCTGCCTCAGCCTCCTGAGTAGCTGGGACTACAGGTGTGCCCCACCATGTCCACCTAATTTTTGGATTTTTAGCAGAGACAGGGTTTCACCATGTTGACCAGGCTGATCTTGAACTCCTGACCTCACGTGATCTGCCTGCCTTGGCCTCCCAAAGTTCTGGGATTACAGGTGTGAGCAACTGCCTCCGGCCTGCTTCATCCCTTTTGAAATAAGCTGTTCGAGCCCTCTAAGGTGATAATTAGCTGAAGAATTTAAGTTTCTAATGGTAGAGATCGAATCTATTTGATTTCTTTAAGCAGGTATCGTCTAGACTCCTCTTGAGACACCCAGAGTTCTCCTAGTATCCTGAGGAAACGTGCGCTTAGGCAATAGCCTTCTAGAGACCAAGTCTCTGCCCTGTTGCCTAACCTTGAGAACTGTGCCTGTCTGACCTATTTGGCACAAACACCATTCTGTGTCAACCTGCTAAGTTGTTTTGTGGCAGGAAAGGGTCCATTGTGACCCTCAGTGCACTTCATACAGGCTGTAACTTGATCAGCCTTTACAGAGTACACTTTCTAGGGCTGGGACTGTGACCATATTATGGTGGCAGACTTCCCTCTCCTCTTTACCCTCAGTCAGTCCCCACATGGAGGTGGGCTTCCTTGAGGACTGGTTCATCTAATTCTTACACATATATACGTATATATATGTAAAATTTTTTTAGAAGGGGGGTCTCACTATGTTGCCTAGGATGGTCTCCAACTCCTGGCCTTAAGCGATCCTCCCGTCTCGGCCTCTCAACATGCTGGGATTATAGGTGTGAGCCACTGTGCCCACCCTCATGTGATTTTTTTTATCCGTATGCTTAAGAGAATACTTTTAATATATTTTTCCACCTTGAGATTCCCCTCCTATCCATCCTCAGCTCCAGAGTAGGGCATTCTCTAACCCCAGTCTTGTCACCCCATTCTTTGAAATAGTATTAGTTTAAGAAGGAACTGTGATGGCTGGGTGTGGTGGCTCACGCCTGTAATCCCAGCACTTTGGGAGGCCGAGGCGGGTGGATCACGAGGTCAAGAGATCGAGACCATCCTGGTCAACATGGTGAAACCCCGTCTCTACTAAAAATACAAAATTTATCTGGGCACGGTGGCACGTACCTGTAATCCCAGCTACTCAGGAGGCTGAGGCAGGAGAATTGCCCGAACCCAGGAAGCGGAGGTTTCGGTGAGCCGAGATCGCGCCATTGCACTCCAGCCTGGGTAACAAGAGTGAAACTCTGTCTCAAAAAAAAAAAAGCAACTGAATTGTTCCTTCCTCTCCTTGTTGCTCCTTTGCTTCTTCATTTATTTATTCATCAGATATCAAGCACGTAGTATGTGCTTGGCAATGGCAGTGATATAAGACACAACTCCTATCATCAAAGAGTCCTGTCTAGCAGCAGAAGCAAACACGTAAACAAATCGGGGCAAATACAGGCCACATGCAGTGGCTCACACTTTGGGAGGCGAATCACTTCAGTTCAGGAGTTTGAGACCAGCCCGAACAGCATGCTGAAACCCCATCTTTACCAGAAATACAAAAACAATTAGCTGGGCATGGTGGCAAGCACCTGTAGTCCCATCTGCTTGGGAGGCTGAGGTGGGAGGATGGCTTGAGCCCAGGAAGCAGAGGGTACAGTGGGCCGAGATCACACCACTGCACTCTTTGGAGAATTGTCCCTGAGAGACCATCTCAAAGAGAAAAAAAGACAACTGCAAAATTGTTGCTATATATCAACAAGTACTATCAATGTCGTACAAGAGGCACACTTTGTTGGGGGGTGTGGCAGGGTTGTAAGGGAGAACTTTACAGAAAAAAGAAATTTGGCTTGGGGGTTGTTCCGTGCAGGAAATGCACAAGGGGAGAAGAAAAGACATACACACACGATACCTGATACATTTAAGGGTAAACAAGCTTTATCCCATGTAAAGGGCCATGCAGACATAATAAGCAAATGATATAATCAAATTAATATAAGCACATTGATATAAACAGATTATATTATACGCAAATGATATAACAAACAGATTGAGATAACAAGAAAACTGCAATGGGAAGGGGAGAAGGGAAATATATATATATATATATATATATATATATATGTTGTTTTTTACACTCACCAGGCTCTGGAGGATCCACAACCAGCCTGGGAAGCAACAGTTGGGGCTCCAGAGTCCGCCACTCTGCACAGACCAGGAGAGGGCTCAGGAAGCTTCAGCATGCTGTGGGAGCCTAGCTTTTTCTGCAACGAGTTGATTGGCATGAGGCCCAGTCATGACAGCCCTTCTCAGCTGGGCTAAAGGAACACCAAAAGGTCAACATGTTGTTGCGATTGTCTATTGTGTTTCAATAACTAATATATAGGAATAGATTGAAATGGAGATTTCTCCAAAGCAGTGCTGGACGAACGCCTCGAGGGGCTCACACAACCTGTTCTGGGACTTGGTGACCATTGTTTGTGTCCATGTTCAACTGAGTTCAAATTTAATATTTAAATTTTTTTTTCTTTTTTTTTTTTTTTTTTTTGAGTCACAGTTTCACTCTTGTTGCCCAGGCTGGAGTGCAATGGCGCAATCTCGGCTCACTGCAACCTCCGCCTCCTCGGTTCAAGCAATTCTCCTGCCTCAGCCTCCTGAGTAGCTGGGATTACAGGCACGCGCCACCATGCCCAGCTAATTTTTGTATTTTTAGTAGAGACGGGGTTTCACCATGTTGACCAGGATGGTCTCAATCTCTTGACCTCGTGATCCAGCCGCCTCGGCCTCCCAAAGTGCTGGGATTATAGGCGTGAGCCACCGTGCCCGGCAAATTTTTAAATTTTCCTCCACATTCAGCCTCAATTTGATACTCAATTGTAGGAAAATACCCTTACAGATACATGGGGAAGGCACAGTTGATATAGATTACAAATACAGGGTAGCACAGGAGAATTAAATGCACAATTAATAAAAACCACACCCACCATGGCCAACACCAATGGAGCTGGATAGCCAGTCCATGATGGGGCCCTGATGGTTGGATTTCAACTTTTGCTTGTTTTTGCATGTCTTGGGCAAGGACTGTAATATTGTGAGAATTGTCAGGGATATTTACACAACATTCAGTATGCAGTAAGGCGCAAACCCCTCCTTGGGCTGCGATAAGCATATCTAATGCCATTCGAATGTGCACCGTACGCAGCTGAGCAAATTCTTCTGATGACAACATAAGTCCAGTGCTACTATCATTAAGAGCTTTTTCTACATGTAAGCTTAATATTATAATTTGTTGCTGAAGCAGGATTGTACCAGCAGAAGCGGAGAATACTATGATAGAGTACCACCACCGGGGAGGCCGGCGCATTTGTAAGCAGCGATGTTTGCAGGCATCTACATTACTGGGGAGGGGAATATTATCCCGGATGGCAAATGGAATTAATGGCACCCCCAGGTGCATCTCCCTGTCCAAGAGATGGCAGGTATCGCCACCCGTAGGATCTGCATACCCAGAGAGCCCCCCCAGGGAACAGGAAGAGTTCTATAATTGTATTGCTGTAATGTGTAATTTAAGTAACAAAGGTGCTGTGGGCCAGGCGTGGTCGCTGGCTCCTGTAATCCCAACACTTTGGGAGGCCAGGGTGGGTGGATCACTTGAGGTCAGCAGTTTGAAACCAGCCTGTCCAACATGGCAAAACCCCATCTCTACTAAAAATACAAAATTAGCAGGGCATGGTGGTGCGTGCCTGTAATCCCGCTACTCAGGAGGCTGAGGCAGGAGAATGGTTTGAACCTGGGAGGCGGAGGTTGTAGTGAGCCAAGAGTGTGCCACTGCACTCCAGCCTGGGCAACAAGAGCAAAACTCCATCTCAAAAACGAACAAACAAAAAAAACAAAGGTGCTGTGTCTCATTTGGGCTTGGGCAAAATAGACTGTTTGGTTTGATTCAAAGAGGTCTAGGTTGTATTACAAATGTTATTATCCCACCCCCACTGATATCAGCATATCCATTCAGCAATGTTAGTAGGGCCAGTTCTCCAAAGTAGCCCATTCCTGGTGACCTCTGGCAACTCGACCCGTAGAAAGCGCTGACTGCATCTGGCTTCTGTTGCACTGGTGGCTACCCAGATGATGAACTCACTCTCAGCCTCAGACATGATGACGCGGGTACTGATTACTAGCAGACAGGTTATTCTCTGAAATAACAAAAATGAAGGGGACCATGACATTATTTTTTCATCTTTAGGAAATTGTACTATGCCTTTATTTTCTGCTCCCATAGCTACCAGTTCACCAGCCTTAAGGGCGGGATCTGATGGACATTGTACCCATATTTTGGCTCCAGGATTTAAGTTGCCCACTCCAGTGGACCCTAATTCTCCAATTCTCTAGGTTATTTCCAGTGGGGCAGAAATTTCCTCAGGGTTTAGTCGTTGACAAGGTACCACTAACAATTGAGCAACCCGCATCTGCGGTTTTATAGCAAAAGAATCTGGAGGGGTTTTGTAGCAAAAGAATCTGGAGCAGTTTTGTGTGAAATGACCTTTAACTCTCCCCGGCAATCACGATCAATTATACCGCCATACGAATAATGCCTCTCATTGCAAGGCTTGAACATGTTGTAATCCGTTCATCTGCATTCAAGTTTGCAGTTGAGTGCATTTGATTTTGGCTTTTTTTGTTTTGTTTTGTTTTTTTGAGATGAAGTTTCGCTGTTGTTACCCAGGCTGGAGTGCAATGGTGCGATCTCTGCTCACCACAACCTCCGCCTCCTGGGTTCAGGCAATTCTCCTGCCTCAGCCTCCCGAGTAGCTGGGACTACAGGCACGCACCACCATGCCCAGCTGACTTTTTTACTTTTTGTAGAGACGGGATTTCACCTTGTTGACCAGGATGGTCTCGATCTCTTGACCTCGTGATCCACCCGCCTCGGTCTCCCAAAGTGCTGGGATTATAAGCGTGAGCCACCGTGCCCAGCCTCCCCAGACCTCTTTCTTCCCAAATTAACCATGTGTTTCATCACCATTGGGGCACACAGGTAGGAAGACCGTGTGCTAGTGACCAAGAGTTGGTATACAAGTGACAAATCCCCGTGGCCTCCTCCTGAATAGCTTGGAGGATGGCTACCAATTCAGCCAGCTGGTTGCTCCCACTGCTTTCTTCATCAGAACTGGTGAGTTTGGGGGAACTCATGACCCAAGTCATAATCATAGCCATCATGGTTGCAGCACAGGTGCTCCATTTCCAGCAAAGCCCAATAGCAAGCTAACAGTTGATTTTTGAAAGGGGTATGTATAAGCTTTGCTGGCCTCTGGCAGCTTCCGGGTTCAAACTCCAAAGATACTCTCTTCCCATCTTGTTTCTGCCTGAAGCTCCAATTAGCATGTTGATCTAGGCCAGTTACTTGCAGTTCTGGCCCATCCCACGTAGGCCATAGATCTGGAGCCAGTTGCGCTGCTTGTTGAACTTGTTCAAAAGCCATGCTCTCGGCTCACGCCTGTAATCCTAGGACTTCGGGAGGCTGAGGTGGGTGGATCACCTGAGGTCAGGAGTTCAAGACCAGCCTGGCCATCATGGTGAAACCACATCTTAAAAAAAAAAAATAATCCATGCTCTCTTTCTCTCCCCAGTGAAAGTCACAGCGTTTTCTAGTGACTGCACACAGAGGTACTAAAATGTTACCACAGTGGGGAATATAATGTCTCCAGAATCCAAACAAGGCAGTAAACTTCTGGGCCTCCTTAGTGGTAGGGGTTGCAAATTCTAGTATTTTAGCTTTAGCCTTTGGTAAAATGGACTATTTCCCTGCATTCCATAGGAGGCCAAGGAATTTGACAGTTTGCGCATGTCCTTGAATTTTACTACGGCTAATTTCCCATCCCTGCAATAGGAGCTGGGTTTTTTTTTAACCTGCTCCAAGCCCCGGCTGACTAGGTCTTTGCTTTTACCCTGACCAGGCCACTCGAACAGCTGCTTTTTCCAGCAATAGGCTGATAGCTTTGAACCTGAGCAGTCAAGACATAGGCCTGGCTTTGGGTCAGGCAATACAGATATTATAAGCAAGTTAATATAAGTAAATTATATAATAAGCAAAAAATATAATAGATTGATATAATAAGCAAACTGCAATGGGAAGAGGAGAAGGGAAAAGATATTTACACTCACCAGACCCTGAAGGATTCACCAGCAGACTGGGAAGCAACAGCTGGGGCTCTGGCATCAGCCACTCATCCCTGCAGAGATGAGCGGTCTCATGAAGCTTGTGCGAAGTCTAGGACCTAGGTCTTTTTGTAACGAGTTGATTGGCATGACGCCCAGTCATGAGAGCCCTTCTCAACTGGGCTCCAGGGACACAAAAAGGTCAACTCGTTGTTGCAATTGTCTATTGTTTTTCAATAACTAACATATAGGAATAGATTGAAATCGAGATTTCTCCAAAACAGCGCTGGATGAACGCCTCGAGGGGCTCACACAACCTGTTCTGGGACTTCACTGTGTCCACATTCAATTGAGTTCAAATTTAATATTTAGCTTTTCCTCCACAGGGGTCAAATGTGATAGGAGGCATTCTTGGGAGGATTAATCACCTGCTCCAAAGGGAATTGTAAATTAGTACAGTTTGAGGCCTGGTGTTCTGGGAGTTGAGGTGAGGATAATCACTTGAGGCCAGGAGTTCAAGACCAGCCTGAGCAACATGGTGAAACCCTGTCTCTACCAAATATACAAAAATTAGCTGGGCATGGTGATGTGCACCTGTAGACCCAGCTATTCAGGAGGCTGAAGTGGGAGGATACGTTGAGCCTGAGAAGTCAAGGCTGCTGCAGTGAGCCAGGATCATGCTATCACACTCCAGCCTGGGTGACAGCGAGACCCTGTCTCAAAACAAAAAAACAACCCTGGCACAGTGTCTCACGCCTGTAATCCCAGCACTTTCGGGAGGCCAAGGTGGGTGGATCACTTAAGGTCAGGAGTTTAAGACCAGTCTGGCCAGCAGGGCGAAACCCCATCTCTACTAAAAATACAAAAATTAGCTGGGCATGATGGCTAACATCTGTAATCCCAGGCACTCGGGGGAGGCTGAGGCAGAATTGCTTGAACTGGGAAAGCAGAGGCTGCAGTGAGCCGAGATCGCGCCGCTGCAGTGAGCCGAGATCGCGCCACTGCACTTAAGTCGAGGTGACAGAGTAAGACTCTATTTCAGAAAATAAAATAAAAACACAAAGAAACAGCTTGAGAGGCTTTTTGTGTGAAAGTAATGAGATGAGACTGAAAACGAGTGGATGGAGTGGATGAATCCTGAAGAGCCTTGTAAATCGCTTAAGAGCTTTGGGCTTTATCCTGTGGGTTTTCATATGAATTTTAGTGGGCTCTCTCCAGCAGAGAGAGGAGAAAAGAGAGACAGGAAAACCGGTTGGCTGCGACTTCAAGAATTATCAAGAGCCTGAAGTTCAAGGGCAGTGGAAACAGTGAAGACAGTTTTTCGTTTGGTTATTTTTTGTTTCTATACGGAGGCGGCAGGGGTGGTTTAAAATTAAAAATGCTCTCCTCTTTGCTCTCCGCTCTTTTCGAATTCAGAAGTGCTGTAATCCCAGCACTTTGGGAGGCGGAGGCGGGTGGATCACGAAGTCAAGAGATCGAGACCATCCGGGCCAGTATGGTGAAACCTCGTCTCTACTAAAGATACAACACAAAAAATTAGCTGGGTGTGGTGGTGCGCACCTGTAGTCCCAGCTACTCGGGAGGCTGAGGCAGCAGAATCTCTTGAACCCGGGAGGCAGAGGTTGCAGTGAGCTGAGATCGCGCCACTGCACTCCAGCCTGGCAGCAGAGAGAGACTCCATCTATAAAAAAAAAAAAAAAAAATTAGCCTAGGTCAGGGACAGTGATGCCTCATGCCTATAATCTCAGCGCTTCGGAGGCTAAGGTGAAGAGAATCCCTCGAGGTCTGGAGTTCAGGATCAGACTGGGCACATAGCGAGACTCCAGCTCTTAAAAAAAAAAATTAGCCAGGCGTGGTGGCGCATGCCTGTAGTCCCAGCTACTCGGGAGGCTGGGATGAGAGGATCCTTTGAGCCCACGAGTTGGAGGTTATGTGAGCTGTGATAGCGCCACGCACTCCAGCCTGGCCGACAGAGCGACAGAGTGAGACTCTGTCTCAGAAAAAAAGAAAGAAAAAAGAAAATTGAGCCTGATCCTCTTTCCTTAGGTTTTGTCCCCCAGGTTATACCGTGGGCGGTGCGTTACCCCTGCTCAGTTCTCGGCCTGGCACTGCAATCTCCCGTTTCCGAGCTGCTCTCTTCAAATACTCTTTTGTGCTTGGGTTTCTGGCCGGGGAATAGAGGCGGGGCGGGCGGTGGGAGTTGGCGGGCGGGCAGAGGAAACTTCGCCAGTGACTAAAAGCGAGTGCGACTGTCCGTGACACCGAAGCCCACGGTAGAGGCCGGGACACGCCCACCTCCAGCGGCAGAGCTCCGAGGGGCGGGGCTGGGCGGGGCTTTGGGTGGAGGCCCCTCCTGGAACCGCGGGTGAGCGGGGAAGGGCGGGGCTTGGAGCGGAGGCCCCGCCTGGAACCGCGGGTGGGCGGGGCCGGGCCTGTGAGAATCTCAGCCGGAGCCCATCCCGCTCCTTTGCGGACTGAGCAGGTCGGATCCCAGGGCGGGTTCAGATTTGGAGGACGAGGTTTGAGGCCAAGCCCCTGTCGCAGCCTGAGACTGCGGGCTTTTTGCCTCTGCAGGGGCGGGGTAGGGCGGAGACAGGGGCGGACTTGAGCCCCGCTCTCGAGTTCTCGCCTCTGATTGAGCGGGCGGGTTTTGAGGCGGATCTTGGGGCGGGGCCCGCTCCGCTTTTTGACAGCTGTCTCTTGCATAGCTGCAGCAAACTCTGTGGGTTCGGGACCTGTGCCCTGGCTGTCCGCGCGTCCGCGTCCCCCGTGGCCCCGACCCCGGCCATGAAGCGTATCTTCTCCTGCTCCAGCTCACAGGTGGCGGTAGGTGCCAAAATGTGTGGGAGGACGGAGCTGGGGTCCGAGCTCCGGGGTGACAGAAGTGCTGAGTTCCATCTCAATGCATCATCGCCTTTCTTTTTATCAGGATTTCTAGCTCTTCTGCTCTCACAAGGAAGCCCGCCAGCTTTGCCTTCCTCAAGACCCTGTCCTGCAGCTTCTGACTCGCCTTCTTCACCTCTGCCCTCCCCAGGGTCCTTTCCCCGGCCCCTTTGTCCTCCTAGCATCTACACTCCCAGTTTCTGGTACGTTTTCTGCAGCCCTTTCCCCTTCCCATGGCCCTGCCCCTACTTCTGCTCTGTCTCCCAATACCAAACCACCCCCAAACAACTTCCCTGGCCCCTGCCTGGCCCCAGACAGGCCCCATTCGACACCACCAGCTCATGCCCGAGAGCCCCATTTTTCAGCCCTACCCTGTCCCCACAATCTTGCCCTCCCACATAGTTCTGTCCTTACAGTTTCCTATTAGTTCAACAATCATTCCCAGCCCTGTGCCTTCTGCTAACCCTTTTTCACAATCTCCTCTGTCATTTTCTCCCGCCCGCCCCATGCCACATTCACTGCCATCTTTCACGAGCACTACTGTTCCTCACACAGCACTCCAAACCTTTTTCCAGTTGATGCTCCCACAACAGCAACCTTCTGTTCTCCCCTTCAACCTCTGCCCTACTCTGCCCGGTGGTCGCTAATCCCACTTTTCCTCTCTTTGCCTGGACTTCCTCCTGCCTGCTTGTTGTGAGTTAATATTGCAGTCTGACCAGCCTCACAGGCACTGCCAGAGGATGCACAGTTGCCTGGCTGCTCCCCAAGGGACTGGGTGAGTTGGCTGCAGAATCCACCCCAGCCAGTTCACTACAGTGTCTGATCATCAGACTGGTTCTTGGGCCAGTCAAGACCCTAATGCCTGCCTTTCCCCGGATTATTCATTTCTTGAACCCTCGCCCAGTTGTTTAGGGATTATACTCTCCATTTCCTTTGGTTGAGTTGGGGGAAAGTGATGATGAGAGAAGAGGATAGAGCAGACTCTGAGTGTTCCCAGCAGAAGTCACTCTATTCTCACAGGAAAAACACACACACACACACACACACACACAAAGATTATAGAGGCTGGGAGCGGTGGCTCACGCTTATAATCCCAGCACTTTGGGAGGCCGAGGTGGGCGGATCACCTGAGGTCAGGAGTTCGAGAACAGCCTGGCCAACATGCAGAAACCCCATCTCTTTTAAAAAAAAAAAAAGAGAGAGAGAGAGAGATAGAAGGTGGTGGCTTAGGGAAGGTATTGCTTCCTCTTCTCTAAAGATCTCTTACATAGAGCACCCCCTTACCTGAAAATGGAATTTTCTGTCGAGGTTGGGGTTATGGCTAATTTAGAAGCAAACGAGCCAGCTACTTGTAGCAATATTGCTTTGCTAACTCGACTTAGTAGTATCGTTTATAAGCAAATATGAGAAATGTTCAATTAGCTCATTCTGCATGGGCAGGTCACAGAATTCTGGAAGCAAGCTATGAGGCAAGAGGAGGAACTCTGTTGAGACCTGTCCTTGTCCCACTGACATTTGCATCTCCACTTAGTTTCTACACATTGATCAACCAGTCAAAAGCTATTTACTATTACATGCACCTGAAACTGAGGCTGCCCAGACTCAGTCTTAACTCATAATGATTTCTTAGAAATTCATATGGACTCTCCCTTAGGTACTGAAAGGATTCAGTGTTGCCCTTCCCTTATAGATTTGTGGAGTCTGCCTGCTCCTTAGGAATGGGGAAACTATTTCATTCTTTCTGATCCTCCAATCCTTGGGCAGTACCTCCTGTCCGAGGTGCTGGAGTGAGCCATGGGCTGGCTCTTAGAATTTGGAACCACCCTTCTGTCCTCCTTGACTCCGGCTGCATAGAGATTTGAACATAAAGAATAACCACCCATTCTAAACTCTTAGGATAACAAGATCTTTACTATAATGGGATTACGGGAAGTTGGATGGGTTTAGAATTATCTTTTTTTTTTTTTTAATAAAGATGGGGTTTCACCGTGTTGGTCAGGCTGGTCTTGAACTCCCAACCTCAGGTGATCCGCCCACCTTGGCCTCCAAAGTGCTTGGATTACAGGCATGAGCCACCACGCCAGGCCTAGAATTATCTAGCTGGAAAGAAAACTGTTTCTTCAGAGAGACTGGGGTCATAGAAAACTTGCAAATATGCCAATTTCAGCTGCAAACTGGTTCCCCACGAAACTTCCCCCCATTTCTCACGCTAAATTCCTCCACTTCCTTGGGTGGCTAACTACCCTGGACCCACTTCCCAGAATAGTGTGGCAGTCTTTCTGGCCACTCCAAAAGCCTGGCTTCCCGGTCACACTGGAAGATTGCCTCTACACATCTCCATTCACACACCTGGGTCCAGGGCAGAGCCCTGCACCCTCGGTCTAAAGTAAGGACTCAAAAAGCAGTGATCATTTTTTTTTTTCTTGAGATGGAGTTTCACTCTTGTCCGCCCCATGCTGGAGTGCAGCGGCACGATGTCGGCTCACCGAAACCTCCGCCTCCCGGGTTCAAGCAATTCTCCTACCTCAGCATCCTGAATAGCTGGGATTATAGGCATGAGCCACCACACTTGGCTAATTTTTGTATTATTAGTAGAGACAGGGTTTCACCATGCTGCCCAGGCTAGTCTTGAACTCCTGACCTCAGGCGATTAGCCTGCCTCGGCCTCCCAAAGTGCTGGGATTACAGGCGTGAGCCACCATGCCCAGCATGATCTTTTTTTTTTTTCTTTTTAGAGAGATGGGGTTTCACCATATAGGTCAGGCTGGTCTCGAATTCCTGACCTCAGGTGATCCACCGGCCTCGGCCTCCCAAAGTGCTGGGATTACAGGCGTGAGCCACAGTGCCTGGCCCCAGCATGATCATTTTTTTTTTTTTTTTTTTTTGAGACAGAGTTTCGCTCTTGTTACCCAGGCTGGAGTGCAATGGCGCGATCTAGGCTCACTGCAACCTCCGCCTCCTGGGTTCAGGCAATTCTCCTGCCTCAGCCTCCTGAGTAGCTGGGATTACAGGCACGCACCACCGTGCCCAGCTAATTTTTTGTATTTTTAGTAGAGACGGGCTTTCACCATGTTGACCAGGATGGTCTCGATCTCTTGTGATCCACCCGCCTCGGCCTCCCAAAGTGCTGGGATTACAGGCTTGAGCCACCGCGCCCGGCCAGCATGATCATTTTAAAGCTAATCTAAGTTATTCAGTATATAGGAAAATCAACAAACAAAAACCCAACTCCTATCATCCCATTTTATTTTAGTCAAGTAGAGGATATCTTTGAAGGTGTCTTAAATATGAGCTTACTCTGCCTAGGTAGTCCAGAAGTAGACCAGAAGAGCGCTTTAAATAATGGGCACTCGATCAGCTTAGAGGAATGTCAATTGCAACTAAAACATTGAGAATTAGGTCCTGGTTCCTCTAGGATAGGCTTTCTGTTTCCACTCACCTGACCTACAGCAGAAGTCCTTCCTTCTCTCTCTGCCGGCTGCTGTGCTTCCACATTATAAGATGCTTATAAGTACACAGGCAGAGAGATAAGGAGAGGGTACAATTACTTCTACAAAAGTCCTCTAATCTCAGCCACAGACACGCAAAGCTTATACTTATTAAGTCTGCTGATTAATTTGGTGATTGCTCCCTTGAGGCTGTGACAGTAATCTAGTGCCTCCTTTCCAAGGTGCCAGGGTAAGCTACAGACTGTGTCTTAACCTTTGAAAGCATCCCTCTGTCCTTTACTCCACCTCTACAGAGGCTCAGCCATGAAAAATTTCCACCCATTCTAAATTCTACTTAGTATAATGAGATTATAGGAAGTAAATTGCGTAGATTTAGAACTATCTAGCTAGAAAGAAAAGTAACCAGGCCAAGCGTGGTAGCTCACACCTATAATCCCAGCACTTTGGGAGCCCAAGGTGGGGAGGATCACTTGAACCCAGGAGTTTGGGACCAGCCTGGGCAATGCAGTGAGACCCCATCTCTTAAAAAAAAATTACCTGGGTGTGCCTGTAGTCCCAGCTACTTAGCAGACTGAGGTGAAAGGATCACCTGAGCCCAGAGGTCAAGGCTGCAGTGAGCCATGATCAGGCCACTGCACTACAACCTGGGCAACAGAGCAAGACTCTGCCTTAAAAAAAAGAGAGAGAGAGAGAGAGAGAGAGAGAGAGAGAGAGAGAGAAATTAATAAAAAGAAGTGGAAAGAAAAGAATCTAAGAATCTATATTGGTGGGGCTGGGCGCGGTGGCTCACGCCTGTAATCCCAGCACTTTGGGAGGCTGAGGTGGTGGGATCACGAGGTCAAGAGATCGAGACCATCCTGGTCAACATGGTGAAACCCCGTGTCTACTAAAAATACAAAAAATTAGCTGGGCATGGTGGTGCTTGCCTGTAATCCCAGCTACTCAGGAGGCGGAGGTTGCGGTGAGCCGAGATCGCGCCATAGCACTCCAGCCTGGGTAACAAGAGCGAAACTCCAACTCAAAAAAAAAAAAAAAGAATCTATATTGGTAAGAAGCATCTTTACCATCTATACAGTCTGGCTGTTATTCACTGGCTGATATCAGCAAGATCCCTTCCACTCCCCTGGCTGGAGAATCCTGAGCCCAGGAACATCTAAAGTGTGCCCAGGAAGGATGGGGACTGGAAGCCACATTTATTGTGCATCTACTATGTGACAGACACAGAGCTAGATGCCTTACACGATGTTACAGTATTAGGAAACTGAGATTTGCCGGGCGCAGTGGCTCACGCCTGTAATCCCAGCACTTTGGGTGGCTGAGTCGGGCAGATCACCTGAGGTTAGGAGTTTGAGACCAGCCTGACCAATATGGTGAAACCCCGTCTTGAAAAAAAAAAAAAGGAAACGGAGATTCAGAGATGTTGTTATATGCCTAAATTCACAGAGGCAGGCAGTGTTAGAGTTGACTTTAAACAGAACTGCAGGTTGAGGTCGGCTGATGGCAGCACCCTGTCATGGGGGCATAGTCCCAGCTCTCTGCTTTCCTGGGGTGACCTGGTCTCCAAAGGGCATGAAAAAATGCATTCTTACGTGTCAGAGCCTGTCAGTATGAGGAGGAGTCCTTTTGCTTATTTTGTCCTTTGAGAGTTAACCTGTTTGGAGTTTCACGCAGGCAGTGAAGTCTGAGGGTGGGTGGCTTTTCCCTGCAGGCAACTTGAGACTGTTTATCTGGAAATAAGTAAACCTTTTTCTTTCTTTTTTTTTTTTTTGAGACGGAGTTTCGCTCCTGTTACCCAGGCTGGAGTGCAATGGCGCGATCTCGTCTCACTGCAACCTCCGCCTCCTGGGTTCAGGCAATTCTCCTGCCTCAGCCTCCTGAGTAGCTGGGATTACAGGCACGCGCCACCATGCCCAGCTAATTTTTTGTATTTTTAGTAGAGACGGGGTTTCACCATGTTGACCAGGATGGTCTCGGTCTCGTGACCTCGTGATCCACCCGCTTCGGCCTCCCGAAGTGCTGGGATTACAGGCGTGAGCCACCGTGCCCGGCCAAGTAAACTTTTTCTATAGCTTGTAGTAGTATGGCCTGGGTTCTTCTTTTTTTGAGATAGAGTCCTGCTCTGTCTTCCAGGCTGGAGTGCAATGGTGCCATCTTGACTCACCGCAAACTCCACCTCCCAGGTTCAAGTGATTCTCCTGCCTCAGCCTCCTGAACAGCTGGGATTACAGGCACCCGCCACCATGTCCGGCTAATTTTTTGTGTTTTTAGTAGAGATGAGGTTTCACCATCTTGGCCAGGCTGGTCTCAAAACGCCTGACCTCAGGTGATCCACCCACCTAGGCCTCCCAAGGTGCTGTGATTTTGAGCCCCCACGCCCGGCCGTGGCCTGGATTCTAATTTCAAGTTTGCCACTCTGTTTCATCATCTTGGATGGTTATCTTATCTCAGTATACTTTCGTTTCTTCTGTCAAAGAGGTGGAATAATAGCCCTAACTTTCCAGGGATGTTGAGAGACTAATTGAAGTAGCACGTGAAAGGGCTGCGAGAAGTTACAACTTCAGTACAGGAGTGTTACCTCAGAATCCATCTCCCTTAGATAATTGTATGGTTTGGACATTTAAAACAAACAAACAAAAAAATGCCGGCGTGGTGGCTCACACCTGTAATCCAAGCACTTTGGAGGCCAAGGCGGGAGGATCACCTGAGGTCAGGAGTTCAAGACCAGCCTGACCAACATGGTGAAACCCCGTCTTAAAATAAATAAATAAATGAATGAAACTTCCCTGTGGTCGAGTAATAATTTGCCCTGGCTACGTAAACAGTATTTGAAAATGAGTTATTGGGCTTCCACAGACCCTATTTTTCTTCCCCACTTCAATAACCTCTTGGTGAGATGATACCTTATAAAATGCAACGTGCCACCCCCAACCCCCACTGCTTCCTGTTTTGTTACAAGGATGCCATACATTGGGATGGCTCTTTACAGTTTATAAAGAGCATTTGTATATATTAGCTTGTGTAATCGTCACAGCATGATGAGGTAGTTGTGCCACATTTTACAGAAGAGGAAGCAGGTTAAAGGTGTCGGATGGCTTACTCTGGGTCACACAGTCGAGAATGTAGCCGAACTAGGTCCCAGACTCAGGCCAGCCAGCAAAATATCCATCCGGCACCCTTTACATCAGACCATAGATCTTTGCCTTTTTCTTTTCCTTTTTATTCCCTTCTCTGGACAAAACCAGGCTTTTCTGTGCTTTCAGCCTTGGGTGTTCTTACATAGCTGTCTCACGCCCGTAACACTTCAATTATTGTAATTACCCCGCCACCCGCCAAACTCAAGCTGGAATGATAGAACAATGCATGCCCAGGTGTGGCTGCTGATGAGACAGCTGCTGCTCCCCGCCAGGGAAACTGGGAGGGAGGAGAAGGGGAGCTGGCTCCTGCTGCTTCCTCGAGCAGAGCTAGAAACCTCTTTGCCTTTTAGTTGTTGTTGCCATGGAAAGGGCAGAGACACTCGCCAAAGGGCATGGATATGATATGGAAAAATAGAAACTAGTTTCATCTTTTTTTTTTTTTTTTTTTTTGAGACTGAGTCTTGCTTTGGCGCCAGGCGCCAGGCTGGAGTGCAGTGGCATGATCTCCGCTCACTGCAACCTCCGCCTCCTGGGTTCAAGCAATTCTCCTGCCTCAGCCTCCCAAGTAGCTGGGACTACAGGCACGCGCCACCACACCCAGCTAATTTTTGTATTTTCTTAGTAGACACGGGGTTTCACCATGTTGACCAGGATGGTCTCGATCTCTTGACCTTGTGATCTTCCCGCCTCGGCCTCCCAAAGTGCTGGGATTACAGGTGTGAGCTACCACACCTGGCCTATTTTCGTCTTTTAATTTTGGGGCCCAAAGCTAGTGAGTAGAGATGGAATGGTTAGGTACTGGGACTCCTAGCTGTAACCTGAAGCTCGGTGCCTTGATGTACTTCTCAAACAACCGACAACAAAAAGTAGCAGGGGTCAGGAGTGGGGGTGGTGGTGAGGGGCAATGTGAGCCCTCAGGTGTGGTCAGGTTGGCTCCATTTGCTCCAGCAAGACTTAGAAAGCAAAAGGGAAAGGATTGTTCTAAGACTGGGTGCCGGACAGCAACCCTCATCATAATGATGATAAAGTGACATTGGAAATTCTGTGCGTTCAGCACTCATACATGATTTTTAATTCCGTGATCCAGGGTCCTTTTGGCCCAGGGCTGGAAATAACCAGCAATAGTTGTGGGTGGCATATTAGCTTAAGATTTAGCTGGAACCACTTACTAAGGAAGGACTAAATGGGGCCGGGTGCAGTGGCCCTTTGGGAGGCCAAGGTGGGCGCATCACCTGCGGTCAGGAGTTGGAGACCAGCCTGGCCAACATGGAGAAACCCCATCTCTAAAAAATAAAAAAAGAGAAAAAAATAATAAAAAGAAAAAATTAAAAGAAGAAGGACTAAATGATCTAAGATGTGTGTGACTTGTGGAAGGGGAAAAGGACCTCAGGGACCTTCCGTTTCTCCTGTTTGGCACCCTGACCATTTGCCTCTTTTCTTTCTCCATCCTACCCCCATCCTATGTTCACACAACCTGGGGTTCTGGACCAGGTGGAGAGATGGAGCCGTCGTGATCAGAAGCTGCTGGAGGCAGTGCAGCGGGGGGACGTGGGGCGCGTGGCTGCCTTGGCCTCCAGGAAGTCAGCCCGACCCACCAAGCTAGACTCAAACGGCCAGTCCCCGTAAGTAAGTCCTCCGGCCCCTGCCCCTTATATGTGGCTCCCTTTCAAAGCCCCGAAATCCAATATGACACAGGACCAGGGAAGGCCTACAACTTCAGAGCTCTTTTCATTGTCTTAATTAGCAAGGATATCCATAGTTTTCGCTACATGGAAATGCTACACCAAGTGAGGGAAGACTATATTGTCCCTGAGTTCCATCCTCCTCACAACCCAGATTGACACCACAGACTTGGGAAGTACGCAAAGCCCATTAAACAAACAGAAAATGAATATATACACTAGAGCGTTTCTCCATTGCACAAGCAGGAAGGTGTGTATGCTTGGGAAACTGGAAATGAAGTGGTGGCTATGGGACTCACATGGCTGGAGGGAGCGCTGATTAAGTCAAGGAATGTTATCTTTTGTCTCTACCCAAAGCCTTCGAATGGGCAGCCTTTTGCTCTGCTCTGACTCTTTCAGCGACACTGCCACTTCCGCTAAGGGTTCAATTATGTATTCCCCTAGACACGCCTGCAAAAACCTGAGATTCCTTGAGACCTGTAGCTCTGATTTCTTCCTGGCTTTTAACTTCCGTTATGATTGGAGGCCATATAGACTTCTCTTTCTCAGAAATTCAAGCTAGGAGAGCTTCTCTTCCTGCTTTTAGGAGTTTGGGGGTAGGGAGCATAGGAAGAAGGGCTTACCAAGAGTCTCCCATTCCTCATGCCTGGTCCCCTCTCGGCCTTGATTCTAGCAGGTTTCATCTGGCAGCCTCCAAAGGCCTGACAGAGTGTCTGACTATACTGCTTGCAAACGGGGCTGACGTCAACAGCAAGAACGAGGATGGTGAGTGAGACGGAGAACTGGGCCACGCTGTTCGCTTGCACCTGTACAGCAGGTGGGGGGTGGTGCTGGGCCCTGCTGGAGGTCCCTACTGTGGCCCCTTGCTCCTCTCCTCAGTAAGGTCTGGCCAGCATCCCTCCAGGAGTTCCCCTCCCTGTAAGCTGGGCACACCTCACCCCCACTCCCACCTCCATCACGGGTACCAGGCAGTTGGGGAACAGGAATTTCTGGCCCCTTGTGGCTGAAAGCTTCTCTCCCTAATCTCCTGATTATCTGTGCGTCTCTTGCCTTCCCTCCCTGTGAGTCATCAGCATGCATGGGGCCACCTACCCTCCTTCTCCCCGTCTGTCTGTTTCCAGGAAGCACTGCCCTGCACTTGGCCACCATCTCCTGCCAGCCACAGTGTGTCAAGGTGCTGCTTCAGGTAACAGCAACCCCTTGACTACTCTTGTGAAGGGAAGAAGTGGACCCAGAGTTTTCTAACTTCGTCTCATAGTCACAAGGAATAGTTGGCCAAACGGACTGGCCTCATCCCCAGTAGGAGGGTTCATAAGAAAACATTTATTTAACACCTACTATGTGTAGTCACCATGCTCGATACTGCCTTTGAGGGCACCTTAGAAAGCAGCGTTGCCAGGAACTATCAATTTGGCCATTAGGAGAGCCACTGCAGACACTTCCTGCTAGGATGGGGCAAGACGAAGGACACAGATATGAAATTAAACCAAAGCCCTGCTGTGTGTTTTTAAGGAGTTTATAGTCTAGTAGTATAAAGAGAAATGTACGTGTGAAATGACATGTAGACAACTTATCAGCGAGGCCCCAAAAGTACAAAAGGCTGTTACCTTAACCGGCCACCAGGCAAATGAATGCTCTGCTTTTGTTCTTCCTAATCCTTTCCACTTTTCACAGTGATTTTTCTTTTTTTTTTTTTTTTTGAGACAGAGTCTCACTCTATCACCAGGCTGGAGTGCAGTGGCGCGATCCCGGCTCACTGAAACTTCTGTTTTCTGGTTTCTTTTTTTATTTTATTTTAAGATGGGGTTTCACCATGATGGCCAGGCTGGTCTTGAACTCCTGACCTCAGGTGATCCACCCACCTCGGCCTCCCAGAGTGCTAGGATTACAGGCGTGAGCCACCGAGCCGGGCCAAGACTCTGCCAAGCCTGACCTTGCTTAACTTCTGGGGCCCTGCCCTCAGGCTTTCTTATTGCAGCCCTGGAGCTCTATATGGGGCGTTTTCCAGTTTCAAGCCATTCTCCTGCCTCAGCCTCCTGAGTAGCTGGGACTACAGGCACGCACCACCACGCCTGGCTAATATTTTGTACTTTTAGTAGAGACGGGGGTTTCACCATGTTGGCCAAAATGGTCTCAATCTCTTGACCTCGTGATCCGCCCGCTTTGGCCTCCCAAAGTGCTGGGATTATAGGCGTGAGCCACCGCGCCCGGCCCACAGTGGTTTTTCTAAAGTACCAGCCATGTAGTCAGGTGTCATTTTCCCTAACATGTTTATTTATCTACCATCTGATTTTTCCTAGGCCCTTGGTTTAGAAACCAGGGCTGATATTCAAGGCTGCCTATCATCAGCAATGAATGAACTGGGCTTGCCTAGTAGACAGCCTTCTCTAAAGTGGTCCTCCTGCCCCCTCCTCATATTACCATGATAATTGGTGACCCAATGTGGGTATGGGATGAGGATGTTAACACCAAGCTCCATGCTGCTTCCCTTTGTGGTCATTTGCAGCATGGTGCTAATGAAGATGCTGTGGATGCAGAAAACCGTAGTCCATTGCACTGGGCAGGTGTGTGCAGGGGACTCGTGGGGACAGGGATGCAGGGCCTACAGGGTGGGAAACGGGAGGTGCGAGGGGGGAGGGGCAGCAAGGGCCAGCCGCTGAAATGGTCGGAGGGGTTGCCGGGTCATAGGCTGAAGAGGCTTTCTTCCTGCTTCCCCCCAACCCGATCTTCCCCTCCCCAGCCTCCTCGGGCTGTGCCTCAAGTGTGCTCCTGCTGTGTGACCACGAAGCCTTCCTGGACGTGTTGGATAATGTGAGTGTGAGATGGGCAGCTGCGCAGTGTCCTACACAGGCAGGCTGCTGCTCTCTCTGAGCTGGCTTGGCGGATTCCAGGACCTAGGGCTGTGTTAGCACCACCCATCTCCTGCTTCTCCTCCTCTTTCTCACAGAGAAGTTAAGCCTTAGCTTCTGGAAAGCTTCCAACCCTCCGAAAGGGAGTGTTTAGACCCAAGATCTGGCCTTTATTTTTCTGAAGAGGTGTGAGGTGGGGGAGCTGTTAGGATCGTGTCAAGCCTCTGGCTCTCCCCGGGTCCTCATGAACCCTTCCTACAACCTGTGCAGGGTGGACGTACACCCCTGATGATCGCATCGCTGGGTGGCCACGCCGCTATCTGCTCACAGCTGCTGCACAGAGGAGCCCGAGTTAACGTTACAGACAAGGATGACAAGTGAGCCCTCCTCATCTACCCACCCGATTCCAGGCCTGACCAATTTAGAAAGAAGCCAATGTGCAAATGTGCAACATGTGTGTGCACGTGTATGTGTGTGCGTGTGTGCGCGTGCACATGTGCGTATGTGTATGTGTGTGCGTGCACATGCGTGTGTGCGCACGTGTGTATATATGTATATGCACGTGTGAGTGTGCGTGCGTGTGCGTGTGTATATGTGTATGTGTGCGTGCGCGTGTGTGTGCATGTGCGTGTGTCTATATGTGTATGTGTGCGTGCATGTGAATGTGTGCGTGCGTGTGTGCGAGTGCGTGTATGTATGTGTATGTGTGCGTGCAGGAGTGTGAGTGTGCGGGCGTGTGCGTGTATATGTGCATGTGTGCACGCGCTTGTGTGTGCATGTGTGCATGCATATGTGTGTGCATGTGCGTGTGTATATATGTGTATGTGTGTGTGCGTGTGTGTGCGAGTGCGTGTGTGTATGTGTATGTGTGCGTGCCGGAGTGTGAGTGTGCGTGCGTGTGTGTGCGTGCATGTGTGTATATGTGTATTGTGCGTGCAGGAGTGTGAGTGTGCGTGCATGTGTGTATATGTGTATGTGTGCGTGCAGGAGTGTGAGTGTGTGTGCGTGCGTGTGTGCTGGGGAAAAGGTTGGGCTCTATGTTCTTGGGAATGCCGTTCCTTCCCAGCAGAGGTTCTGAGAAGCTCAGCCTGCTACCATCACCGCCTTCCTAGCATAGATGACCCCAGAAGTAGAATCGATACTTCTGGACCCATTGGCTGAATTTACTGGTTTTCAAATTATCTTTTAAGCAAGAGGATTCTAAAAAGAAAAATAAATAAATAAATAAAAGAAACAAACAAAAAATAAAAAGAAAGAGGATCCTTTTTTCTAATTAAAAATGTATGTAGAATATTGATATATAAAGAAGATAAAAATGAATCTCGGCCAGGCATTGTGGCTCACGCCTATAATCCCAGCACTTTGGGAAGCCTAGGCGGGAGGATCACTGAGGTCAGGAGTTTAAGACCAGCCTGGCCAACACGGTGAAACCTCATCTCTACTAAAAATACAAAAATTAGCTGGGCATGATGGCAGGCGCTTGTAATCCCAGCTACTTGGGAGGCTGAGGCAGGAGAATCACTTGAACTCGGGAGGTGGAGGTTGCAGTGAGCAGAGATCGAACCATTGTACTCCAGCCTGGCGGACAAGAGCATGGCTGAGTCTTAAAAAAAAAATGGAGGCTCTCTCCAAAGAATGGAGGCTCATGCCTATAATCTTTGGGAGGCTGAGGCGGGTGGATCATGAGGTCAAGAGATCAGGACCATCCTGGTCAACAAGGTGAAAGCCCGTCTCTACTAAAAATATAAAACATTAGCTGGGCGTGGTGGTGCGTGCCTGTAATCCCAGCTACTCAGGAGGCTGAGGCAGGAGAATTGCCTGAACCCCGGAGGCGGAGGTTGCGGTGAGCTGAGATCATGCCATTTCACTCCAGTCTGGGTAACAACAGCGAAACTCCAACTAAAAAAAATTAATAAATAAAAAATAAAGAAAAATGGAGCTCGTTCAGTTGCCCCCTGATTTCTGTTGCTGCACTTCTAAGGAACGGCACTAGAAAAGTCTAGTCTGGTCTAGTGTTGGTCTGTGGTTCTCCTGCCCCCACTGAGTGAGAGCTCACCGTGTGAGTGGAGTGTGGGGAACCAGGACTTCCAGATTCCATGGGGAAAGTCTGTGCTCAGATTTGTCTCAACCCACAGATCGGCTTTGATCCTGGCCTGTGAGAAAGGCAGTGCCGAGGTGGCTGAACTGCTCCTGAGCCACGGGGCAGACGCGGGGGCCGTGGACAGCATGGGGCATGACGCTTTGCACTATGCTCTGCACACACAAGACAAGTCACTGTGGAGGCTGCTGCAGCAGGCCCTGAACCGGCGGCGGGGCGGTAAGGGCCCCTTTGTAACCTCCAGATTCTCCTTGATAGCCGTGGAATCCGAGAGATTTCTTAGAGTCCCATTTGTTTCCATGGAAGTTATCTATCTAATTGTCACCTGCATCAAGAGTTTACATATTTATTGCTGCTCCTGTGAGAGGGCCTCAAATCCCCATCCCGAAAGTATGATCGCAAAATTCTTTAATGCGGCCTGATCTCTCACTGAGGACAGCTCTGGCTAGTGTTGTTTCTAGCATTTACGAGTTATCATTGTACATCTACTTGTGTGATTTAGGTGACAGGCCATTTCCGTTTTGCTCACCACTGAAGTACCAGTGCTTATTAACGTGCCAGACACAGTGACCAATAAATAAATGAGGCTGGGCGTGGTGACTCATGCCTGTAATCCAAGCACTTTGGAGGCCAAGGTGGGCAGATCACCTGAGATCGGGAGTTCAAGTCCAGCCTGACCAACATGGTGAAACCCCATCTTTAAAACATAAAAATAAGCTGGGCATGGTGGCACGCACCTGTAATCCCAGCTACTCAGGAGGCTGAGGCAAGAGAATTGCTTGAACCTGGGAGACGGAGGTTGCAGTGAGCTGAGATCGTGCCATTGCACTCCATCCTGGGTGACAGAGTGAGACTCCATCTCAAAAGTAAATAAATAATAAATAAATGAGTGAACAAAATGAACGAGGTGGCCCATTTCTGGGACAGGAAAGCAAAGTTACTGGATAGTTAGGGATCCACTAAACAAGATTGGCTTGTGGCACCAGGAAGATATGTCATGCGATTGGTCACAGAAAGGCCACCCCTCTCAGAAAAAGTCTGAAGATAAGAATGTGGGCTAGAAGCACGTGGAACCTGTCTTCTCTCTCATTTTCCTCATATCTTTTCTTATAGGTCAGGGGCTAGTCCAGCACCCACATCTTGCATCCCAGGTAAGACCCTAAGTGCCTCTCACTTTTGCTTTTGACACACCCCAGGCTATCCCACTGTGACTATTCCCACCTCCAGGTGGCAAGACATTTAAGAGAAGAAAGGCACTCCTGGGGCTGCCTAGTGGCCACACTTTTTATTTACTATTCTGTTTTCTTTTTTCTTTATTTTTTTTTTTTTGAGATGGAGCGAGCTCCGTTGCCAGGCTGGAGTGCAGTGATGCGATCTCAGCTCACTGCAACCTCCACTTCAGGGGTTCAAGTGATTCTCCTGCCTCAGCCTCATCAGTAGCTGGGACTACAGGTGCACACCCCCACACTCAACTAATTTTTTGTATTTTTAGTAGAGACCGGGTATTACCATGTTGGCCAGGTTGGTCTCGATCTCTTGACCTCGTGATCCACCCACCTCGGCCTCCCAAAGTGCTGGGATTACAGGTGTAAGCCCCCGACCCCGGCCTTACTACTCTGTTTTCAACATAGGCCTCTCCACTGAAGCCCCAGGCAGGTTCTTCCTGTAAGACCCCATGGAGAGCAGAGCCTGAGGAGGAGCAAGAGGAAGAGGAGGATGAAGACCCGTGCTCAGAGGAGTGGAGGTGGAAGTTTGAAGAGGAGAAGAGGAAAGTTTCTCAGTTGGAGCAGGAGCTGGTGCAAAAGATAGAAGAGTGCAAGACTCAAGCTGCAGCCTATCTGGGCCTTGAGAACCAGATTCAAGAGCAGGCGCAGGAGCTAGGGCTCCTCCTGTCCCGGGAGCCCAGAGCTTCAGGAGGGCAAGGCTCTAGTCTCCGGCCTGGAGGTGATGGCATGGAGCAGGGTCATCCTCTGGACCTGCTGGCTGAGCGTATACAAGAGCTAAAGAAGCAACAGCAGGCAGCAGCCACAGTAAATTCAGTATTAGCTCCCAAGAAGGCTGAGGACTCAGCCCCAGGAGAGATCCAATACGAAGTCCATGGAAGGTCCCAACCAGAACAGGAGCTACCCCAGAGCTCAGGGTCTGAGACCATCAGGAAGGCCACAGGACAGCAATTGACTACAGGTGTGGGACAGACCCTTGGCCCTGATCATGCCGACCAGATGCCTGCTGGCCAGGAGAGGCCCCAGGTGCTAGGAGTTGAACCAGGAGACACAGTGGCTGAACCAGCGGGCCCAGCAGCCATGAACCAGCTTGTGCTACAGCTAAGGGAGGAGCTTGCTGCGGTGTGGCGAGAAAAGGATGCTGCCCGGGCAGCTTTATCGAGACCAGTCATGGAGGGAGCCCTGGGGACTTCCCGTGCTGAGGCCGCAGCAGCTGCCTGGGAGAAGATGGAGGCCCGACTAGAGCAAGTGCTGGCGAGGCTGGACCGGGCAAAGGCAGGACTGCAGGTGAAGCCTGAGATTCCTGCTCAGGAGTCCAGAGAGGGAGCACCAAAGGCAGCTGCAGGGAGCACCAAAAAGGGTGAAGAGGAGAAAAGCGTTCCTGGGGCTGGGGGAGAGCCTCTAGGGGCCCCTGGAAGGGAACAGGCCCTAGGAGGCCTGGCAAAGGGACAGCTGGAGAAGGAGGTGTCGGCACTGAGACTGAGCAACAGTAACTTACTGGAGGAGTTAGGGGAGTTGGAGCGGGAGCGGCAGAGGCTGCAGAGGGAGCTGCAGTCCCTGAACCAGCGGCTGCAGCGGGAGTTTGTGCCCAAGCCAGAGGCGCAGGACCAGCTGCAGCAGTTGCAGCAGAGTGTGGGGCTACTGACAGATGAACTGGCCGTGGAGAAGGAGGCCACAGAGGAGCTGCGGAGGCGCCTGGCCTCCCAGAGCAGCAGCCTCCGAGGGCTGTGGGACTGCCTGCCCGCAGACCTAGCGGGCAAGAGGAGCGCACGGAGCGAAGCAGCGGAGCCCCCGGAGGAGCTGCGGGCCTGCATCAGCACCCTGGCGGACCAGCACCGGGAGGCCCAGCAGGTGCTGGCCCGGCTGCGAGAGGAAAACCTGCAGTTGCGGGGGTCCCTGTCCCCACGTGGGGAACCAGGCACCTCCTTCAAGGTGGCGGCATCCCCGCAAGTGGCTGCTCTGGAGCAAGACCTGGGGAAGCTGGAGGAAGAGCTGCGGGCGGTTCAGGCCACGATGAGCGGGAAGAGCCAGGAGATCGGAAAGCTCAAGCAGCTGCTCTACCAAGCCACGGAGGAGGTGGCGGAGCTGCGGGCCCGGGAGGCGGCCAGCCTGCGGCAACACGAGAAAACGCGGGGCTCGCTGGTGGCCCAGGCCCAGGCTTGGGGCCGGGAGCTCAAGGCTCTGCTGGAAAAGTATAACGCGGCCTGCCGGGAAGTGGGTCGGCTGCGGGAGGCGGTGGCCGAGGAGCGGCGCCGCAGCGGGGACCTGGCAGCTCGGGCAGCGGAGCAAGAGCGCCAGGCCAGCGAGATGCGGGGGCGCTCGGAGCAGTTTGAGAAAACGGCGGAGCTGCTGAAGGAGAAGATGGAGCGTCTCACTGGGGCTTGCCGGGACAAGGAGGCCAAGGTGAGCAGCTGAGGTGGCCCTGGGAGCGCTAGGGAAAGTTTCGGTGTATTTGGGAGTTTGCGAACCTGAATCCAGAGACTTTTGTTGCTGCGGCGGGTCAGATTAGTACTCCAAACGAGCACCCGTGCTTTGCAGGGACCACGCTACTGTGTTCTCCTGGGTCTGAGGGGTTTGGGGTTGAGTTGGAGGTGAGGTAAGGCGTAAGTGGAAGAGAGAAGGGGGCTTAGGTAATGAAATTTGGCACCCAGATTCAGAAGCAGCGTGCTCAGGGCTGCCGCCAGTGCAGCACCATCGTTTGTTAGCATTTGGACTTAAATTGCGTATCAGCCAGTTGGGCGCGGTGGCTCACGCCTGTAATCCAAGCACTTTCGAGGCCAAGGCGGGTGAATCACCTGAGGTCGGGAGTTCAAGACCAGGCTGACCAACATGGTGAAACCCCGTCTCTAAAAAAAAAAAAAAAAAATTGCATCTTGGCCTAGGAAGAGGCCTAATAGCATGATGGGTGGCTGGTTTTATTGAGGTTCTGAGGAGGTGACTCAGGAACTAACGGGTTAAGAAAAGTAGACTCAGCGATAGCGGCTCTTCTCCCCTCCACTTCAGAGTGGGTTCTACAGAAAGATGTCCATTGGCAATGAGGGCACCAATGCGGGCACGGTGGCTCTAGCCTGTAATCCCAGCACTTTGGGAGGCCGAGGCGGGTGGATCATGAGGTCAAGAGATCAAGACCATCCTGGTCAACATGGTGAAACCCCGTCTCTACTAAAGATACAAAAAATTAGCTGGGCATGGTGGCGCATGCCTGTAATCCCAGCTACTCAGGAGGCTGAGGCAGGAGAATTGCCTGAACCCAGGAGGCGGAGGTTGTGGTGAGCCGAGATCGCGCCATTGCACTCCAGCCTGGGTAACAAGAGCGAAACTCCGTCTCAAAAAGAAAAAGAAGCTTGAGCCCGGGCGCCGTGGCTCACGCCTGTAATCCCAGCACTTTGGGAGGCCGAGACAGGCAGATCACAAGGTGAAGAGATCGAGACCAGCCTGGCCAACATGGTGGTGAAACCCCGTCTCTACTAAAAATACAAACATTAGCCGGGCATGGTGGTGGGTGCTTGTAATCCCAGCTACTCAGGAGGCTGAGGCAGGAGAATCGCTTGAACCTGGGAGGTGGAGGTTGCAGTGAGCTGAGATCGCACCATTGCACTGCAGCCTGGGCGACAGAGCGTGACTCTGTCTCAGAAAAACAAAAACAAAACAAAAAAACCCCACTATTACATACCAGAGTTTCCTAATGCTTACTCTAAACGTGAGTCTACATGTTTCTTTCTTTTTTTTTTTCTTTTCCTTTTTTCAGGCCCATGCTGGCTAAGAGTCTACATGTTTCTATAAGACATGTTTTATGAACTCTAAATATCAATTTACAAATGGATTTACTAGTTCTAGACTTACCTGTGAAATGAACGAGTTCAGACTTCTTATTAAAACTTGAATACATGATCAAATTTAGGAGGATCAAAAAATATAAAGTGGTGTGGCATGGTGGCTCACGCCTGCAATCTCAGCACTTTGGGGAGCCGAGGTGGGTGGATCACCTGAGGTCAGGAGTTCGAGACCAGACCGGCCAACATAGTGAAACCCCAACTCTACTAAAAGTACAACAATTAGCTGGGCATGGTGGCACGTGCCTGTAATCCCAGCTACCTGGGAGGCTGAAGCAGGAGAATTGCTGGAACCTGGGAGGTGGAGGTCGCAGTAAGTGGAGATTGCACCACTGCACTCCAGTCTGGGCAACAGAGCGAGACTCCTTCTCCTCAAAATAAAATATATATAAAGAATATATGTTTTCTATAGTATGGAGGACATTAAAGTAGAAGGAATGTTATCCAGAATAGGAATCAGTGCGGGTTGAGGTTAGTTAAAAAAGTATTTTTATATTGCAGTGAAGGAGAAGATGGAAGTAGACACTTGGGGAAAAGCAGATACAGTGTCATGGTTAAGAACGTGGTCTCTGGACAGAGGTTGTCTGATCTTGGGCAAGTTATTTTATTTATTTATTTATTTTTCTTGAGACGGAGTTTCACTGTTGTTACCCAGGCTGGAGTGCAATGGCGCAATCTCGGCTCACTGCAACCTCCGCCTCCTGGGTTCAGGCAATTCTCCTGCCTCAGTCTCCTGAGTAGCTGGGATTACAGGCGCGCGCCACCATGCCCAGCTGATTTTTTCATATTTTTAGTAGAAACGGGGTTTCACCTTGTTGACCAGGATGGTCTCGATCTCTTATCCTCGTGATCCACCCGCCTCAGGCCTCCCAAAGTGCTGGGATTACAGGCGTGAGCCACCATGCCTGGTTTAGGGCAAGTTATTCAACATCTCTAGTTCTCAGTTTTATCTATCAAACAAAGATAATAAAGTGGTTGGGAAGATTACATTAAATAAGAAATGATATTTATTTAAAAGATTGGGAACACTTGGCCCATGGTAGGTACTCAGTAAGACTAGCTATTGTTACTCCTGCTACCACTATTCCCATTACTGCTAGTTACCAATAACTGTGTTTGTGCCTCTGCCTCAATAAGTCGCAAGGCCTCATCTCCATGTCCCTTGGTGGTCAGCAGCCAGCATTAGGTTAGGGTCCAGTACTAAGGTAAGAGCATGCACCAAGGAGTCAAAGAGATTGTTTTTCAAATCATGATTTCATCACTTATCAGCTATGTGATTTTGACAAATTACTTAACTCAGTCTCTTTATGTACAAAATGCAGATAATAATACTTCCCTCAGGTGGAGCACGGTGGCTCATGCCTATAATCCCAGCACTTTGGAAGGCCAAGGTGGATGGATTGCTTGAGCCCAGGAGTTTGAGACCAGCCTGGGCAACATAGTGAAACCCCAACTATACAAAAAAACATAACAAAACAAAAAAATTAGCTGAGTGTGGTGGCCTGAGGTAGAGGTTGCAGTGAGCTGAGATTACATCACTACACTCCAGCCTGGGGGACAGAGTGACACCCTGCCTCCAAAAACAAAACTGCCAGGGTATGGTGGCTCACGCCTGTAATCCCAACACTTTGAGAAGCTGAGGTGAGCAGATCACCTGAGGTCAGGAGTTCGAGACCAGGCTGGCCAACATAGTGAAACCCCGCCTCTACTAAAAATACAAAAACTTAGCCAGGTGTGGTGGTGCATGCCTGTAATCCCAACTACCCGGGAGGCTGAGGCAGAAGAATGGCTTGAACTTGGGAGGTGGAGGTTGCAGTGAGCAGAGATGGCGTCGTTGCACTCTAGCCTGGGTGACAGCAAGACTCAGTCAAAACAAAACAAAACAAAAAACCAGGCTGGGCGCGGTGGTTCATGCCTGTAATCCTAGCACTGGGAGGCCAAGGTGGGTGGATCACCTGAGGTCAGGAGTTCAAGACCAGCCTGGCCATCAGGGTGAAACCCCATCTTTTAAAAAAAACCTTCCTTCAAAGAAGCATTGTTCTTCTCAGAAGAAAAGCTCTTTTCAATGTTAAATGAGACAATTTGTATAAACTTGGCACATATTAGATACTCAGTAAAAGGAAGCTGACGTTGACCCTGGGTGATGTTTATGGAGAAATGACTTGAGCCTCATTGGTTGCCTCTATGCTCTTGGCCTCAGATCAAGGAGTTGCTGAAGAAGCTGGAGCAGCTTTCAGAAGAGGTTCTAGCAATTCGGGGAGAAAATGCTCGCCTTGCCCTGCAGCTGCAGGTATGTTTTGGCCGTCAGGGAAATGGACGCTGCTGGAGAAGGTGGACGGTGGAAGTGATGTACGTGTGGGACACATTTTAGGAATTACAGAGGCCTGGCTAGGCAGTGATCCAGGATGGGCCAGTGGTGGGCTGAGGAGCCTACCTGGTCCTGCCAGCTACTTCGGTGTGTTGCTCCTCATGCTTGGGTGAGGGCAGACACGTGACTTCCTGTTGCTGTTCATTTTCAGGATTCCCAGAAGAACCATGAAGAGATCATCTCCACCTATAGGAGTCACCTACTGAACGCTGCTCGGGTGAGCAGGGTGGATTTGAGAGCGGTAGAGACAGAAAGCGGGGGGTAGGCTATTTCATTTAGGGCCCCTCTCCTTTCTCCAGGCTCCCTGTACATATTTGGCATTTCTCAGAAAGCTGCATCCAGTGCCAGGGCTCTGATCTCACTTGGTAGATCAAGAGGTGTCGAGTAGGAATGTGAAGAGAAGAGGCGTTTGCCCCTCCATTTCAATTCCCTGGCCCATTGTAAGGACTTTTTCTATCCCCTATACCCTTTCTCAGTTTCCTCCTGGAGCCACTTAGTCCTAAACAAGGAAAAAGAGGTGGGTGTCTTGCTCCCTTGTTAGGAAAAATAGACATCAGCTGAAGCAGGCAGATCACCTGAGGTCGGGAGTTCGAGGCCAGTCTGACCAATAGGGAGAAACCCTGTCTCTACTAAAAATACAAAATTAGCCAGGTGTGGCGGTGCATGTCTGTAATCCCAGCTGCTCAGGAGGCTGAGGCAGGAGATTCGCTTGAACCTGGGAGGCGGAGGTTAAGGTGAGCCAAGATTGTGCCATTGCACTCCAGCCTGGGCACCAAGAGTGAAACTCCATCTCAAAAAAATATATATATATACATCATTCTCTTCCTTGTGAAGATAGGGAAACAGCCATGAAGATGTTAAATACTGTAAGTGAAGGTACATAGTAAACAGCCTTCCACTGTACTGCAAACCCTCCCCCTCACCTCTCTCCATTTTCCCTTCTTCATCCCCTTTTCTTCCTTTCCTGCCGTCAACAGGGCTGCATGGAACAGAATGTGTACAATATCCTGCTGGGAATCCTTAGCATGCAAGAGGAGTGAGGCAGTCTCACCGTGAGCCCTCAGGGTTACACGATTCTCTGTTGTGAGTTGTGGGTTAATGGTGATGAGGGAAGGAGAAAAAGGGCTTGGGAAAGGAGGCGTATGGAATGAAATTAGTCCCTTTTGCCCCTGTGGTGGCTGACAGTGGGGAGCCTTTTGGGGAATCGGACATTTAGGTGGTTGAGAAGACAGAACATGGAGAATCACTGGGTGGGGTCAGGAGTCAGTGAGCAGGTGGAGTAAGGCGCTGACTTGTGAGATGGAGACGGGAAACAGGGGTTGGGTCTGGGGTGGGGAAATGCCAGGGAAAGATGGGTGATGGGAGGACAGTGGTACAAAGTTGTTCCTTAGGGCAGGACTCTACAAAATCCAGAATCTCTTCACTTTCATACCATTCATTCAAAGAGCAGTCATGCCCCAAACCTCTCCCCACCCCAATGCAGATAGTCCCCTTCCCCAGTCCAGATAGATGAGGATCCCTTTTAGCATGTTGACATGAGTGGGAGGAGACTGAGGATATGGAAGCTGTGCATTTCATCCTTGAATTTCTTCTTTCAGGGAATAAGAATGCCTGGTTGACAGAGGCTCCCTCAGGCTGTGGTGGTGGTGGTGGGGTGTTGGCCATTGGAGAGTGGTAAGGGCAGGGCTTCACCTGACATTACGGACCTCAGACCTGAGAACCTGGACCTTGGAATCAGCACGGATGAGACCAGAGGAGGTGTGGATGGAAACAGGCTCTATGGAAAATAAAGCATGAGGCAGGACGGGGCTGTGTCATTTTTTCCTTTCTAAAGGGGAGTGGGGAAAGGAATGTTTTTTATCCTTTTATTCTTTTGTTTTCCTGGAAAAAATATTAACAGTATGTCTTCTTCTTCTTCTTCTTTTTTTTTTTTTTTTGTCTTTATTCTTAAAAACATTTGTTTGCAAGTAGATTTTCTTTTTTTTTTTGAGGCAGAGTCTCGCTGTGTCGCCCAGGCTGGAGTGCAGTGGCGTGATCTCAGCTCACTTCAAACTCTACCTCCTGGGTTCAAGGGATTCTTGTGCCTCAGCCTCCCAAGTAGCTGGGATTACAGGCTTGTGTCACCACGCCCGGGTATACAAGCAGGTTTCATTTTTTATTTTACAAATAGACTTTATTTTTCAGAGCAGTTTTAGGTTCACAAGAAAATTAAGCAGAAGGTACAGAGATTTTTGTATATCCTCTGCCCCCACATAGGCACTGCCTCCCCCATTATAAACATCCCTCACCAGATGTGTTTGTTATAACTGAGGAGCCTACGTTAACACATTGTTATCATTCAGAGCTCATAGTTTACAAAAAGGTTCACTCTCAGCATTATATAGTCTGTTGGCTGGGACACATTTATATTGAAATGTATCCACCATTATGTTATCTTTTTTGTTTTTGTTTGTTTGAGGCAGGGTCTCACTCTGTTGCCCAGGCTGGAGTGCAGTGGTGTGATCATAGCTCACTGCAGCCTCAACTTCCTGGGCTCCAGTAGTCCTCCAACCTCAGCCTTCTAAGTAGCTGGGACTATGGGTGAGTACCACCATACCTGGCTGATTTTTTAAATTATTATTTATTTATTTATTTATTGAGACAGAGTTTCGCTCTTGTTACCCAGGCTGGAGTGCAATGGCACGATCTCGGCTCACTGCAACCTCTGCCTCCTGGGTTCAGGCAATTCTCCTGCCTCAGCCTCCTGAGTAGCTGGGACTACAGGCATGCACCACCATGCCCAACTAATTTTTTGTATTTTTAGTAGAGACGGGGTTTCACCATGTTGACCAGGATGGTCTCGATCTCTTGACCCCGTGATCCACCTGCCTCGGCCTCCCAAAGTGCTGGGATTATAGGCTTGAGCCACTGCACCCGACCTATTTTTATTTTTTAAGACGGGGTCTCACCATGTTGGTCAGGCTGGTCTTGAACTCCTGACCTGAACACCTGGCTGATTTTTCTGTATTTTTAATAGAGATCAACTTTTGCCATGTTGCCCAAGCTGGTCTCAAACTCCTGGGCTCAAGCGATTCACCCACCCTGACTTCCCAAAGTGCTGAGGATTATTACAGGCCTGAGCCACTGTGCCCAGCCATCTCTATATTATCATACCGAGTAGTTCCACTGCCCTAAGAATCCTCTGTGCTCTGTCTGCTCATCTCTCCATCCCTGCTAAACCCCAGCAACACCTGATCTTTTTCCTGTCTCCAGTTGAGCCTTTTCTAGAATGTCATATAGTTGGAATTACACAGTACGTATCCTTTTCAGATTGGTTTCTTTGACTTAGTAATGTACATTTAAATTTCCTCCATATCTTTTCATGGCTTGATAACCCACTTCTTTTTAGTACTGAATATTCCATTGTCTGGATGTGTCACAATTTATCCATTCACCTGCTGAAGGACATCTTGTTTCCAAGCTTTGACGATTTTCTTTTTTGAGACAGAATTTCACTCTATCATCCACGCTGGAGTGCAGTGGTGCAGTCTCAGCTCACTGCAACCTCCACCTCCTACGTTCATGCGATTCTCCTGCCTCAGCCTCCTAAGTAGCTGGGATTGCAAGTGTGTGTCACCCCATACCCAGCTAATTTTTTTGTATTTTTAATAGAGACAGAGTTTCACCACGTTGGCCAGGCTGGTCTCAAACTCCTGACCTCAGGTGATTTGCCCTCCTCAGCTCCCAAAGTGCTGGGATTACAGGCCTCAGCTACCACGACTGATTTTGGCGATTATCTCATTTTTGAATGAAATTCACAAATGGCCCTATAAATCAGCAACTTTTAAACTTTTTGATCCATAGTAAGAAATTTTAAAAATTGTTTTGAAACAGAGTCGAATTCTGTCACCCAGGCTGGAGTGCAGTAGCATGATCTCATCTTACTGCAACCCCTGCCTCCTGGGTTCAAGCTAGTCTCATGCCTCAGCCTCCTGAGTAGCTGGAATTACAGGCATGCACCACCATGCCCAGCTAATTTTTGTATTTTCTGAAGACAGAGGGTTTTGCCATGTTGGCCAGGCTGGTCTCAAACTCTTGGCCTCAAGTGATCCTCCTCCCGTGGCCTCCCAAAGTACTGGGATTACAGGTATGAACCACTGTACCCAGCCAAGAAATACATTTTATATCTTGTATATACATACCTCAAATCATACTTTACTATTTCTCTTCTTTTCTTTGCTAATATACTCCATCAAAATGCATGTCAAGACCCATGGTTTGAAAAATAGCCCTCAGTGAAAATGGGGTTTGACACACTTCCTCTTTCTCAAACCTGTCACAACTTTTTTCTCTACCTTGGGACTGCTGAATACATGTTTTTTTCTGAGATGGAGTCTCGCTGTGTAGTACAGGCTGGAGTGCAGTGGGGCAATCTGGGCTCACTGCAACCTCTGCCTCCCGAGTCCTGGTTCAAGCAATTCTTCTGCCTCAGTCTCCGGAGTAGCGGGGATTACAGGCATGCTCCACCATGGCCAGGTAATTTTTGTGTTTTGAGACGGAATCTCACTCTGTCACCCATGCTGGAGTGCAGTGGCATGATCTCAGCTCACTGCAGCCTCCATCTCCTGGGTTCAAGTGATTCTCCTGTCTCAGCCTCCTGAGTAGCTGGGACTACAGGAGCGTGCCACCATGCCCGGCTAATTTTTTGTATTTTTAGTAGAGATGGGATTTCACTGTGTTAGGCAAGATATATCTATATCTATATATCTATGTATCTATATCTATATATCTATATCTCTATCTATAGATAGATATGATATACACCTGGCTGAGACCTGGATTTTCTTCAAGATGTACTATCTAAAATATTCTATCAAGTGTTAAACAATGTGTCTGCCCGGGCGTGGTGGCGCACGCCTGTAATCCAAGCACTTTGGAGGCCAAGGCAGGCGGATCACCTGAGGTTAGGAGTTCAAGACCAGCCTGACCAACATGGTGAAACCCTGTCTTAAAAAAAAAAAAAAAAAAAAAATGTGTCTAGATTTGACACACACGCTCTCACTCTTTTTTGTCCCAGGTGACAAGAGGGTTGCAAAGACTGATTCCTGGGTAGAGGATGAAGGGACACCCAAGTTTCATTTTTGCCTGTGATTCCATTCTCACACTGAAAAATAAAGGGATCTCTCTTGGCCACTTGCCCTGGGGTCTCCTCCCCTTCCTGCCCTTCCACCAGCCAGAGTGCTAGGTGGAAATGAGGCAGCGAATTCCTCCAAAATCTGGAATTGCAGTTTGGTGGCCCGCAGGCCAATCCCTCCCCATTCCTTCTCAGTCCACCCTCTGCTGGGTTATGCTGGGTCAGACAGCAGCAGTTTTGGCAGTAAGTAAAGGGACTGGGTTGAGAGAAAAGAGTGGGGAGGGGGCTACATAAGGGCTGCAGAGCCCGGTTCCAGAGTTCTGTCAAGGGTGAAAAAGAGCATCTGAGATATGCAGATCAGATACTAGAGAAGGTGCTGGGCTGCTTTGGGGTTTGTGTGGATGGGCACGGGACTGCTTTAAGGCCAGGAAAATGGAGAAAGGAGGGATTGACCAAGAAAGGGTGAAGAGGCACAGCTATCAAAGACAGCCCATCAAATGGGTCTGAGTCGTCTCTATTGAGGGGAACAGAAACTCTCCTTGCCTTCCTGCTCTCAATTACCAACACATATTAAAGGATGATTACATTCCTTGTTATATATGAGGTGTAGGGTGGGAACTGCAGAGAGAAGGGTCCAGAAAAGGGGAGATCACTGGGCTAAGCTCAAGAATGAGTCAGGAAGCAGCTTTGGTAATGGAAGCCAGGCCTTTGGCTCCCTCCGGGGCTCCTGGAAACTGATCCAAGGATGGGCTGAGCTAAGGGAGTGGCGAGCGATGTTAATGTTAACACAGGAGTAGAACCTTCCTTAGCCCTGTTTTTTCTCAATCTCCCTCCCTAAAACTCCACAAACTATTACCCCAACAATCCCAAGTCTTCTAATTTTTCTTGAGTTCATAGATTTTTTTTCCCTCAAAGTAGCTCTAATCCTCATGTTCCCTTTATTCCTCCTAGACTCTCTAACAGGATGTCAGTAGGGACTTATTCCCACTTCAATTTCCCCCCATTCCCCAGGCTTCCGATGTGGGAGTATGTGGGTGAAAGTGGGTGAAATTTGGTGGGCCGTGATTGGGTTCAGACTATGTTGTGAATGCCTTCAATCTGGAACTTTGCTTCTGATTCAGTTTCCCTCCTTTGGTAAGATTGATTTATTAAACAGATATTTAAGGAGTCTACTATTTGTCAGGCACTGGGGATAGGGTAGGAGCAGCACAGAAAAGGTTCTTATCCTTTCAGAGCTTGTGCGCAGATAAGATTCAGGTGCCTTGGTTCCGTCATCCTGTAGGGATGCTAAAACTTACAACCTCAAATTAACTTTTTGCCAATTTATTTTTTCTTCTCTTTCAATAACTTTGGTAATCTCAAATTAATTTTTTTTTTTTTTTTTGAGATGGAGTCTTGCTCTGTCACCTAGGCTGGAGTGCAGTGGTGCGATCTTGGCTCACTGCAACCTCTGCCTCCTGGGTTCAAGGGATTCTTCCACCTCAGCCTCCCACGTAGCTGGGACTACAGTCATGCCCTAGCATGCCCAGCTAATTTTTGTGTTTTTAGTAGAGAGGGGCTCTCACCATTTTGACCAGGCTGGTCTTGAACTCCTGACCTCAAGTGATCCGCCCGCCTCGGGCTCCCAAAGTGTTGGGATTACAGGTGTGAGCCATCACACCTGACCTTTAAATTACCCTGTTTTTTTTTTCCTTTCGAGGTGGAGTTTCGCTCTTGTTGCCCAGGCGTAGTGCAACGGCGCTATCTCAGCTCACTGCCACCTCCACCTCCCAGGTTCAAGCGATTCTCCCGCCTCAGCCTCCCAAGTAGCTGGGATTACAAGTGTGCGCCACCACGCTCAGCTAATTTTGTATTTTTAGTAGAGATGGTGTTTCTCCATGTTGGTCAGGCTGGTCTCAAACTCCCAACCTCAGGTGATCTGCCTGCCTTGGCCCTCCAAAGTACTGGGATTATAGGCGTGAGCCAACTCGCCCAGCCCAAATTAACTTTTAAAGGAGATTCCTGCTTCATGAAATCACTAGAACTCAAGGTGGGGTTTTCTCTTAAATTTTTACAGATTTATTGATGTGCAATTGACATACATACGTCCATGTCTCTCCATGTAAAATGCATGTATGTGTATACAATTTGATGTGTTGTCATACATATAAACACCCACAAAACCAACACACAATCAAGATAATGAACATACCCATCACTTCTGAAAGATCCCCCCTTCATCGCTTTTTAAAATCCTCCCTACCTTCCTCACCCTGCAACTACTGAAAATGCTCAAAAATACAAACTATGGTAACTTTTGATCTGGAGGACTGAACAGAACAGCAGCAAAAAAGAGCCCAGGGCTAGATGAAGGCTCAGGTGTTGGAGGGGAGCAGCTGGAATTTAGACCTACTTGAGCCTACGTTTAGCCTGAAGCGCTCACCAATTTCAGTAGCAAAGCAGCAAGGAAAGAACCTGAGTGTTGGGAGAGGGTGGCATCTTCCCTAGGGACAAAAACCACAAGGTAGTTGGGCCTAGTTCCAGTTCAACAGGTGTCTGGGAATACTGGTGGGGTGGCACCTTCAATCTCTGGGCTGGGTGGGGTCTTAGGAGGAGGATTATACTGAAACCTTAAGCAAAGTAAAGGAATTCTTTCTATTCACTAAAGCACTTTTTTTGGTTTGCTGATTATAGGTTTTTGTTTGGCTTTGTTTTTTGAGACGGAGTCTCAATCGCCAGGCTGGAGTGCAGTGGCGCGTTCTCAGCTCACTGCAACCTCCCAATCCCTGGTTCAAGCGATTCTCCTGCCTCGGCCTCGGGAGTAACTGGGATTACAGGCACATGGCACCATGCCCAGCTAATTTTTGTATTTTTAGTAGCGATGGGGTTTCACCGTTTTGGTCAGGATGGTCTTGATCTTCTGACCTCGTGATTCGCCTGCCTCGGCCTCCCAAAGTGCTGGGATTACAGGTGTGAGCCATCTCGCCCCGCCCACTGACTGATTATAGGTTTAACTTGTCTTGTCTCTGCTGCTAGACTGTGAACTCCCGCAAGGCTTTTATGTCGTCAGCACTGATAAGCACCCACATATTTATTGAACAAATGCTGCCAACTATAAAATGCTGTGAGGTTTTCAGTATATAGTACTGGTTAAGTTGGTATTTTCATGGATCCAGAAACAGATTTTTTTTTTTTTTTTTTTTAAGATGGAGTTTTACTCTTGTTGCCCAGGCTGGAGTGCAATGGCCCGGTCTCAGCTCACTGCAACCTCTGCCCTCTGCCTCCTGGGTTCAAGGAATTCTCCTGCCTCAGCCTCCCAAGTAGTTGGGATTAAAGGCATGCACCACCACATCCAGCTAATTTCGTAGTTTTAGAAGAGATGGGATTTCCCCAGGTTGGTCAGGCTGGTCTCGAACTCCTGACCTCAGGTGATCCACCCGTCTCAGCCTCCCAAAGTGCTGGGATTACAGGCGTGAGCCACCGCGCCTGGCCCAGAAACACATTTAATCTGGGGCCTGCATATGAGTGATCAGCTTGGTTGGTTTGGGGCCTCTGGAGGGTCCAAGGCTTTGGAGGAAGGAGAGTGGGTAGGTAGTTCAGAGAGGGTCAGAAAGATCCCTTTCGTGGGTAAGTATTCACCTTCAGCTACACCAAGGGTATGGGGACTCTGGTGGAGGTATTGTGCATGTGTATCTGCAGTACTTACTGCTAGATACGCTTTGGATTCACTGGCCCAGGCTTTGCCCTAGGAAGGGACAGTTGTCTTTTGAAGGAAGACTGCTTTATACGGTCAGACACCTGGATCACACCGCCGTAACAGCAGCATCCCACCACCCCAATCCCATACATTAGCGTGAGGGGTCACAGAGGGAGTGAGAATGATGGGATCCAAGAATCTCTTTTCTCCAGATCCACTCACACCAGGAGTTAATCGCTCCAGAGCCAGGCTCTGAGTCCCTCCCTCTCTCACCCGAGCTCCGCCCCGCTCCCCTCTCCGCGGTCCTGGCGGGCTTCCCTTGGAGGGGGCGGCCCCAGCCCGAGTGCTAGGCCGGGCGGAGCTCCGGCCCGGGCGGAGCCGCGGCCGCTGCGTCCGGCTCCGGACCGAACTTCTGCCGAGCGGACAGCAGCAGCGGCGCGGAGCCCCTTGCCCCCACCTCTCCAGCCCGCCCTCTGAGCCTCCCGAGCCCTCTCTCCATTCCCCCCAGCTGTGCTGGTAAGTCCCGCTCCCCGCACCAAACTTTTCCGCTGCGGAGCTGAGGTCCTGCGATGGGACCGCGAGCTGCATTGTGGTTGGTGTGTGGGGGAGGAGGAGTGGGAACAACTGAGCGTGGCCGTCTTGAACCGAATGCCGACTCCACGGCTTCCCCACGACGGATCAGCGCTCGCTGACTTCCCGGGCTGGAAGAACTCTGGATCGTAGTTGCTTAAACTTTACGTAGAGCTGGAGACGAGGGTTTGCGCTCCAACTTCGCTGCCCCCTCCCCCATTTCTCTCAGGTCTAGCAGTTCCGGATACTTTCCCTCCATCTTTCAAGGATCTTTGGCTCCCTAAAAGCTCGTCCCCTCCCAACTCTGCTGTGGCAAAGCCACCCTCCACCGGGCACTTCGGGCCCGCCTCCTTCTCCGTTGCCTTCGGGGACCCCGCGATCTTCGGGGCCTTACGCTGCCTCGGAGGCCACCCGTCCTGCCAACCCGCCGCAGACGTGTAGCCGCTGGGTCCGCTGTGGAGGGAGGGGCTCAGGCTGGGGCTAGTCCGAAGCCCGGCGGGCGGGGCCGGGAAGGGGAGGTGTAGGGGGCCGGACGGGGCGGAGCAGGCGGCATTTGCGGCCGGCGCCGGGGTGGAGAGTTGTGCGCCGGTCCCTGGGCCTGAGCTCCGGCTCCGGCTGGGGCGCCTGCGATGTCTCAAGATGGCGGAGCTGGGCGAATTAAAGGTACCGGCCCCCTCCCCCACCCCCATCTGGCCTGAGCCCGGCGGTGCGCCGTGTCCGGGAAGCGACCGGGACTGGGTGCCGGGGCTCGGGTGGGCGCCGGCGACGTGGCAGGGGCGGGCGGCTGAGGATGGGAGAGAAGTGGCTGCGAGCGAGGAAGGGGCTGCGGCGGGCTCCGGGGGCGGGGCTGCGGGGCAGATGTAGGGGTGGGGCCGAGGGGAATTGCAGCTGCTGGGGGCTGAGGCGCAGGGGGCGGGGACGAGGGGCAGCAGGCGGATTTAGTAGCAGGGGCAGTTGTTGGGGTAGGGCCAGGGGGAAAAGCTGCTGTAGAGGCATCCGGGCGAGTCCATCGAGGCCGAGAGATGCGACAGCAGGGGGCAGATGCAAGGATGGGACCGTGGGGCAGATGTGGGGGGGGCTCCGAGGGAAAGGCAGCCGAGAGGATAGGGGCTTTGGGGGTGCTCTCGGGATCCGAGCTTTGGGAAATACCAGTAGGCGGCTGAGATGTAGGGGGCGGGGCTGTGCGGGCCGACACCGAGGGGTGGGGCAGAAGCATCCTGGAGGCGCGGAGGAAGGTGCTGCCTTAGTGAATCGCGGTGTTTGGGCGGCGGCAGAGGCACGTGAAACTGTGGGATAGAAAGGAGGGAAGTTACAGGGAAAGCTAATGGGGAAAAAAAGACAGGACCGAGGAGATAAGGATGGGGAGAAAGAGGAGCAAGTTTCTCATCACGTTCCACAAAAGGGGCCCAAGACAAAGCCTCCTATGAGAAGAATTGTGTAGGACCAGCATGCCCTGCCCACGACATGACCTCCTGGAGATTCACAGAAGGGAGTCCCCTAAGGAGAGCGCTCCCCTTCTGCCTCACAGAGTTTTGAGGATGACCACGTGTGAGGACATCTGATAAAACCTTAAACCACTGGCTTCATCCCCCTGCCTCCTGGCTTGCTTCTTCTGCCCTTTGCAATGAAGCTATGGTCCTGGGCAGGCTGGAGGTCTAGCCACTGGGCCCAGTTACCTTCAGAGAATTTGCGATTCTGTGCCCTGACTCAGAGGCTTTTTCTTCAGCCAGCCAGGGCCTCTGTTTAGAGCTCTGCCCTCTCCTCTTCCACTCCTACAGGGGGGCTGTAGGTTGTAGCGGGGTGTTACTTTCTCTATGTAGGAGAGAAGCGGGATAATGGTTCCTGACAGAGAGTTATCAGGCAGGATACCTGGACTCAGCGGTTTACTGTTAACAGCCCCCCACCCCCAGACCCAAGTTTTGGTCCTGTTTCCCTTCCAGAAAAATAGGACTAAGTCTCACAGAAGGGGCGGTTATATAAATGATTCCAAGAAAGGATCTGGGGGAGTTATGAGCATTGAACCCTGACCTGAAAATCCTGGCCACAAAAGCTTCAGAGGCTTGGGGGAAATAGCCTAGGCAAATTAAGGTGATTGGGGGGTGGGCTGAAGGGCACAATCCTCCAGCCACCTGGCCCCTTTCTTCCCCATGGGTGAGTCTGGCGTGAATTGTCTCCTCTCCCTGGTTCTCCCTGTCTCCTGTCCTCTTCCCAGGAGGCTGGGATGGGTTTGAGAGTCTGAGAAAGGGCAAGAGAGAAGATAAGCAGCTTAAAGGACAGTCCAGACTAGAGGCAGGGATGGTGGTGGGATGCTGCAGTGGACTCGGAGGTGTGCCTGAGGATGGCTTCTTGTCTGCATTCCCTGCCCCACTCTGGCTGCTTGCAGGCCTGGGAAGATAGTGTTGTTCAAGCTCTGGCGGGTGGTGATCTGCTGACCTTTGGGTTGCTAAAGTGGGGCTGAGATGTCCCTTTGGATAGGTCGACCACCTGGCAGTAATCCACTAGCTTAAAGCATCATCTTCCCCATCAGGGAAGGTGGAGGGAAAAAGGCACTGCCCAACTGGTAGCTCAGCCCATGTCTTGGCAGGACAGGCCTGTGCGAGGTAGGATTCTCAGGCTCCTGTGTTCTTCTCCACAGCACATGGTGATGAGTTTCCGGGTGTCTGAGCTCCAGGTGCTTCTTGGCTTTGCTGGCCGGAACAAGAGTGGACGGAAGCACGAGCTCCTGGCCAAGGCCCTGCACCTCCTGAAGTCCAGCTGTGCCCCTAGTGTCCAGATGAAGATCAAAGAGCTTTACCGACGTCGCTTTCCCCGGAAGGCCCTGGGGCCCTCTGATCTCTCCCTGCTCTCTTTGCCCCCTGGCACCTCTCCTGTAGGCTCCCCTGGCCCTCTAGCTCCCATTCCCCCAACCCTGTTGGCCCCTGGCACCCTGCTGGGCCCCAAGCGTGAGGTGGACATGCACCCCCCTCTGCCCCAGCCTGTGCACCCTGATGTCACCATGAAACCATTGCCCTTCTATGAGGTCTACGGGGAGCTCATCCGGCCCACCACCCTTGGTATGGCTCTTTGTGGTCCCTTAGTCTTCTGGACTCCATGGCTGTTCCCCAAACATTTCAGAGGCTTTAGTACTGTGGGATTGGCGGCATGGATGGGGGTGATTTCTGTGGCTGCCTGTGCATGGGCTTGGAATAACTGCCATTTTGTGTCCTCAGCATCCACTTCCAGCCAGCGGTTTGAGGAAGCACACTTTACCTTTGCCCTCACACCCCAGCAAGTGCAGCAGATTCTTACATCCAGGTACATTTCTTTCAGTCTTCCTGCCTCATCCCTGGAGGGTTACCCCTGGGCTCTCCTTTCTCACTTTCTGTCCTTCTGCCCTGCACTCTTCCCTGTCCATCCTCCTATTCCTACTTGTTTCTCGTTCTTTTGTATGTCTCTTCGCTGTCCCCTGGACATCTAACTTTCAGTCTCTCTGTCCATTCACCCCTGCTCTCTGGGGGCTCCATGCTGATATCTCTTCATCTCCTTCCCTGGTACAGAGAGGTTCTGCCAGGAGCCAAATGTGATTACACCATACAGGTGCAGCTAAGGTGAGTTCATCCTCTCTCCCTATGCTGGGTACCCACTGGGGGTAGGACTCAAGTGGGGGTATGACAGATACCCTATGAGATGTCCCTGCTCTGCCACTGGGACTCTTGTTGGATGCTGAGGGCTATAGACATCTATGACTGATTTTCTGGGGTTCCCTGTCTCTCTTCCACATTGAACTAAAGAAATCTGCTGGGCGTGTTGGCTCACGCCTGTAATCCCAGCACTTTGGGAGGCTGAAGCAGGTGGATCACCTGAGGTTAGGAGTTCAAGACTAGCCTGACCAACATGGAGAAACCCCGCCTCTACTAAAAATACAAAATTAGCCGGGTGTGGTGGTGCACACCTGTAATCCCAGCTACTCAGGAGGCTGAGGCAGGAGAATTGCTTGAACCTGGGGGGCGGAGGTTGTGGTGAGCCAAGATTGCACCATTGCACTTCAGCCTGGGCAACGAGAGCGAAACTCCCTCTCAGAAAAAAAAAACAAGGAAAGAAATTTCTTCCCAGTCTTTCTTACTTTTTCATCTCTCACCAGGTTCTGTCTCTGTGAGACCAGCTGCCCCCAGGAAGATTATTTCCCCCCGAACCTCTTTGTCAAGGTCAACGGGAAACTGTGCCCCCTGCCGGTAAATGCTTTCCCCTTCTCTGTCAGTAATCCTTCGCCGTTTCAGTTTATAAATATTAACTACAACACTATTCTGACAGAGAGACATGCCTAGCACAGTGCCTGGCATATGGTAGGTGCTCAGCTCACTGACTGAGTCAGTACCATCTCGAGAATATTAAGATAGGGCTGAACAAAGGTTCTGTGAGAACTCAGAGGAGGACATTAGTTTAACCCAGAGATTTAAGAAAGACTTTTTTTTTTTTTTGAGACGGAGTTGTTCTGTTTCCCAGACTGGAGTGCAGTGACACAATCTCGACTCACTGCAACCTCCGCCTCTCAGGTTCAGGCGATTCTCCTGCCTCAGCCTCCCGAGTAGCTGGGATTATAGGCATGTGCCACTATGCCCAGCTAATTTTTGTATTTTTAGTAGAGACGGGGTTTTACCATGTTGGCCAGGCTGGTGTCAATCTCCTGACCTCGTGATCCACCTGCCTTGACCTCCCAAAGTGCTGGGATTACAGGCGTGAGCCACCGCACCCTGCCAGAAAGACTTCTTTTTTTTGAGACAGAGTCTGACTCTGTCACCAGGCACCAGCAGGCTGGAGTGCAGTGGTGCGACCTCAGCTCACTGCAACCTCCATCACTGCAACCTCCGCCTTCCGGGTTCAAGCAGTTCTCCTGCTTCAGCCTCCGAGTAGCTGGGACTACAGGCGCATGCCACCACACCCAGCTAATTTTTTTGTGTTTTTAGTAGAGACGGGGTTTCACCATATTGGCCAGGATGGTTTCGATCTTTTGACCTCGTGATCCGCCCGCCTCGGCCTCCCAAAGTGTTGGGATTACAGGCGTGAGCCACCATGCCCGGCCCAGAAAGACTTCTTATGAGTTGTGACCCCAGAGCTAAGAGTTGGAAAAGGTGAGGCATCCCTATTCCTCCTCCTCAGGGCCTCAGTGAGTGGGTTTCTATTTTTTTTTTTTTTTTTTTTTTTTAGACGGAGTTTCACTGTTGTTACCCTGACTGGAGTGCAGTGGCACAATCTCAGCTCACCGCAACCTCCGCCTTCTGGGTTCAAGCAATTCTCCTGCCTCAGCCTCCCGAGTAGCTGGGACTACAGGCGCGCACCAGCATGCCCAGCTAATTTTTTTGTGTTTTTTAGTAGAGACGGGGTTTCACCTCATTGACCAGGATGGTCTCGATCTCTTGACCTGGTGATCCACCCGCCTTGGCCTCCCAAAGTGCTGGGATTACAGGCGTGAGCCACCGCGCCCGGCCTTCCTATTTTCTCAGTCAGTAAATAAGCTCTCCTTTCTCCCCAGGAGTGACCCCACTGACAGCCCTAGACAGTGCTCCAGTTTTCTGAGCTACTGTATGGGCCTCCATCCCCTTGCTCAGTCCCTCCAGTGAGTGAATAACCCGAGACAAGATATCTTTTGTTGATACAGCAGAGCTCCTTCCCACAGCCACCTCTCTCCTGACCAGTCCCTCCCTTCTCCAGGGTTACCTTCCCCCAACCAAGAATGGGGCTGAGCCCAAGAGGCCCAGCCGCCCCATCAACATCACACCCCTGGCTCGACTCTCAGCCACTGTTCCTAACACTGTTGTGGTCAATTGGTCATCTGAGTTCGGACGGGTGAGCACAGCTAAAGCAGGGTGCCTGGAAAAGCCTGCTGGGGGCAAGGGAACCATCCAGTGTCCTGGGTTGGGGAAGCATCTTCCTCTTTATGCATCTGTCTCTGGTCCTCATGGAACAAAGGTGGGCAGTGGTGGTATGAGAAGCGGAGGCTAATTGTCTTCCCCCTGCTTCCAAGTAGAATTACTCCTTGTCTGTGTACCTGGTGAGGCAGTTGACAGCAGGGACCCTTCTACAGAAACTCAGAGCAAAGGGTATCCGGAACCCAGATCACTCGAGGGCACTGAGTGAGTAATGTCTTAACCCCTCTTCCCCGCCTGAGCTGCGTCCGAGTCTCCCTGGCCCTCCAGCTTTCATAATTAAATCCACACCTCTTTTTATATACGCCTCATCAGGCTTCCAGGCTTTGTAGTAGAGGTTGGACCACTCCCAGGCAGTGAGTGACACTCTTGCATTTCCAGTGATATAGCTGCTTTGCACCTCACAGTCCCTAACTCCAGCCCTGCTAGAATATGGGCTCTCTGGACTGGAAAGAATCTTCAAGATCCTCTAATCTAACCCTCATATGATCCTTCAACTCCTCCAGGTCACCTCTTAACATAGCCTGAGTGTCACACAGCTATGTTTAAGCCTCTTCAGGGATGGGAAATCTCCCACACCCAGCCTTAATAATCCATGACCACTCCTGTGGGATGTCCCACTGGCCCTCAAAGACTCTTCACCTAGTAGCCTCTCAGCCCGAGCCATCTACTCCTGGCCCTACCAACTCCTGGGCTTCCTCCAGCCTTGTTGACCCCATGGCTCTGGCCTCACTTTTGTTTCAGTCAAGGAGAAATTGACTGCTGACCCTGACAGTGAGGTGGCCACTACGAGTCTCCGGGTGTCACTCATGTGCCCGGTGGGTAAAAGGGGAGAAGAGAACAGGGTGGGAAGGGAGTTGGGTTTAGCTTGTGGACTTTGATGAGGGTTCCTAGGGATACTGGAGTGAGGTTTTCTGGGATGAAGCCAGAGTGGGGCCTCTGACTAGAGAACTTGCCTCTCCTCAGCTAGGGAAGATGCGTCTGACTGTCCCTTGTCGTGCCCTCACCTGCGCCCACCTGCAGAGTTTCGATGCTGCCCTTTACCTACAGATGAATGAGAAGAAGCCAACATGGACATGTCCTGTGTGTGACAAGAAGGCTCCCTATGAATCTCTTATCATTGATGGGTAGGGCATTTTACTTACTCTTTCCTAAGACATTCACTAGGACCCCCTTTTCTTGGTTTTCTTTCTTTCTTCTTCGTGTGTGATTGAGTCTTGTTCGCTTGCCCAGGTTGGAGTGCAGTGGTGCGATCTTGGCTCATTGCAACCTCCACCTTCAGGGTTCAAGTAATTCTCTATCTCAGCCTCCTGAGTAGCTAGGACTATAGGTGCGCATCACCATGCCTGGCTAATTTTTTTTTTTTGTTTTTTTGAGACGGAGTTTCGCTCTTGTTACCCAGACTGGAGTGCAATGGCACGATCTCGGCTCACCACAACCTCTGCTTCCTGGATTCAAGCAATTCTCCTGCCTCAGCCTCCCGAGTAGCTGGGACTACAGGCGCACACCACCAGGCCCAGCTAATTTTTTTGTATTTTTAGTAGAGACAGGGTTTCACCATGTTGACCAGGATGGTCTCGATCTCTTGGCCTTTGGGATGGCCGCCTCCTCGGCCTCCCAAAGTGCTGGGATTATAGGCGTGAGCCACAGTGCCCGGCCCTTAATTTTTGTATTTTTAGTAGAGATGGGATTTCACCATGTTGGTCAGGCTGGTCTCATCAAATTCCTAACCTCTGATGATCCACCCACCTCAGCCTCCCAAAGTACTGGGATTACAGTGCCCAGCCTGTATTTCTTTTTTCTTTTGCCTGCCACCTCCTTCAGCGTTTTAGGACCCCTTTTTAATTTGTATGACTTACTTCCCTCACGTGAACCCCAGTTCTCACCTTAACTCCTTATCTCTCCCTTTTTCCAGTTCGTGTATGTGTGTATGTCCGTGTGTGTGGAGTAGGAGGGCAACATTAAGGACTTAGTATATATACAAGGCATCTTGCTGAGCACTGTGCAAGATCCTCTCAGTAACCCTATGGATCAGTGGCTCCTGCCTGTAATCCCAACACTGGAAGGCTGAGATGGGAAGATCATTTGAGGCTAGGAGTTTGAGACCAGCCTGGGCAACACAGTAAGACTCTCTGTGAAAACATTTAAAAAATTAGCCAGGCATGGTATAATAGCTCATGACTGTAGTCTTAGCTGCTCAGGAGACTGAGGCGGGAGGACGGCTTGAACTCAAGAGTGAGGCTGCAGTGAGCTATGATTGCATTACTACACCTCAGCCTGGGCAACAGAGTGAGACCCCGTCTCAAAAAAAGAAATAACCCTATGATTGGCTAGTGACACGCACCCAAGGGAAAAAAAAAAACCCGTGAAACAGGCAGTATCATTACAGAGGAGGAAACAGGCCTAGAGAGACCGAGTCTTGCTCAAGGTTAGATTGTTCAGTGGTAGAGTCAGTGTACTGAACTGTCACGGTACATCACCTATAACAACTACTGAGTTCCCACTGAGCCTTGCAGTAAGGTTCTTTGGAGGGCCTGGATGTTCTGATCTTTTGCTCTAGCTAGTCTTTTATTCTTTTTTATTTTATTTTTATCATTATTATTATTTATTATTATGACTTTTTTGAGACGGAGTTTTGCTCTTGTTACCCAGGCTGGAGTGCAATGGCGTGATCTCAGCTCACCGCAACCTCCGCCTCCTGGGTTCAGGCAATTCTCCTGCCTCAGCCTCCTGAGTAGCTGGGATTACAGGCACGCGCCACCATGCCCAGCTAATTTTTGTATTTTTAGTAGAGATGGGGTTTCACCATGTTGACCAGGATGGTGTTGAGCTCTTGACCTCGTGATCCACCCGCCTCGGCCTCCCAAAGTGCTGGGATTACAGGATTGAGCCACTGCGCCCGGCCTATTTTTATTTTTTATTTTTTGAGATGGAGTTTCGCTCTTGTTACCCAGGCTGGAGTGCAATGGCGCAATCTCAGCTCACTGCAACCTCCGCCTCCTGGGTTCAGGCAATTCTCCTGCCTCAGCCTCCTGAGTAGCTGGGATTATAGGCACGCGCCACCATGCCCAGCTAATTTTTTGTATTTTTAGTAGAGACGGGGTTTCACCATATTGGTCAGGCTGGTCTTGACCTCCCAACCTCAGGTGATCCACCCGCCTTGGCATCCAAAGTGCTGGGATTACAGGTGTGAGCCACCATGCCTGGCCTGCCCTAGCTAGTCGTAACCCCTTTTCAGAATCTACATTATGGTTTTTGTTCCCATCTCCTCTGCCCCAGGTTTTTTTTTTGGTTTTGTTTTTTGTTTTTTTTTGAGACAGGGTCTCATTCTGTTGCCCAGGCTGGAGTACAGTGGCGTGATCATAGCTTACTGCAGCCTTGACCTTCTGGCCTCAAGTGATCCTCTCACCTTGGCCTCCCAAAGTGCTAGGATTACAGGCATGAGCTGCCACACCTGGCCCCTAGTGCCTTTATTTATTTATTCTTACACAAATGTGTAGAAAGCCAAAGACCCAGTGCCTTCTGGAGATGGTTTATGGACTTCTGTCTCTCTGTTCCTTTTGTTCCTTGTACTACACGTTAGTACTCAGATTTCTTTTTGAGATAGAGTTTCACTTTCACCCAGGCTGGACTGCAATGGCACAATCTTGGCTCACTGTACCCTCCGCCTCCTGGGTTCAAGGGATGCTCTTGTTTTAGCCTTCCGAGTAGCTGGGATTACAGGCACGTGCCATCACACCTGGCTAATTTGTATTTTTAGTAGGGATGAGGTTTCACCATGTTGGCTAGGCTGGTTTTTAACTCCCAGCCTCAAGTGAATCACACCCCTCTACCTCCCAAAGTGCTGGGATCACAGGTGTGAGTCACTCGCCTGGCCTCAGATTGTATTGATTTTAAAACCTACTACTTAGTTTGTAAAACCCTTTTATATACCTTCTGTTATTTGATTCCAGCAACTGAGAGAGGTTCAGTAGGATGGATAGTGTCCTTATTTACAGATGAGGAAACTGAGGTACAGGAAGGTGAGTCATAGAACTCTCTGGCTACTGTTGCACTCATCTCCCAGCCCCATGAATTTTCATCTCTCTCCTCCCCCAGTTTATTTATGGAGATTCTTAGTTCCTGTTCAGATTGTGATGAGATCCAGTTCATGGAAGATGGATCCTGGTGCCCAATGAAACCCAAGAAGGAGGCATCTGAGGTTTGCCCCCCGCCAGGGTATGGGCTGGATGGTGAGTGAACCCCTGTTCCCCAGCTGAGCTAAATCTTGGCTGGCCTCTTCTCTGAGACATAGTCTTCTTACTACCCACAGGCCTGCAGTACAGCCCAGTCCAGGAGGGAAATCCATCAGAGAATAAGAAAAAGGTTGAAGTTATTGACTTGACAGTAGAAAGCTCATCAGATGAGGAGGATCTGCCCCCAACCAAGAAGCACTGTTCTGTCACCTCAGCTGTCATCCCAGCCCTACCTGGAAGCAAAGGGTAGGAGAAAATTGGTTGAATCTACAGCAAAAGGGACAGGGGAAGAAGTCAGAAATGCTTTCTGAGCATTGAACCCTGGAGCAGGGGACATATGGAGGGGACAGAGGGAACCTGGGGACCTGAGCTGGGTGAGGGCCTCTGTGGATTGCTGGCTGCCTCAGCTCCTTTCTACCCACAGAGTCCTGACGCCTGGCCACCAGCCATCCTCGGTGCTAAGGAGCCCTGCCATGGGCACGTTGGGTGGGGATTTCCTGTCCAGTCTCCCACTACATGAGTACCCACCTGCCTTCCCACTGGGAGCCGAAATCCAAGGTATGACATGGATCATCAGATGGGCCCCGCACTGCCACACCCTCTCCAGAGCCGCATCAGAGCCTCCTGCTTCTCCTGCAGGGGGCCGCAATCCAAGTGCTTTGTCTCTTGGGGGTCAAGGGGTCAGGTAGGAGGTTGATGATGATTTTTCTTTTCCTGCCAGGTTTAGATTTATTTTCATTTCTTCAGACAGAGAGTCAGGTAAGTGTTCTTTCTTCAGAAGGTCTCAGATCTCTGAAGCTTCCTTTCTGGGTGCTGATGGGACCCTTGTATCTCTGAGGATCTCTGGGGATGTAAATCTGCTTTTCTATGAGGAAAGTGGGGTGTTGGTAGCCTGCTTCCCTCCTCAGCCCCACTGGTAGTTCCTGGGATTCCTGCGTAGGCCTTCCCAGATCCCGTTACTCTCCTGCCGGGCCTGCTCGCCCCCACCCGCCCCGTGTGCACTTGCAGCACCACGCCTGCCCCAACCGGACATTCAGACATTTCAGACACCCACGAAGCCAAGAACCTAGCAAGCTGGAGGAGCTCTCTCAAGGCAGGGAAAGGGGTAGGGTGTGGGGAAGTAGGAGTAAGAGGGAGAGGTTCTCCTGCTTCTCAGAGAATACCCTGGGAACCACAGGGGCTGATGGCTCCCATATGGCATTTCTGAGTGATTGGGAGGTGGGGAAGTCAGGATGAGATCTTAAACTACGCCCTTGATTCGTCCTAGCACTACGGCCCCTCCGTCATCACCTCACTAGATGAACAGGATGCCCTTGGCCACTTCTTCCAGTACCGAGGGACCCCTGCTCACTTTCTGGGCCCACTGGCCCCCACGTTGGGGAGCTCCCACTGCAGCGCCACTCCGGCACCCCCTCCTGGCCGTGTCAGCAGCATTGTGGCCCCTGGGGGGGCCTTGAGGGAGGGGCATGGAGGACCCCTGCCTTCAGGTCCCTCTTTGACTGGCTGTCGGTCAGACATCATTTCCCTGGACTGAGTACCTTGGATTATGGAAACTTCACTTTCCGCCAACACTGAGCAGGTATGCTGTGGAGTCCCAAGCCCGGCTACTCTGATCCCTCTGGGGGCTCTGGCCAGGGGCCAGACAGACCTTCACAGATGCCTACTTTGGCCTCATCTCTGCCTGATGAGGCGAGCACCCAAAGGGTTAATATTTAACCTCTTTTTAAGGACACTGGGGTCTGTTTTGGAAATGTTCTTTAGATGGTGGCCATTCCTCTGGGTATGTTAACCTAGGCAGTGGGAGGCAAATGGGATGGGATGTGAGCTGGGAGAAGGCCTGAACCCCCAGCCTTGACTGTGTCTGGAGCCTTCTGGGGAAGGGGCACCTCTCTTGAACCCCAAATGCCCTCTCTTCTTACCCCCAAGCCCATGGCTCTATTCCTTCCTCATGTCCATTGTCTCTTCATGTCCATGCCATTCCCTTCGGCCACAGACAGGTGGAAACACTGAGACAGGCAGTTTCAGAGATGGACAGAGAACTTTATTTTGGATTGTGGATGTGGATTTTTTTGTATTTAAATAAGAAAAACCAAAATACTCCAAAGATGACTTCCCCTGCCTCCTGCTTCCAGTATGACTGAGGAGGATGTAAGGCCTTAGCCATGATCCCCAGGGGTTTGGGAGTAGGGCCTGGCCTGTCGCCTGGGTCTCTCTCTATTTATATATTTAAGTTCACAGTGTTTCTTACGCCAGCCTGAGCTAGAGGCCCCTGGCCCTGTGGTTAGGCCCAGCTCATTCTGCACCTTTCCAGGGAGGTGGGAGGACACGGTGCCCTCCTTCCCACTCTTTTTCAGGCTCATCTAAGGCCTAAGACCTATGTTGTAATTTTACTTTTTATTCCCAAAGTTGTAGTGAAGCTCTCACCATAATAAAGGTTGTGAATGTTCTGTGAGTGTCACGGAGATGGGCGAGGGAGGGGATTTTACACTTCCCTTTCCAGATCCCCGGTTTGGGGGAAGAAGGTCCATGTTCCATTCTTCCTTTGCTGACCCTGGGTCCAGGTGAGCTCCACTTTCATGTGGTGGGGGTGTTTCAAGGATGAATTCCTAGAGAGGTTGTCCTTTCTCCCTTCCTCTCCCCCATGCCTGTAAAATCTAGACCATTCTACCCAGTACCGTGGAGCTCTCCAGTCCTTTTTCACTTTTGCCTGCCCAGATGTTGCAGCCAGAGCCCAAGGGCAAACCTGGTTCCAGTGCTAACCCTCTCCTTGTCCTCTGCCATGGTTGGGATCATCCGCAGCAGGGTGGACATGGGCAGAACCAGAGGCTGGGCGCTTCCATCCTTCTCTACTTCCACAGCACTGCATAGTGAAAACTCCTGTGAGGACCGTGCCTTGCAGCTCACAAAGAACTTCCATATTGGTTAGGTCCTCAGATCCTCCCAGCCACCACAGGGGGTGGGTGGGTGCTGACCTCATTTGCAGAAAGGAAACAGGATCAAGGGGGGTTAAATGACTTGCCCCTGTGTTAGAACTCAAGCTTAGACCTTCAGTGCTAGCCAGTTAGAGCAAGGGTCCTTGGGGTTTGATGGTCAGGGTCTTTGATTTCATGTGCCTTCTAAATTATCAGCTGACCCACTCTCCTTAAATCTCCCCCACACCACAAAATTCCATCCTGAGGAGAGGATGGATGCTGAACTTCTCAATGTGAATATGTTGGTGTATTAGCCCATGAGGGAGAAGCTCTTACTTACAGGACAGAGGGTGGTAGGTCCTCTGGGAGAAGTCTGGGTGTCTCTGTCCCATCCTCTGTGGCAGCCACTGCAGCAGCTACATCTGGCGTCAGCCACGTAAGGGCACTCACCTCACTTGGATTTGGTTGGATCCGGGCCTGGGGTCAGGTATGTTGACCCCTCAGTCATGGCCTCTCCCTGGGAGGCCTGTTTGTGATCAGAACCTACCCACAGGTGGCATGGAGAAAGGCAGGGGCAAGGGGAAAGGTACTTCATTATCTCTGACCACCGCCCGCCCAGCTGCCAATCACTGTCAGAACCAGGTTGCTTGGGCTCCTCTGAGCCCTGTTTCCTTCCCTCATTGCCAGCCCTACCTGCAGCTGCTGCTCTGACTCCTGGGAGATCACGAGTAGATACAGAACAATGTGATGGTATTTGGGTAAACCCCAGCTCAGCCTAGGAGGGTAGGCAGACTAGGAAAAGAAAACAGCAAAAGTGAGAACTTTCTGTCACTTTTTTTTTTTTTTTTTTGAGATGGAGTTTCGCTCTTGTTGCCCAGGCTGGAGTGCAATGGCGCAATCTCAGCTCACTGCAACCTCCACCTCCTGGGTTCAAGCTATTCTTCAGCCTCAGCCTCCCAAGTAGCTTGGATTACAGGCATGCACCATCATGCCTGGCTAATTTTTGTATTTTTAGTAGAGATGGGGTTTTGACATGTTGGCCAGACTGGTCTCGAACTTCTGACCTCAGGTGATCTGCCCAACTAGGTCTCCCAAAGTGCTGGGACTACAGGTGTGAGCCACCATGCCCAGCACTGTCTGTCACGTTTTGAGACTTTGCTAATACAGCTTTAGGGTGAAACAAAATGATGGCTAAAAGCTGAAGGCATGGATGGTACAGATGACACAGCAGGGACACGGTTGATGGTTATGCATTTGGGGACTCCAACCCACTTATGTGCCATTGTTTCCTTTGTAGCCAAGGCAGGTAGAGGCTGATCAATGGACTTTGGTGGGTAGCTGTTGGGGTCTCTTGGTTAACTATGAAGGGGCTTCTCCCAGCTCCTTGTCTCACCTCCCATAACCCCAAAGGGACCCAAGAGAACTGGCCCTGGGGCAGATGTAGTCCACTCTCCTCCCAAAGTTCTCGAAGGCCTCCATCCAGCAGCTGGGAGTCAGAGAGAACACATCAGAGTGGTTAGTGCCTGACTCTTCCGGGTCCTTTTGCTTGCCCCTCGCTCAGCCCACACCCAAGGTGGTCCCAGGCATTGGTCTTTTGGCTCAGGTCGGATCAGCTGGCTGGTTACCTCTTCCTCAGGTTCCACCTGCCCACCTGCAACAACAGTGAGACCAATAGGTAAAAATGGTGGCGGTCTTGACCAGGGACCCCACTGCTTACACTCCTCTCCCCTCCAGTGGACGCAGATGGAGTTGCAGTCACTGTGACTATGAACATGCCACATTTTGGGGCCCACTTCATCCTTGAGGCTGGGTAAAGCATTGTGGGGAAAAAGGGCAAGTTTCTTTCTTGTACGTGGGGCCTTGGCCTCAGAATACTCACCGGGGGGTACCCAGAGGTTGGGGGAAACGCTGAGGGTGCGTGCCCTTCTGGTCAGCAAGACAGTCTGGTCACTGGATTGCAGAATGACGGCCACACCCAGGTCTACACCTCGATCCGTGGGCAGCTTGGCCCCAGGGTCCCTGAGCTGCTGGTCCAGGACCGCAAAAGGGCAGAAAGGGGGTCGCTGGTGGAAGGAAACCAGCTGGGTTAAGGCTTCAGAAGTGGGGTTGGGAGTGGGCGTGCGTGACTTTCAAAAAGGGGGCTACACCACGCATTGGGGGTGTCCCACCCGATTTCAGTCCCCATTCTCGGCCCTTCATGCCCCCTCCTGAGCCCCCCCCTTCTGCCGACCTGGAGCGGAAGCCTAGCGGAGGCGCCCGGGAAGGGCCTGCTCGAGAGGACGAGCCGTCCTCGCTTCAAGCTGCAGTGAATGGGCCACGGCCCGAGCCCTGGCCTGGCTCCCAGGAGGCCACACACACTCCGTGCGAAGCTCGCCGACTCCGGACGCCCGGACAGGAGCAAATGCACCCGCGCCGCGGCCATAACGCGACTCCGGGGTCGCGGCGGCCCGCCTGGCGCCCTCTGGTGGCCCAGCGACGCTTCCCCTCCGAGCGTTTCGCGGAGTCGGAAGGAAGCGGGGTTTCCGAAAGTCCCCGGGAAATAGAGTCCCCAGGAAATACAGGCACAACTTTTGGGGATGACCCATGGGTATAATGTTAAACCACAGAGTACCTCTAAATGCTCAGCTGTTTCCTTCCTATCTTCTGTTCAGGACAATGACCCCCAGACCGAATGACTTCGGGACTGTCGTTACTTCCACCAGCCCTCAGCTGAACTGTAAGCACCCTCCGCAGCACTATGCACACCTGTTACAGCAGGCATCACCTCGAATGAATTATCTCCAAGAGAAACACGCCAAATAACATTCTTGATGCCACCTCTCCTTTCATTTCACTCAAATGGCAACCAAGTGCGCACGTTATCTCCTCCAACTCCCTCAAACCTATGTTCTCTCCAGCCTTCATTCATTGCCCTGGCTTAAGCCTTCCTCATATTTTGCCTGAAATATTGTTGCAAGTCTCCAAATAGTCCTCCCCCTACCAGTTCATTCTCTGCAGTGCTGCCAGAGTGATATTTTGTCTCGTTTTGAGGTAAAGTCTCGCTCTGTCATCCAGGCTGGAGTGCATGGGCGTGATCCCGGCTCACTGCAACGTTCACCTCCGGGTTGAAGCGATTCTTGTGCTTTAGACTTCCAGGTAGCTGAGATTACAGGCGTGCACCACCAGGCCCGGCTAATTTTTTTGTGTTTTTAGTAGAGGCAGGGTTTTGCCATGTTGGCCAGGCTGGTCTCGAATTTCTGACCTCAGGTGATCCACCCACTTTGTCCTCCCAAAGTACTAGGATTCCAGGCATGAACCACCGCACCTGACCACAGTCATGTTTCTAAAACACTGAACTGATTATATTGCTTCCCACTGCTTTTAGGACAAACTGTTTAGCACAGTGTGGCCAGAACCCACCAGTTCCTTGTCCCTTCCTATCTCTAGCCTCAATTCTGACAGACCCATCCATGACCTACTTTCTAATGCCCTGTATGTAGTTTCCCCAAGAAACAGACTGCTCTGGGATTCTTTCCTCATTTCCCTGGAAAGTCCTAATTTAAAAAAAATGGTATTTTTAAATTAATACATAACAGATGTACATGTGAGAATTTGATACATTCCTATAATCAAACCAGGATAATTCAGATATCACCTTAAATCTTTATGCTACGGACATTCAATTTTTTTGTTTTATTTATTTTTGAGACTGAATTTCGCTCGTTGCCCAGGCTGGAGTACAGTGGCGTGATCTTAGCTCACTGCAACCTCTGCCTTCCAGGTTCAAGCAATTTTCCCGCTTAAGCCTCCCAAGTAGCTGGGATTACAGGTGCCAACCATCATGCCTGGCTAACTTTTTGTATTTTTAGTAGAGATGGGCTTTCGTCATGTTGGCCAGACTGGTCTTGAATTCCTGACCTCACTCAGGTAATCCTCCTGCCTTGGCCTCCTAAAGTGTTGGGATTACAGGCTTGAGCCACCACGCCTGGCCTAAAGTTTTATTTTTATTTTTCAGATAAAGTCTTGCTCTGTTGCCCAGATTGGAGTGCAGTGGCATGATCTCGGCTCACTGCAACTTCTGACTCCTGGGTTCAAGCAATTCTCCTGCCTCAGCCTCCCAAGTAGCTGGGACTATAGGCGAGCACCACCACGCCCAGCTAATTTTTGTATTTTTAGTAGAGACGGGGTTTCACCATGTTTGTCAGGCTTGTCTTGAACTCCTGACCTTGTGATCCACCCACCTTGGCCTCCCAAAGTGTTGCGAGTACAGGCGTGAGCCACTACACCTGGCCTATTTTTAATTACATATATCTTAGAGACAGAGTCTTGCTCTGTGGTCCAGACTGAAGTGCAGTGGTGTGGTGATAGATCACTGCAGCCTCAAACTCCTAGGCTCAAGAGATGCTCCTGCCTCAGCCTCCTGAGTAGCTAGAATTACAGGCGTGCCCTACTGCACCAGCTAATTTTTAAATTTTTTGTAAAGATTAAATCTCGCTATGTTGCCCATGCTGTTCCTGAACTCCTGGCTCCAACTAATCTTCCCACCTTGGCCTCCCAACATGTTGGGATTGTCAGATTGACCCACTGTCCAAATTATTCTCTTCTAGTTATTTTGAAATGTACAGGAAATTAATAACGATGCCACTCTGCTGCTCTATCCAATTATCAGATCTTATCTCTTCCAACTGTGTATTTGTGCCCATTATTCACCTCTCTTCATTCTCCCCATCCTTCCTAGCCTCTAGTAACTACCAATCTACTATTTTCTTTTTCCTTTGTTTTTTTTTTTTTTTTTTTTGAGACAGAGTCTCACTCTGTAGCTCAGGCTGGGTACAGTGGCGTGATCTTGGCTCACTGCAACCTCTGCCTCCTGCCTTAGCCTCGTCAGTAGCCGGGATTATAGACATGTGCCACCATGCCCAGCTAATTTTTTTCTTTTTGGTATTTTTAGTAGAGACAGGTTCACCATGTTGGCCAGGCTGGCATTGAACTCCTGACCTTGTGATCCACCCGCCTCGGCCTCCCAAAGTGCTGGGATTACAGGTATGAGCCACCATGCCCAGCTCTACTCCCTGTTTTCTTGAGATCCACTTTAGCTCCAACGTCAGAGAACATGCAATATTTGTTTCTGTACTTGGCTTATTTTACTTAATGACCTCCAGTTCCATCCATGTCGCTGCCAATGACAGGAATTCTTTCTAATGGCTGAATAATACATACATTTTCTTTAGCCTTTCATCTATTGATGAGCACTTAGTCAACTGATTCCACGTTTTGGCTACTGTGAAGTACTGTAGTAAACAAGGGAGTGCAGGTCTCTTTCTCATATATTGATTTTTCTTTTCTCTCTCTCTCTCTATATATCCAGTAGTGGAGTTGGAGCATACAGTTCTATTTTTAATCTTTTTGAGGAACCTCTGTAGTCTTCCATAATGGCTGTACTAATTTGCATTCCCAAGAATGTATGAGGGCTCTCCTTCTTCCGCATCCTCACTAGCATTCATTATTCTTTCTTCTTGATAAAAGTCATTAATTGGGGTGAAATGACATCTCATTGTGGTTTTGATTTCCATTTCTCTGATTAGTGATGTTCAACAATTTTTCATATACCTGTTGGCCATTTGTCTTTGAAAATACCTATTCAGATCTTTTGGCCATTTTGCCAGGCTGGAGTGCAATGGCGTGATCTCAGCTCACTGTAACCTCCGCCTCCCGGGTTCAAGCAATTCTCCTACCTCCGCCTCCTGAATAGCTGGGACTACAGGCGCATGCTACCATGCCCAGCTAATTTTTGTATTTTTAGTAGAGATGGGGTTTCACCATGTTGGCCAGGATGGCCTCGATCTCTTGACCTCTTCTGGCCATTTTTAAGTTTGATTGTACTTTTTGCTACTGCTTGAGCTCCTTGTATGTTCTGGTTATTAATTCCTTGTTAGTTTGCAAATAAAACATCTTCATCTTTCAAACTACACATTGCCACTTTGTTCCCTTTCCTGCCTGACCCTTTTCCCTTTCTGGTCTCTCTGTACATAGGATTTACTCTTCTGTAGCACCCCAATACTTCCTGGTATTTGTCTCCTCCTGCTAGACTGTGTGCTCGAGATTTATTCATCTTTGTATTCCCAAGGCTTAGCCCAGTGCTTGGCACAAAACAGGTGCTCAGTAAATGATGGTGACTGGCTTGAGGGCAGAGATGGTGTCTCATCTATCTTTGTATGTTACGATTAGTATGGTGGCTGGCAATTATTTGGCACTCAAGTGTTTAAAGAATTAGAAAACACATTGGTGAGAGAAAACTGAAGGTATTATAAAACATCCGACTGCTTTAAGTGAATTAAAGCTGCTGGGACAGATGATATCCATGATACTGACAGAGAATTTAGTGTTGTCACAGAAGAGGAAGACACTAATTTACTGTGTGCTTTACATATGCCAGGTACTGGGCTGTTCTACGCACATAGTTTCAGACGTCTTAGAAGCCTAGTGCTGACAAAATGTGGCTTCAGTCCACAGATTCTAGCATGACTGCTTGGGCCAATCCACCTGCTAACTCTGAAAACATTTTCCTCTACTCTGTGATAGTCTTTCACATTCCCTACACAGTATGTATGTGTGCATGTGTGTGTGAAAAATTACAGCTCATCAGCCTGGGCAACACAGGGAGACCCTGTCTCTACAAAAAAATTAAAAAATAAAAAGTTAGCCAGGTACGTGTGGTGCATACCTGAAATCCCAGCTATTCCAGAGGCTGAGGTGGGAGGATTGCTTGAGCCCAGGGTCAAGGCTGCAGGGAGCCAGTGATTGCACTATTACACCTCAGCCTGGGTGACAGAACGAGATACTGTCTCAACAACAACATATATATATATGTATATATAGTTCTCAACAAAATAAAAGGCCTAGACATTTGAAAATAAAATTAACTTCAGAAGTTTCCTACTGCCAGGGATGTTCAAACATACGTGTGGGTAACTTCTTTATGGGAACGGATGCATCTGATAGATGACTAATCCTGTGGATTTAAGGTTCTTCCCACTGCCAAGATTTGATGAGGGGACAATATAGTGATGGATCTAAGTATGTCAAATTCTTTCAGGTGTATCCTGGGCTGTAGGGATAGAGAGGCGGTTTTAGTTCAAGAATCTGCAACTTATGCTTTCTTAACTTGGTAAGATTAAAGAAAAAAAGAATCTGCAACTTATCCTACTGCAAACAATGCATCCAGGCACCTCCTTTATTTTGCTTTCCATGCCCCCCCCCCCCCGTCTTTTGAGGAAGATCTTCTGGGTCACAGTCTCTTCATGGTGCACTCAATGTAAGACTCCAGCAGGAAGATAGTTTCGTCCACCTGGATCTCACTGGCATCCAACCTGAGTGAAAACGTAAAAGCATTTGCCTAGACTGAATGTTCAATAGCATATTTAGGCTTAGAGGCTGGGTGGATGTGATCATGGAGAACTGCTTGGTTACCCCGGAGAGTGGATGGAAAGAAAGCAGGAGAACCAGTTGATCGTTTTGCCATTTACCGAATATCTTTTATGTGCCAGACACAATGGAAACTGCTGAGAATGTAAAATACAGAGCCTCCGTCCTGGGGGAAGGTAGTCTTAACTTGCAATCAGGAAAGCCAATGTAAAGGCACAGGTATAAAAGGACCTAGTGTGTTTTAAACTAGCAAGAAGCTAAGAGTGTCTGAAGCTTGAAGTCAGTGGTGATTAGGAAGAAATGGAAGCTTCTTCAGCCAGATAAAAGCCATCTAGGAAAAACCCACAGCTAACACCATACTTAATGGTGAAAGACTAAAAGCTTTTCCCTTAAGATCAGAAACAATGCAAAGATGCCTGCTCTTGTACTTCCATTCAACCTTTTACTGGAGGTTCTAGCCAGGGCAATGAGGCAAGAAAAAAAAGGAAAAGGCATATAGATTGAAAAGGTAGAAGTAAAACTACCTCTATTCACAGATGACATAATTCTATTATAAAAAATCTCACTGGGCGCGGTGGCTCACGCCTGTAATCCCAGCACTTTGGGAGGCTGAGGCGGGTGGATCACGAGGTCAAGAGATCGAGACCATCCTGGTCAACATGGTGAAACCCCGTCTCTACTAAAAATACAAAAAATTAGCTGGGCATGGTGGTGCATGCCTGTAATCCCAGCTACTCAGGAGGCTGAGGCAGGAGAATTGCCTGAACCCAGGAGGTGGAGGTTGTGGTGAGCCAAGATCGCACCATTGCACTCCAGGCTGGGCAACAAGAGTGAAACTCTGCCTCAAAAAATAAAATAAATAATAAAAATAAAAAATAAAATCTCAAATCTGCAAAAAACCTACTAGAATTAATAAATGAATTTAGTAAAGTTGTGGGATACAAAATCACAACACAAAAGTTCGTTGTTTTTCTATAACACTAGCAATGAACAATCCAAAAATGAAATAAGCAACCACTAAACTAGCACCTAAAAAAAATACTTAGAAAGAAATTGAATAAAAGAGCTGCAAGACTTCGCACTGAAATGTGGTCTAGGAAAGAGGTTGAAGGCGTGCATATGGACGAAGACGGAAGGCCAGATGTGACACATTACTGAAGTAAAATTAAGCCAGTACAGTGGCACGTGCCTGTAGTCCCAGCTACTTGGGAGGCTGAGCCAAAAGGACTGTTTGGGCCTAGGAGTTCAAAATCAGTCTTGGCAACACAGCAATACCCCGTGTCTTCAAACAGATTAACAGTACTTGATGAACGAGAGAGTGTGTATGGTGATGGAGAAGAAGCTGAGAACATCTTCAGAACTGCCTGTTTACAAAAACAGGTGGATTACATTCCGTTAACTGAGCTGGAGAAGACAGTTTAGGTTTGCTCGTGCTAAGTTGGAGGCTTACAGGACGTGAAAAAGGAGTTTTGGATGGTATTTTGAAATGTAGGGCTGAAGTTTATGGCGCTTACTTGTTGACATTACGTTTCAGGGTCTCTAGCTGCTGACGTTCAGGAGCTGTGATCATCTCCTCTATTTCTTGTAACTGTGCCTCCTCTGCACCTGTAGCCTGCATAGATGCGATGATGGCCTCTACCCTCTGAGATTTTTCTAGTAGACGCCTGTCAAACAAACACAACTCTGAGACATGTTTCCTAACCTTGGAGATTCTCTTAGCATTTATCTCTGAGGCACAACCCATCACTCTTTTACCATTTTCCTGGTCAAAGTAGATGTCACCTTCTAAGGACATTTTCTAGAAACTTATTTGGAAATATAACTTCACTCGTGAAACTCTTACTGCCTCTCATTTGCACTTAAAGTTTGGTGCTTCTGTACATTTCTCATAAATTTAATCTGAAAAAACTATTTCATTGGGAGCGTATTAGAAAAGTGTAGCCTATGCATGATTTATACTAATCTAAGCCAGTGATTCAATGCAAGGACACTGGTTGCTATCTCCATTGTTTCCTATTCCTCAGAATTTTTTTTTTTTTTTTGAGATGGAGTCACACTCTGTCACCCAGGCTGGAGTGCAGTGGCATGGAGTGGCTCACTGCAACCTCCACTCACTGAGTTTAAGCAATTCTCCTGCCTCAGACTCCAGAGTAGCTGGGACTACAGGGGCCCATGACCATGCCCAGCTAATTTTTGTATTCTTAGTAGAGATAGGATTTCACCATGTTGGCCGGGCTGGTCTTGAACTCCTGACCTCAAGTGATCCATCTGCCTCAGCCTCCCAAAGTGCTGGGATTACAGGCATGAGCCACTGCACCTGGCCCAGCCTTCATTGGTTCCTGTTTCTATAGGAAATTTCCCCTCAGGCCGTTGACCTTAAAAAATGTAAATAACTCAACTGAAAATGTTACTTACTTGTTCTCTTTGGTTTCAAATTGCCTCCTTTCTATCAAGTTGGCTATGCTCTGAGGAAAGAGAAGACAGACAAGAAATGCACATAGTTCAATTTCAGCAGCTCAGGTAAAATGGGTGAAATGGGCATATGAGGGGGACTTGTCCATGTGGAGGCAGCAGACTGGGTTACCTTGTAGCACCTGTGCAGCAACATTCGGGCAGCTGACAGGATGTTCACAGTATATAAATAGAAGGTCCTGGATGGGGCATGGTCTGGTGTTTTGGGAATTTCCTATTTGTCCAATAGAAAAAAAAAGTAACAAATTATATTGTTTTGGAACTGGCAAGGTAAACACTCATTCCATCTGGACTTACTCAACTCTCTTTTTCACTTACATTTTCATGTTTCCTAGTCATTCAGTACCTGTGTTTATTTATTTACTTTGAGACTGGGTCTTGCTGTTACCCAGGATGGAATGTGGCAGTGCGATCTTGGCTCACTGCAACTTCTACCTGGGACTCAAGCAATCCTCCCACCTCAGTATCCTGAGCAGCTGTAACTACAGGCATGCGCCACCATGCTCAACTAATTTTTTAATTTTTTTGGCGGGGGAGGAGACATGGTCTCACTATATTACCCAGGCTGGTCTTGAATTCCTGGGCTTAAGTGATCTTCCTGCCTTGGCTTCCCAAAGTGCTGGGATTACAGGTGTGCCCAGCCCAGTCTCTGTGGTTTATGTCGTAATTAATTAAACGGAGAGCTGGGCTTCCCTGTTTTTTTTTTTTTCCCATTTGACTGTCAGCATCCTGAATGGAGAAGAAAGGGAAGGTAACTAATATTTACTGAAAAATCTGTGTACCAGGTAAATTCTATATGATCTTTACAAAAAACCTTTTTTTTTTTTTTTTTTTTTTTTTTTAATACAGAGTCTTGCTTTATTGCCCAGGCTGGCGTGCAGTGGCACAATCTCAGCTCACTGCGACCTCTGCCTCTTGGGTTCAAGAGATTCTCCTTCCTGCCTCAGCCTCCCAAGCATCTGGGATTATAGGCACGTGACACCACCCCCAGCTAATTGTTTTGTATTTTAGTAGAGACAGGGTTTTACCATGTAGGCCAGGCTGGTCTCGAACTCCTGACATCAAGTGATCTGCCCGGCTCGGCCTCCCAAAGTGCTGGGATTCTAGGCGTGAGCCATTGTGCCCAGCTGCCTCTTTCTTACTAGGGCAATTAAGGCTCCACATCTTCCTCTAAGTGCTTGCTACATCTCTGTGAATCATGTTTTCTGTCTCAGAGCTGGATATAGAGTTTGCTTGGGATTCAGTATGTTTGCCGGAGAAGCTTCTCTCACCCTAGGCTAGCCTGTCTGGTTGGCAGTTGTTACACCCTTGGTTACCTGGAGTGATATAAAATTTTCTGAGAGCATCTTATATAGCATATCCTTTGCCTCCTTTGCAGGAATCATTGCAAAGTCTTCCACTTGCTTCTGCTCCAGGTGTTTCTTCTGCAAAACTAGACGGAATATTCTAGCACAGCGAGACCCAAATCTGGAAAAGAATGAAGAAAGCAAATGGCATGCCAACACAGGAGAGTAGCTTTAGTTCCCAGTCATAGATGGGGCGGTGTTCTATCCCATGTGTGGAACCAGGACCAGAGAGGAACAGTAATAAGAAAACTCTTCCACAGCTCCACAGGTTGGTAACTGTAAGTCATCACCAACTGCTGACCTCATCTGAGTGCCATAGTTCCTACATTTGTAAGCAAAGGCTTTAGGGAGCCTGGCTAATTTGCATCACTAGGAACTAAACAGTAGGTTATTTTAGGGTAAAGAGCAGCATTACATGAGATCCACAGGACTCCAGTGAAAAAGTGGGGCAAAGTGTGCCAAGGTGTGCTTATACTAGTTGCTTACATAATGGACAAATTACTTCAGTGGGGATAGGAAGTATCTGATCCCAAACCCCATCAGTGTCCCCCTTACCTCTCTTGTACTACAGACTCCAGAGTGGCTGTGGCTAGAGATGCTAATGCCTTATGGAGGTCTTTATGTAGAGAATTAAGGTCACTCAGTAATGTTCTGGCCTGGTTACTGTGATCTGAATTTTATTCCTAAG